ATAACAAAATTTTATTAGCTCTTCCTACAAATCTAAGATACACTATAAAGAAAACCTCAATGCAAGCTTGAAGTTCATGAACAGAGACAGGCGTTTGATCTTAAAGCATCCACTGCATTCTCTCGGCTTTTTCCTTTTGAACTTCAAACTCAAGGGTTTCTCTTCTTCCAAGTTCTTTTCTTGTATTTTCCTGGGTTTTGTTTTTTTCTATGGCCTGTTCGGCTTCTTTCACTCTTATCTGTGTTTCGTATCTACTTGGATGCCACTTCTTCTTGCAATTTATATTTGTTGCCATGATTATAGGGGCTTCCAGGGTTTCTGCAGAATACCAGCACTCAAAAAGTACATTGGACAAAATCATAAAGTTCAATGATGTGAGATGAAGTTCCCTTTACCCTATCCTGCGTATTTCATTGGTTGAGGTCTCCTTAAAATAATGTAGAAATACTGCTGTCTTCAAGAAGACATGAATTCATTTGAAAAAAAGACACGAAATATTATCAAATTCTTGATATTGGTACTTTTTAGTTACATAGTGTTGTCGATAAACTAGTACTACATATGCCACCTTCCTCTTTGGAGAAAATCATTTCACTCTCGAAGAGAAGTTACTGATAGTTGTTTGTTTACTGAGAGTGAACATTTGAGGGATGGATAATGCCCCGAAGATGGCCAAGAACGACTTGGAACGCTCAAGAGAAGATCTAGAATCCCTTGCAAAAAGGATCATAGCCGATCACATGAGATTCGTTTGTGCAGATAAGGCACTAATGTTGTGGAACAAAAGATTCCCCCGCCACAATGAATCTACCAACGATGGAGAGTTTTATTCATCTATTGCAACAAGAAAAAGAATTCTATCTTTTATAGAGAAGGAAAAGACGGATGAGGCCTTTAGAGTGTGCGAGAGCCTCAAACTATTTGATCTGGGAACCGAAAGTGTAGCTCTCGTAAAGGAGGCTTTGTCGAAACTGGTGTTTGTTGACTTACTGCGCGCAGAAAGACACACAGAAGCCATAAAATTTGCTAGAACTTTTATAAATGATGAAAACGAAAACGATAAGCTGTTTACCCTGATAGGATACAAGGACGTCAGCGATAGAAGATTTCTTGAGATTGCCAATATTGTTCGGAGGGAAAGTGTTGTAGAAGCCCTGAATAAGCATTTGTTCAAGAAAGAGGTTGGAAGAGAACTTTCCTTGCTATCCCTAGCTTTAAACCACTACAATTCCATCTTGAAATACCAAAGAAAGTAACAGGGACAACAAATGTATAAGAGGTGAGATATTCCTAAGATTAAATGAAATATCATACTTTATTTCGTGAGATTCTCTATCGTTTCTCTTGGGAAGATAGTAAGTGCCTTTTCTCGATCCTTATCTGATCTATACCATTTGAGAATTAGATCTCCAATTCTTGCATCATAGTCCGGAGTTTTTAGCTCTTCCAGAAGAGACTGGGATATTATCTTGGACACTCTCAGTTTTGTTATAAGCTCTGCATATTTCTTTGGAGATATCGGAAAGTCAATCTTCAGGATCTCCAGCTCGTTCTTGAGACTTAAAAGAACCTCTTTCAACTGGCCTTCAGTAATGCTTGCTGTATTTCTGAACGAGATGAAAAAGTCAAAAAACAGATCTGAAATCTTATGATTCGATATAGCTTCTTGAAAATACGATAAATAGAATGGGACAACTCCAAACTTAGTTTCTCCTGATTGTAGATTATCTGAAAGAAGTTCTTTGTCATCGTCCTCGTATGCCATCGATAGTTCTTCGGACAAAGATGCTAAAAATGGAAGTACGTCTTCTTTGTGTGGTTCTTGAGATTCTGGGTCTTGAGTGTTTCCATAGTCGTTTTCGACTTCTAGACAGGAGAACACATTTACAGCTTTCAATTCCTTTGACTTCCAAGAATTCTTCTTGTCAAGAAGACTTTCTATCATGTATCTAATTCTATTTGTATAGTTGCTTTTCTTTTGTACAAGGCTGGAACATATCATCGATATAATGTGCTCCTTTCCACTAACAACAAGTTTTTCGCCTATGTTATCGATCAAATAGCATAACACCTCGATATTTTCTGGGTCATCAGATTTCATAAGTGTATTGATACAAGCGTTCATGTGCACGTAGCTTATTACATTCAAGGAGTAGAGAGACGATAGAAAGTCGATTGTTCCAAGCGTTCTCCTTTTCTTTATATATCTTTCTGTTTCTGCCTCTTCAAGCTTTTCTTCGTAGGCTATTCTTTCTTCAAATGTCATATCCTTTTTCTTCTTATACTCATCTCCCCATCTTTCTTTATTCTCGAGAGTCTTCAATGTCAAAGTAAGAAGTGTCCCAAAGAACACAGTTTGGCTTACATCTCTACTCTTCTCCTCCTCTGATTGCCATTCCTTCTTCAGATCGAGAACCACTAATGCATAATACTTTACAAACGTAGGCTCGGAAATCGCCTTATCGAATAAAATATTTGACACTTCCTTCATCTCTTCGATGGTTCCAACACGAATGCTCTTAAGATTCTTTATCACGAGGCCTATGTTCTTGGCTGTAAGCCTATTGAACTCAAGCCTTGCTTGTTCAATGCACGTGTCCTTTCGGCTGCTGTCTGGCCTATATACTCCTTTCAGTTCCCTTCTAATCCTTATTTTCAGCTCAAGAGGAATTGCTGTTCTTTCTTTTGTATTAAGAATCTCATCAATCTTATAGCAGGGCCCTCGTCTTTCTGTGATTCTTTGTTCCGAAAATCTCTTCAAAAGATTATTCAGCATTAATGCTCTATCCTCGAGACTGGGTCTATCATCTTTTTGTATTGGCTTTTCTTCTTTGCATTCCACTTCTTCCTCTTCATGAATTTCAGCGTTTGCATTTGTCTCCGGTGGTACGTCTTCAATCTTATTTTCAGCCTCTACCGAACTCTCACTTGATGCATCACTATCTGTCGAATCTATCAAATCCTCTTCTCTTATAGGTGTTCCATCAGGTCTTGTAAATCTTGCTGCAGGCTTTGGCTCGACCCTGGTGGGTGTTTCAAAGTTGATTTCAATTGGTGGTGCACTCTTGACTCTAGGCCCATAGAGCAAAGACTCCTCCCTTCTAAACACAAAAAGCGGTTTCTTTGGTCTGTGAATGATCTTTTTTATCATAAGGGCATCTAGAAGACATATTTTTCAATCCTACAAAGAAGGCTTAACTATTGTTCGAGAAACATTTCGCTTCGTATGTACACCGAATTAATTTCCGCTTTCTGGGGATAAATGCTAAGTAGAAATGAGGCCTGAAACCGTAATGCCTAGAAAATGATAAATTTTTAAATATCACGCCCGTTAATGGTAGAGGTAAAACACTCTGTAGCAGAAGAAGCTCTTCAAAGGCTCGGTAAGGAAAGAAAAGCCTATGAAAATGAACTAGCCACTCTAAAACGAAAGCTTGATGCAATGAGTGAAACCACGGACAAATATGAAAGAAGGCTTATTGAAGACCAAATAAAAGAGACACTCAAGGTTCTGGAGATGGTTGATAAACAGGTTTTAAAGTTTTCGTACTCCCAGGGAGAGAAATAAAACTTCAAATTCTAGAATTGTGCAGTATATCATCCTACGGTCCTAAGCCACTTCTGGGACTCAAAACATGTTTTGCTTTCAACTTAACATCATAATCATCTCAAAGATGGATGATATGATCAGAAAGGCCTCATTCAACGGGGGCATCTTGCATATGGAATTTTCGGAATCCGACTTGCTCATGTGCATTGGAAATACACTCCATATCCTTAACATGAACGGATTAATAAGAGAAGATGTACTCCTTCCTTCCAATGAAGTAAAAGAAATACTTAAATTTAAGGACATTGTATTTCTTGAAATCGAGACCTACGGGCACTACTACTTCAAAATAGACAACCCGATACTTGTAAAAATAGAGTGCAGAATAGAGAAGATCCATGTGGGCAACAACGTGATTTTTTCTCATGGTTGTGGTATATCTTTTCTCGATATCCAGACCTTTCAACCCTGGCATATTGTAACTATGCCCAGTAAGATAGTAGACTTTGCAGAGGTTGGGTCCGATATATATGTTCTGGTTGAAGATCATCTGTGTCTCGTTCAATACTTGGCCCGGAATAGGAAAGAAGTGTCTATAAAGTCTATCGGGTTTCTAAGCCATTTGAAATTTGTTTCTGCAACTTCCAACAAACTTGATCTTCTAATTCTTGAGAGCAACTATGAATTGATTCTCTACAGAGGAGAAACATTGAAGTCAATAAGAAAGGGAAAAAATTATAGAGGATTCAAGATATTCAATACAATACTTATATTTCTACTATCAGATGGGATAGAGATGTACTCCTTGAACTCCCACAGAACACTTGTGAAGTTGTATTTTCCTCCAAAGGCAATCGCATATGATTCCCATAGGAAGATACTTTGGCTGTATTCAGACTTTCTGTACGAGGTAGATGTTTCAAAACTTGCTATTTAAGAAAGTTATTAAAAGCCTTCCTGTCATACAACTTCCACCCATATTAAGTTTTCAAATAGATTTCCCGGCATCTCTGATGCTATTCACGGAGTACAAATGAATAAATCTATCCTGCTTTATTTTATTTATTTCTCCTTTTATTAAATAGGAGACTATAAGGTTTCTTTAGAAATTCTTGAAATGCTTAGGGCAATCCAAATTGGAGGGCCCATTCTTTATAAACTTCTTTATTAAGATCCCGGGTGTCATCTATATCTTAATTAATTCTAAGCATTGATTTGGCCGATTACTTAGCAATTTAAAGGAGAAACCTTTTCGTATAAAAAGAGTCACTTAGGAGTAAGGGACATGGGCTTGTGTTTAGAAAAGATAGAAAAGTCTATCTCATACATGGACGACACTTATGATGCAAACTTCGGAGAATGGATAAGAAACGAGGATAATGCACGTATAGTTGCATACAACATGAAGAAGTATGTTGATAATTATAAGACGTCGGACTTCATAATTGTCGTGAAGTGGATAGTCAAGGACTGGACATTGAAGTCCATAATAATCTTTTCTAAGAAAATGCTGGTTGAGGATATCAAAGTCCTGAGCTTCAGGAGAACAGAAGAAGATAAAGAAAAATACAACAAAAGAGTTAGAATAATTTCCGGGCTTATATTTACCTGGAATCCAGTGTTTATCACAGAGTTTATGGTCTCGATAACACGGTCTTTTGCAGCAAACGAGAAGTCAAGGCTCCTGATAAGTTTACTAGAAGCTTTTGAGCCCAGAAAGCTTTCGGAAATCTTATCCCAGCTCGAGACTAAGATTGATCAGAAAGCCTGGAATGAACTCTTCAAAACATTCAATGAAGAAGCTTCCAAAAAGTCTAGGCCTCGAAGCAAGAGAACAGCCAGTATACTTCGAGCATATAACTTATCTTAATTGGAGGTGAAAACAATTGTATTTTAAATAAACTTCACAATACTATCCTCTTTGTATTTTGCTCCGAGTTTTTTTGAGAGCGCTTTTAGCCTCCTTTTTCTCCCTCCTTCTTCAATGATCCTTACCGACGAAGCATTCTCCGAGTTTAGACAGTCAAAATCCTTGGGCCCAGACACCTCTCCTGAAGAAGTGGAATATTCGACAGACGGCCTTTTGCTAAGTACCACCCAGAACAATATATTGAGGCTGTACTCGTCGGTGTCTGGAAACGTCCAAAACATAATTCATGTTCCAAGCATACAGAAGTACAAGTTTTTGTATCCTAATGCATTGGTCCATGCAGCATCCAATTCTCTACATCTTTTGTCTGTGTTTGACAATAAGTATGTTCGAACCTTTATTGGACATAAAAGCCAGATAAACTCTCTTTCCGTATGTCCGATGGAAGATGCCATTCTTTCTTCGTCTTTTGACTCCACGAGCTACTGGGACATAAGAAAGAAAAATCCAGTGTATAGGATCAATGTAACTAACTCCATAAGTTCCCTGTCCCTTTCTAATGACTATGCCACACTAATTAATGATACTCTCCTTAAGGTATACGATAAAAGAAATCCAAAGGGACCAAAAAATACTTCGTCGCTTCCAGAGCGAAGGTATAAGGAAATATTTTACTCTACGGATGGAAATTTCATAATAGCGTCCGACGAAAAAGGCCATCTCTTCCTTGGACCAGATGGGGCAATAAAAAGCTCAATAAGTCTGGAGAAAGGCAGCAATGGATGCGTTACCCCAGACTCGAAATTCTTCCTTTGCTGCGAAAACAGCTCCATATTCGTTTATCATCTTAAAACCAAAAGAAGATTGCATACATATAAGGCACACGGCTTCGACAATGCAAAGGTCCGCTTCAATCCTTGTTATGCTCAGTTTGTTTCATCTTCGAGTCTTTTGAACATTTGGGCAATCGAAGAACATACAGAGTCATTTCAGGACTAGAAACTTATTAAAAACATTTAATTAGTCAATAAAGGCCTTAAGGCTTCTCCTCTCTTTCGATGTTTTCGGATTCTTTTGGAACATCTTCTCCATCTATTTTTCTAGAAATCTCTTTTCCTATCGCCTTCTCAATAGTCTCTGATTTTCCAGTGACTATGAATCCAATAGGCTTGTTATTCTTGTTGAAGAGGACCTTGGAATCGTCCAGCTTGTAAGCATGCAAACTAGTTTTACTCTCGATAGTGCAATGTGAAATCTTGGACTTCTGGACCTTCCTACCCAGGGACTTAATCGCTTCTCTTAACTTCATTCTTCCATCGACAGAACTTTTGTTAATATTATTTTTAACATATCTTCGTCCTCCTATGGTCACAACTGTTGGAAACTTCTTCTCCATTTCAGGGCTCAAAAGAGGACAGAATTAACGTTCTATTTCTTTCCATTTCTACCAAAAACAAATCATAGGATGTATTACTTTTAATCTTACTCCTCAGGTGCCATCTTTGCCGCCTGCTCCATGTAGTCGATATATTTTGTTTCCTCAGGACTATGGTAATCGTAGTTGACTTCTGTCGGCTCAAGATTCACATTCGACACAAATATAAGATCGGGCCTTCCAGTGAATGTCCGGGCTAAATGCAAAAACGGAAGCCCAAAGTTGTGTGCTGTCTTGGCACTGATCTCAAAGTACTCATAGTTCTTCCCCTTCAAGACCTCCATCACTAGCTTCTTACTAATCTTCTGCCTATTCTTTATATCGATCTTATTGGCGCATACAACTATAGGTGCTTCATTGCCAACAACCGCTTGGAACTCCTTAACCCAACGAGCAAGATTTTGGCATGTAATTCTGGATGTCACATCAAAGAAAAAAATAGCACCGCTTGCGCCTATGTAGTACACATCCTTCAATACTGCCTTCTTCTCTTGTCCTGCTGTGTCCCAAACATTGAACTTAATGACGTTCCCTTGGTCATCGAGAAATGTCACCGGGTGATTCACTGCTCCTACAGTTGCGTTGTAGTTCTTTTCAAACCTCCCATCAAGCACCCTATTTATATAAGTCGTCTTACCGACTCCTCCATCCCCTATCAAGCATATCTTGTATGTTAGTTCTCTTCTCTCCATCCGGGGTACAAAATTTTTCAGTTTTTCTTCCCAGCTTCCGTCGCTAAGCCAGACCTGAACATCTTCCTTATTCACCAGAAGAGATAGTTCATGCTGATTTCTATATAGAAGAAGCCGAAACTCCTCTCCAATTGGCTAGGAATAAAAATTTATTATACAAGAGAATCAACATTGAAGTTGTATATCAAAGAGACAAAATCACTTGACACTAGCTTCTCGGAACTGAACACCTCCACTTCAACCTCAAATTTTCTTTTCTCCTCCCTTTCCCCTGAAAGAATAGCTTCTGTAAAATCAAATCCGTAAGGTTCTATAAAGTATGTTTCTCTTCGCCTTGTTCTTTTCATAATAGCCTTCTTCTTACTGGCACGCTTGAATACTTCTTTCTCCTCATTTAAAACAAGCCTCACATCATACTTCTTTCCAGGAATATATATGTCAAGCTTTTCCGATCTTGTTTTTTTTTCAACCTTCTTTAACTCTCCATTCTCATACGTTTCCCTTCCATCCTCATTAATTATAACCACATCATTCTTTGTCTCGCTCTTAAAAGAGGAAAGAAGCCTCTTGAGAGAATTAAAATCTGCAAGATCAACTGCACTCTCAAATCTATATTCTGCAGGGATGTTTTTGAACACAACAGGTGCCACCGTATCAAGTTTCATTCTGTTTCCATCTTCTTTGGAAACTATTCTCCCCAGTCTTATTTCCAGCTCCTTCCGGTCGTTTTTGAAAGCCAAAATAAACTTTCTCAAATATTCTGTATGATCTTTCACAGCCTCCTTTAGTATCTTTGTAAGATCCTCCATCAGGGTAGTAAGATCACACAAAATATTCTATTAAGAGGATGAAAAGGATACACAGAGGTTACATATTTATTCCTTCTTTTTATCTGAAGGCGGTACCATGAAGACCAGGCATATAGAGTAAACCATGTATCCAATGATAGCACTAAATCCAAAATTTATAGCCCATTCGGGAACGGTGTCAAAAACAACATATAATCTTTGCATAGCCTTGAAAAAGATGCAATTTGCAAGAGAATACATATTAATAAAGTATGAATCCACATCCATCCATAATCTTATAGGCTTAAATTGGGTCCATTTTCTATCTCTTATAATCTCTTCCAACTCCTCAAAACTATCCACATCCAGGTGGTAGCTGCGTCCTTTGTCCCTTACAACAAAAGACGGAAACAAGAATGTGTAGAAGCGTGAAGCAATCTTTGGATCCTCAAAGAAATTTATTTTCTTCACAGGAATGTATTTTTGAAGATCAGAGATACTTTGATTGAATGACTCACAAGCGGGGCAATGAACATTTGGCCTAGAGTAATAGATGTATACAAGGAATGCATCATCTAGCGATATATCCTCCTTTCTGAGTACTGGCAATTGGGAAAATGCATCTGATATCACCTTTCCTAATAAAAGAAAGACTATATTCATCAGGGGTCATTCTAAACAAAACAAATTCTCTATAATCTGACATCTCTATAAAGACAAAGGGCAATTTTCAGCAGCGTTTCTTGATGGAGTCAACCCCAGAACCGAGACCAAAGCAGTTGCTTAGAAGTCACTTTTCTATAAAATTTCGCTGATGACAAAACAAGCTCTATTTCTGCTTCTTCCCAAGTCTGTTCGTATATGCTTTGCAAAAACAGGATATTATGAGAAAAGTCGTTCTCAATCAAAACAGGCTTGAACTTCATCAGAAGAGCTACTCCAAAGTACAGCAAAGACTCATTGATGCTGTCAGAGGAAAAAATAGTATCCAAAACCTTGAGCAGAATTGGAATCTTGAATTCTCGGGTAAAGAAACAATTAAACCATCTGAATGCAAACATATGTATTTCTAACCCAATGTCTTTCAGGAACTTATGCAAGTCCGGGTCTACCATCTGCAAAACAAAATCCAGACTTTTAATCATTCCTGTTTGTAGATCCATTATGTTGTGCTGTGTCTCATCTAGTAACCGAGCATAACAGAAATAGGCATTGCTTTCAGCTCTCTCGACATCTTCATGCGAAAAAACAAAGACAAAAGGAACCAAAATATCAGCCATTCCTTGGATATATCCAAGTAGCGGTCTTTTATATGCAATCAGCCATAATACACGGTAATACATATATGATATATCTACTCCTAGATAAGTCCTGTATCTAAGATCTATTCTTTTTATGTCAAGATCAATTTGATGCACTATCTTTTCAGGCAACTTAAGTGCATGATGTTTCGTCTTGTTTAGGTTTTCAAGGCTGCTTTTGTCTATGTTCAAATCTCTTCCCCCATAGAAATACTCACCCATTTGGCAAGAACATCCCATCCGAGCCACCATTTCAGCATATTTAGCATGCCCGACCTCGACCTCCTCTCTGTGAAATTGTTTTTTCAACCCAACAACCTGAAAGAGAATCCTCCATGCAACTCCTCGGTACTTGTTCCTCACCCCTCCAAAGCATAGCTTTCTTACCAACTTTTCGTCAATAACATTCTCGCCGAAGACTTTGCTGTCCGGCGAGCTCACCATCAAATATAGGGGTCTCTTCGCAAGTCATTTCACTGTTCTAGCCATTTCTATTTCTCAATCCCGCGAAACCTATTGATATTCAATTCCTTTTTCCCCCTTACAACTCCCGGGGAAAGCATATTACACACATCCCTGACCCTATACAGAAATTTCCCAATTTTGCTCGTGTCTAAAACCATCGTTTTCATTCCTTTACATTTATCCCCAACATAGAATAGCTTCTCACACTTAATATTTACCAACCCATCCATCACAATAACAACGCTTCTACCGTCTACAGCATCTCCGTGCCCAACAACATCCAGATTTAGCTTGAAAATCTCAGAAAACATCTTCATCCTCTCTACATCCTTACATATAATGCACACATTCTTATAAATCTTACATAATGCAAAAATTGCAGCATATCTTTCATCCTTTGTTGCTTTTATAAAGTATCTATTGCTAGATATAAAGACAGGATTCTCTGCAAACTTGGGAACTTTCTGGGCATTCAGAAGGATAAATGAAATCCCCTTCCTCTTCAGACATATTAAATCTTCCATATACCCAAACCCATCCATCAACTCACAATCCTCTACAATCACATGTCCGCCTTTCATCTTATCGAAACTTCTTTCCAAAGCCATCTTTGGTGTCATCACAATTTCTTCACTGTCTTCTAAATATGCTAATCCAGAGCATTTACTTCTGTACGGTGTCAGAACTATAGCTGATCCTTGGAACTTAAAGGTTTGTTTCACCTCATCTCTAGATCCTCGAAAGACGTAATCTATGCCGTTTTTAACTTCCATCTATTCCTCGCCCCAGGCTGGAAATTTTATTTATCTTAGAATCAAGGAAAACACTATTTAGTTACATCGCTTGAAGTCGATTTAATCAACTTACCAGGCCATCGGAAGTATGAGTTTTGATGAACTTTCCTTCGCAAGTGACCTTTATGCCCTTAAAAGTGAGGAAATGGTCTATTATCTTAAACGATTCTAGAGCATGGGCATATCCACTCTTTCTCATGTCAACCTTTCCAGAACTAAAGTCATTAAGAAGCATTTCAAATCCTTCTAGTCCTAACCTGGCCCCATTCTGTATCTCTTTTGGTATCAAAATAGGCTCGATCTTTCCATCCTTATCCTTCCCACATAGAATCATTCCTTCAGAAGTCTCTCCCTTGAATTTGGCTGGCTTCATGTTGGTAACAAAGAGGAATTTGTTTCCTAATAGATGTTCTTTTTCTACATAGCCTTTCAGCCCACTTAAAACTCTTATCTCTTCCTTTGCAACAACCCTCTCAGAATAAAGCTTATCAAGTCCTTGAACATCGCCAATGTCTACTATCTCTCCAACCTGTATGTCTAGCAGTTGAAAATCAGAGTCCAGACTCATTCTTGGCCTAATATGCTCAACCATTTGGTCGATAAACACCTTATTTTTTAATATGCCTTGTGTAATCATCTGACGATACAGCCCATAAAATGATACAAGACTTGATATACTTTCCTCTACCTTCCTCACTTCTGGACTTTCCCTCAATTTCTTTGTTTCTTTGATACTTTTATTGTTGTGTCCTGGCTCGTAAGTTCTGTACAAAAAAGCCAATACGTTGTCTAGTCCCACGTATTCTTCTCCCCCATCGGTAAGCCTTAACCCGCTTTCCACCTTTTCCAGGCTGGAATCGGCATTGAAGTATTTTAAGACAAATGCCAAGTCTTCAAAGCCGTTGGAAAATTCAAGCTTCATAAGGACTCAAAAAAGTAGAAGATTATACCTAGGAAGAATAAATTTTCAAAAATAAAGAAAGTCCTTAGAATGAGTGTTTTTGTTTTTGGATCAAATGCCATATCTCAGCTAGGGCTGGGAGAAGATGAAGGAAGTACTCATGTTCCAACCAGACTTTCTTTTTTTGACGGAATGTCTTTATCCAAGGTTCGATGTGGGTCATTACATACGTTGGTCCTCGATACTAGTGGAACTCTATATTCCTGGGGATGCAATGACGAAGGAGCTCTGGGAAGAGGTGGAGACGAATCCACACCTGAAAAAGTTTGTCTTCAAGAAAAGGTTGTAGATATGGATTGCGGAGCCTCCATCTCTGCTGCATTGACTTCCAGTGGGCATGTCTATGTGTGGGGAACATTTCGATCGACAAACGGGACCTTTGGATTAACTCCTTCTGAGGGCATTTCTTTTGAACCCGTAAAGGTTCCTCTCAAAAACATAAGGGCCTTGAGCGCAGGGCAAAGCTTCATAGCTGCACTTGATTCAAAGGATGTGATTTATACCTTTGGATCGAACGAATTTGGAGAGCTTGGAAGAAGAACATCTGAAAGAAATAAATTAAGAGCTCTTATACCAGATGCAGTTACGACTCCTAGAAAACGCCTCCAGAACCATAGGTTCAAGTCTATTGCATCTGGCCTGAACCATCTGATAGCACTGAACACAGATGGAGAAGCCTATTGTTGGGGATCTAACCTATACGGGCAGTTGGGGCATGATAAGGCGGAAAGCACTTTCAACAAATACAAGGTTCCCTTGGACGGCATATCTCAAGCAGTAGGAGGAGAAAATCACAGTTTGTTTGTAACTAAGGATGGTAGTCTATATGGAAGTGGGAGAAATAAGGAAGGACAGCTTGGGATCCAGAATGTGGAAAACCTCAAATCTCCCACCAAACTTGGGCTTAGTGGAGTAGAAGCTGTTCGTTCTTATAACAGCTTCAGCATAGGTAAAGTTGGAAATGAGCTATATTCGTGGGGAACCGGGTTCAATGGTGCATTGGGACATGAAGAAGAAACCCTGTTTGAACCGAAGAAGATTCCATATGAATTTCCTGAAGTGATAGATTTTGATGTTGGGAATGACTTTTCTGTTGTAGTGACTAAGTAGAAGCCACACACGTAATAAATATTATGATTCATATAAATGTGATCCAGAGATATTACCAGGGGGATGTATGTATTCTTAATGGAAAGGAAAAGGGATATCCTGAAATGACATCAGCTTTCTCTATATAGCAGATAGGTGTTCTATAGTGTAACTAAAGTTTTTAATTTGAAGACCCCTTGTGATGGGGGATTATACCTACAAGAAGAAGGATTCGGGTATTTACGACACACTAAACATGTTGGTGTATGACTACCTATTGAAGATGAAGTACGAAGGCTCAGCAAAGTTATTTATTAACGAGGCAGGGATTGGGGATTTTAAGCCTGGAGATGGAATGCCAGTTCTTGCTCAATGGTATGCAGCATTTCATGACATTTCAGCAGTTAGGTCCGGGTTATCATCGAATCTTCAGGATCTCAGTAGGATAGAGGGAATAATGATGAAGTTGGAAAATGAAAAGAGACGATATCAGCATATAGGAAGAATGGATCCCACGGCCATGGGATATGGAGGGGGGATGGATCCATATAAACAATACCCAATGTATTATCAACACCAGCAATTTGACCAAAGAAAAATGTATGAAATGTATGGGCAGGCGTCACCAACAGCCGATGGAGGCCCACGGTTCTATGACCCGAGAAAGGGAGGGGCATCTGGACCTGGATATAGAGCCTCCCAAGGATATTCAAGATATCCTAGGTTTGAAGAACAGAATGTTCCCTCTGGTAAAGTACCGCCCAGGAATTTCCGAGACGAGGGAAGAAATGGCAATGCAGTAAGTCCGTCCTTGGCTCCCAGTCAAGGAGATTCCAGCCCTCTGTTTGAATCTGGTGTTGGAGTAGGAGACAAGGTGTTTGGGTTGAAGGAGGCAATGTCATTTGTACCCAATGAACATGTGACGGTGTGCTCTGCAGTGGCAAAAGACCACAAGCTTCTATTTGTTGCATCTTCTAATAAGACAATCACTGCTGTTAATCTATTGTCTGGAAAAAAAGAACTGGGTGTGGAAACCGACGGAAAGCAGGTTGTAGAGATGAAGATAAAGGAACATTCTAATGACATATTAATTGTGTGTGGAACTGGAGGAAATGAGCTTTTACTGGTAAGATGTATCGTGAAGGAGGGAATGAGCTTGGAGGTGTCAGGGACTTTAAGGGGACATGCAGCGCCAATAGTTAGCTATGAAGTTCTCGATTCGATCCACTCTTTAGACAGTGGAGGCATGATGAGAAAATGGAATCTTGAAGGGATGTTTGAGAGGGAAGAGGTCCTTAGTGGGGAGATCCTTCATATATGCTGCATATCTGAAGATAACTTTATGTTTGCCGATAGACAAAGGGTTTATGTATATGATTTTGAACTCAATATAGAAATGATGGAAATACTTAAGGGCCAAGCCTTGGGAATCAAGCGTGTTAAGGAAGGTTTTATCGTGGTTTTTAGAAATCAAGTGATCTGGCTGGATAAGAGAATCCAAAAGGTCAAAGTCCTGAATGTAAACGAGAATATCAGGACAGCCACTCTGATCGACGAAAACCTTCTTGCAGCCTCGTCCCACAGCGTCTGGTTCGATAGCGGAAAATCATTAACGAAAATGAAGCTTCACGAGTCAAACATAATCGGCTTGGATAGTGTAAATATATTTAGAAAGTCAAGTATTGTTAGTTGCAGTGCTAGTGGAGAGTGCAAGGTATGGATAAGACATATTGGAGATTGAATTTTCATGTTGATGGCAGCCTTTCTATTTCTCATCTGATTGGTTATCCTCCCAAACTTTCATTGATCTACTTAGTCGTCCTCTCTGGTAGTAATTGGTCTATTTGGAGATTTTGCAGCGGCGGAATTAATTTGTCCTCTTACTAGTCGTAAATTAAGAAAGCAAGTTCAAGAAGAACCTAAGGACTATACCCTTATGGAAGACAAAGAAGGATACGAAAGAGTAGTGAAAGACAACACTAAGGAAACAGATATGAAATGTGCGAGCTGTGGGTGGCCTGGGAAGATGAATATTGTTGATCTTGACGATACAACAGAAAACGTGATCTGTGCGTTTGTCTGCGAAAAATGTGGAGACAGATCGGTCAAGTTTCTTGAAAAGACATATGATAAAAGAGGAAGTGTCAGAATCGAATGCTTTTTCGATAGAAAAGAGGATCTTACCAGAGAAATCAACCTAAGCCAGATGGCATCAGTGGAAATCATTTCAGAAAACCTTTCTTTCAAAATTTCGAGCACTTATCCCAGCATCCAGAATGTTGAGTCCTTTCTGATACAAGGAAAGGATCAAATTAAAAACTTGTGTGGAAAGGGAAACATAACAACCGGACCGGGTGGAGAGGTCCTTAGAAATCCTGACGTTTCTAAAGAGACCTGCGAAAAGAAACTAGAAGACTTCCGAGACTTGATGAGCAATCCGAAGTTTAAATTAATCATCGAAGACGACTTTGGACTCTCCAGAGTTGCACCTGTGGGTAAGAATGTTCTGGAGTTACGGAATGCAGACGTCTCCGAGCTCAACGATGATAAAGTCAAGCACATTTTCAAGAAGAAATCAGAATAAAGTCAGTCTCTTATCTCGTTAAATCAACATGCCTAATTTCCATTTCTTGAATAAATCTTTACTACTAAAACCTGATCTTCAAAGCTGATAGAAGATATCTTCGAACCTGTTTCAGATTAAAACAGCATTCTACAAAAGCCACGGCAACCATAATAAGCTAGAGATTTAGAACAGATGGATGATATCTTCGTATTGCTGCTTGCTTCCTCGTCGTTTGTTCTTCTCTTTGGACTAGTCTCAAAGCATGTTAAGAACAACCTGCTTCTATCAGAGTCATTGATTTCGGTATTAGTAGGGATAATCCTCGGACACCATGCATTGAATGTCTTCAATACAAACTACGTTTATTCGAAGGTTATAATGTACAACTTTTCAAGAATGGTTCTTTGTATCCAGACAATGACTGTTGCGATGTCTCTTCCAAAAAACTACATACTTGAGAAATGGCAGTCGATATTTGTTCTTGTTGGCGTAGTAGGCATAATCAAATGCTCGTTTTCCTTTGGGTTGGTATACCTTTTCACCAATTACAACATGCCAATATCATGGTCGTTGGCTTCTTCTCTGACCCCTACAGATCCCATTCTCAGCTCCAGTATAATACATGGGAAACTTGCAATGAAAATGGTTCCCGAAAGAATAAGATTGCTCCTTGCAGCAGAGAGTGGAATAAACGATGGGATGGGAATTTTCCTTCTCTTCCTTGGACTTGACTTGCTTAGTCTCGGACCTGAGAAGGGGATTTACCCATTTGTTGTCAACAACTTGCTTATTAGAGTCTTTTTATCCGCTTTGATAGGACTTTCTGCCGGAATTCTTTCAAGACAGAGCTTGAAGTACTGCTATACAAAGAGACTGGTGGGTGTGGAATCCTTTCTTGCCCACAGTGTGATTCTTACTGTGTTTTCAATAGCACTTATGGAGTTCATCGGTGGAAGTGAACTTATATGCATATTCTTCGCGGGAATAATGTTTTCCTTTGATGAATGGTTTGTATTAGAGACTAAGAACTCAAATCTCCAAGAAATAACGGACACCGTCCTTAGCACTTCGTTCTTCTTATTTTTCGGTTCAAGAATAGATTTTCGAAGATTTACGCTGTCGAATGTAATTGTTTCACTTGTCATTCTCTTTGTCAGGAGGCCTATCATATGCTACCTAATCTATCGCCAAATTCCAGAGCTGAGGTCTCGGAGAGAAGCTCTGTTTGTTGGATGGTTTGGGCCTGTAGGAGTTGGAGCGCTGTACTATGCACTTCTTACAGACAAAATCCAAGAGACTCTTACGATAGATTTTGTAAGCTGCACAGTGTTTCTGAGCGTAGTGATACACGGTCTGACTGTTCCAATATATACTTACATGAAAAGAGAGAGACTAGACTCTGACTACGAGGGACAGGCTCGTTCTGAGATCTTCTAACGCAATAAGATAGAAGGCCTAGACAGTTATACCACATTGGTTAGGTATCCTGAGTCAAAAATCAAGATAGAGTCTGGGTTTCCCATCAATACGGAGGGGAAGTACAGGTTCATCAATAATCACATCAATTTCCTTATCGAGTCGAGAGTGGCCTCCTAATGGAAGACTAAAATATAAAAAATACATCACAATGCTCCAGTAGACCTGAGGATTCTTTTCAAAAAGGTTTTCAGATCCATAATACTTTAGCATAAGACTTATATTCTCGGGTACAAGGAGAAAGCAAAGAAATACATATCCAGGACCAGAAACAAGCACCACAGATTTCTTGGACTTGCATTCACATCTTTCCTTCAGAGGGTCAAAAAGATCCTGTTTCATTCCTCCTATTAGTTCTCTCACCTTCCTCCGAGCATTTTCCATTGCCTTCTCTTCCTTTCTCCATGCAGAATCTTCTCTACAGCGAAGTCTCCCGAGGTCTAGAGTCCTGCAATCGCAAGCCCTCAGGTGATACACATCGTAAGAGTAGAGATCCTTGAAAACTACCTTAGACATCTTCGAAACGATATTGATATTCATATACATCTCATGGGTTGGAGATAGAATATGTGATAGAACCATGTCTATCTTTCTGTAGTCTTCCCTATAGCTCAGCCGCCTGAAAACCATATCTGCGACATCTGAAAGAAGCTCATCTCGAATAAGATGCTCAATTACAGGTTCAATGTCCCCTTCAAATAGTTCTATCCACAGACGCAAAGCCTTTGTATACATGCTTCCATCTAATTGTGCATATGGTAAAAGGATCACCGAATAGTCATCTCCTATTTCAATCAGGTATCTACACAAATAATCGCGCTCCTCCGTTATAAAAGCTAAAAACATCCTAGTCCTAAAGAAGTCGGCATAAAACCCATGAACCTTTCCTATGAATTCCAAAGGATTGTTTGGTATTCTTGTTATCACTTTAGATCCCCATTTCTTTATCAGGTACTCTCTCCACAATAGTATTTCTGTTGCTATTAATTCTATGGAGTCCCTTATTTCCTTCTGATGGTCTTTCGGCGCTCCAACTTTTGTCTTTTTATTTGGAAGCAAGGCACATTTCCTAGGCCGATAAACCCTCAAACCATCTAGATCTATGATAACTAAATCTTCTGTATTTGGCTTTTTGTTCAGACATGTGATAAAAGGAAGAGGGCTTTCAAGAATTTCTTCCATCCCCGGAAGAAGAGGTAGACATACTATGTGAGGCCATCGGAAGGGCCTTATAAGCTCTATAATCTGTAACACCCTCAAAGAAGAATCCTTTCTGGAACAAAATACTATCCTTTCTTCCAGTAATATCAGAGTTATGACTTCCATGAGAAATTTAGAAGGATAATTCCAGCTAAACTCATACAGATTGGATTCGTAGATCTTCTGCCATTTGTAGCTGATCGTGAAGTTTGTATGTGGAAGATATGGTATCCCATACACGGTTGAAAGTAGAGAGAAGCTTGAAAAAAGCTCGTTGAAATTAAGAAACAGCAGCGATGTTAGTGTGTGGAATACCATTGTGCCATCAATCCAAGAAACTAGAACCTGTCCGTATATCGTCTCTACATTAGAAACATAGAAGTATAAAAACTGTGAGTGGTACTGGACCTTTACGCTCTTTAAAAAACATAATACCACCTGGTTCTGCGCTTTTGAATCACACTTTCCAATCTCTTCTTCAATATCCTCAGTAGATGGAGAGAAGATAATTTCCCTTTCCTTTAGAGATCCTTCGGAAAAAATAAGATATTTTGTTGGAACACTGGACTCCTCCATGAGTATATACGAGTACTTTCCATCTATCAGTATAGACACTTCCCCCTCTTGCCCCTCAGCAAGTCGGAATCTTCGGCTTTTCTTCCCGAGCTTATACTTCAAATATCCATCAAACTCAGCTTTGTCAGCATTTCTAATGCATTTGAATACAGGAATTCTTCCATTCCCATCGCTCACAAGGTATTCCTCAGGCCCATTATGCTCAAGCAAGCTCGAGATATATACCTCGGATATCTCTCCATACTCAACTGCCTGAACTTTCCTTGTATGTTTGAAGTACCCGGTAATGAGGTTCATTTCTGGGGTTATCCTTCCACAATTGTCTCAAGAAATTTTAATCCTACTTCAGCAAATGGTCAAGTTCAAGCTTGTCAAGGCAAAAATGTCTGTAGAAATAGGACCAGAGTTCCTTGAAAATCCTATGAAAGCTGTATCAAAATGCATGGCATCAAAACTATTGATATACTCTCATAAACTTGGCGGAATCCCTCTATCGTTTGCTATCAAGGACATTGAGCATTCGGGCACCGTAATTTGTGAAACCGGAAGCGTGGAGGTCACAGCATCCTCAGAATATGTGGTTCTCACGTTGCCAGTTGGAGGGGTGATGAGCTCTTTTGAAGGAAGAACACTTGGGATCTTCAATACAGATGTTGATGGAAGCAAGGAATATACAGGAGATTTTATAGTCAAAGGAATAAAGCTAGAGGCAAGATCCTTCTTCACAATAGTAGGAACCCATTCATGACTTTAGAGAGCCTTACCAATTAACAATAAAGAATTTATTTGTTCGTTATTTTTCATGAATTGCTGAATGGATTATGTCTTTCTGTGTTGTATAAGCACAGGATATATGTTGTTGAATGCCCGGTAAATGTCGTCTCTTACCTTGGCACCGGTAAGAACAATCTTTCCAGAGACAAATATCAGAAGAACAATCTTGGGCTTGACCATCCTGTATATTAGCCCAGGAAAGAGCTCGGGCTCATAACTACAATAATTACTGTGGGCATATGCAAGACCCTCCAATCTAATGCTGAATTTGATGTCACAGGAAGAAACTATATTCTGTATCTTAAAATCATCAAACGTCGCATTAAATCCAAGCTTGTGTATTATTTTTGCATATCTCTGGGCTGCCATCCTCGAGCTCTTCTCGCTTTTTGCTCCTGTTATTACCATTTTTCCAGAGGCAAAAATCAACGCCGTCGTTTTTGGCTCTCTTATCCTCATTATCACAGCAGCAAATCTCTTTGGGTTGTACTCTGCATTTCTGGCTCGAAGAGCTATATTCTTTAAGTCAAGCTTACAGTTCAGATTAACCGTTGCAACAACGTTCTGGAGGGTTGGAATTATTCCAGAACTGTTTGGAATCGATGTATCCTGATGCTCACAAGAAATATCTGGTACGTCCATTCGGAATATTTATTTCAAGGGTTAAGTTTTTTTTTCTTGATTTTTATTAGCCTTAGGGCTTAATAAATAGAACCAAGGTCTCTCCTCCCTTCCCATCCCCTCTCTTTCAGCTTTTGTGGCCCTATGTGTCTGGAGTCACTTCATGTGCCCATACTTCCTCATGAACTTCATCTTTGTTTCACTCCATTCATCTTGCTTGAAGCCACTTATATGGATAACGTCACCATGCTCCTCCATTTCATTACAAGAAAGGCTCTCTATGGCTTCTATCAACCTGTTGATTAGCCTTTTCCTATTATTCTTAGGAATTTCGAGAGTGTGGGTTCGAGACATTTGTTTATGGACTGGGAATGAGCCATATTTTATAGACCTAATCAACCCATTATGATAGGTGATAGACATGGAATAGACTATCAGCATCTTAGGGATAAGTCCATCCATATTATAAGCGAGATACAAGCCACATTGTCTCGAGAAAACAACCTGGAGATTAACAACCTTCCCAACATAGAAGCTAGTCTTGTTAAGCTTTGGAAGAATTTACTTCCCTCGGACACCAAACCTACAGAGTCGGACATACAGGTAGGAAACCAGATGTATCCAAACAGCATGCAAACAGTAACCTGCTTAATAGTGTACTACTTACTTGAAAACGACTGTGGTGATATTGTTGACAAGCTCATATCCGAAATAAAAGACGGAAAAGAAGAGGTGATGAAGGTTAGAGATGATTATGTCAGATTCAAAAGAACTGTTTCCGAAGTGCTGGGAAATTCCACAGGGCTTTTGGAGGAGTTTCTTGAGAGCCATCCAAGCAAGGAGCTTGAACTTTATCTTGTGTCCCATGAGTTCCTACTACTAATAAATGGAGGGAGATACGACGAAGCTCTTAAACTATGCTTCGGGAAACTAAAGTCGTTTGTCCCAACATATATCCAAGACGTCAAGCCGCTTCTTAAGTTTCTGGTGAATCCTGGAAATATTCAGGAGTCTCTGGAAAGAAGTAGAGAAAGGCTTATAGAAAACTTCAAATCGAAGTATCTGGAAGTGAGCGGGATGCCAAACGGTTGCTATCTCCAAGAGCTATTTGAAGCTGGAACTTCTGCCTTTCTTCAGCTTTCCAGCTCTGGAAATTTGCTTTTCGATAAAGATGATCCAGCTCTTCCTATAGAGATAAAGATGGAGAAAGGAAGAAATTACCACTCTCTCTTCATATGCCCGGTGCTAAAAACACTCTGCATCGATGGAAATATTCCTGTGATGCTTGAGTGTGGCCATGTAATATCTTTAGAAGCTGCAAGTGTGCTTTCTCAGGAAGGTGTTTTGAACTCCTTCAAATGCCCCTACTGTCCAGAGATGTCCAAGTATGAAAATATTTTGAGGCTTAGAATTTAGTGGAAGGCCCGGATAATCATAAAGCCTTACTACCCCATGAAATACAATGAGCTCCCTGGATTCGACGAACACCCTGAGTCGATCTACAAGTTAGTGGAGTCCATGGGTGTATCTAACATAATATCAAAGAACGAATTAACAGAGGCTATATTGGAGTCCAAAGAATTCAAGGACTTTAGTTCCCTTTCCAACCAAAAGAATACCGAATTTTCAGAAGAGAGTAACAATGTCTAGACATAGGTTTATTATGTCTCTGATGTAGAAATAAAGTGTTTATTCGATTTCCCTAGATTTTGAGATATACAGCAATATCCAGAAGTTCCAAAGCTTCTGAGTCACTAACTTTAAACTCCTTAGGTTCCTTATCTGAGTCTGAAAGATACTTAAATTCCAGAAACTCGACAATCCTCTTCAGATGCCGTGATTTGACCGGAAGCTTAACCTCCCTGGAGATAGATTCTAGGAACATTTCTGGCCGGCTAAAAAATGTTCGAAGTGTTTGACTTTGTATGGAGACGTCATAGTCAAGAACAAACACCTTGTTGTCCGAAGAAATCACCTTTACTTTGCTTTCCATTTCCTCAATAAATAAACCTCAAACAAATTAATCGCTTATAGGCTCCTGGGAGTCCATAAAATCAGTAAACACAACTCCATTGAATTTAAACTTTTCCCCGCTTGGCTCCAACACATATATCTTCTTATCATTAAGGACATATTCTCCCTCCTCAAACTTAATTCCAAAAAGCACCTTCAGCTCGTCTCCTAAGGATCCTGAGCTTTTTACAGCTCTTACATCTTCAATATTTACCACCATGTCGATGGACTTTTCGACGTCAATTCCACTAAACAGTCTATGAAGCCCAGAGGAATCGTAGAAGAGAGTTGATGAATACACAACAACCACTGCTTCCGAACTGGAATACATACGGGTTTCCGAAGATTTCAGAGATCGAACAACCTCCTCCCCATACTTCGAGAGATAGTCGTAATACTTGACTTCTCTAGTGTAAACTTCGTCAAAAACAATGTACAGTTTTTCATCCTTCTTCTTTACATAAAAGTGTATATATGCTTCTTTTGACAGAATATTATTGATGGTGGAGTCTCTAATGATGATATTTATCTTTTTGTCCCCAATGCCTTCAAGTAACTTTCCAAGCAAAAAGTCCTGGCAGACATCTTTGTATGAATCGTTCTGTTTGTCCTTTATGTGGTCGAATTTTATTTCTTTTCTCACGTCTGTATTTACATCTGTTTTTTCTTTGACATGAACTATCCTCTCCTTACCTTTGACAAAACACATCTCTTCAACACTTTCTGGGATTTGGACCGTGGAGACAAAGGTAAACCTCCCTTCAAAGAATGATCTATCGGAATTCATCGAAAGACACAGAAACGGATGAGAAAGATCATGCTTGAGTCTCTTTTTAAGCTTGGTTGTAAGGACATTTACTTGATAATCACTAGACCTTGGAATGGTGTTTGGCCCGATAAATAGGGACTTGTTTGGGAGATACATATACTGCAGCTGAGACTTGTTTCTTGGAAACAATGGAGGGGCCTCCTTGAATCTTTTGATGTGAATGACTGGTATTTCGCCTTGCTCGGTACTTGAGGAGCAGAGTGTGTATTCTTCCATGGGGATTGAGATGTAAGAAAGATTATTGCAGACTTGAAATCCAAACTCATCGTTTACCAAAATGTATTTTGCAATGCAGAATGGTAAAAGGGCTCGGCCAGGATTTGAACCTGGAGCCCTCCGCACCCAAAGCGGAGATCATACCCTTAGACCACCGAGCCTATGATTGCGCCAAGCACATCTACCCTTATTAAAACGCCTGAAGCAGATGTGAAACCTACCTCACAAATATTTCAAGCATCTGGGAGAACAAACAAACATTCTATTCGGCAATGATAATTCTGATGATTATGGGATGCTATGCCATCCAGGACGAGCTAACGAGTAGATGCCAGAGATATGGAATAAGTTTGAACGACTGCTTGAACTCCGTGTATCTTCCCAAACGGGAATACGATGAATATCTTCAGAGCTTTAATTTGCCAATAGTGCGCGATTCAAGTTGTAACAAAGGAAGGTGCATGGCTGTTGTCTACAAAGATGTGAATAAATGCATGAACTGTAGGAAGGAAGATTGTAGAGACGAGTGCAAAGAGCTTGAATGGATGAGAGAAGGACCTTCTAACGGCCCAATGGATTCATATAGAAGGAATTCCGAACCTCCGATTCCCTTCATTCATGTGATCCATCACAAAGATACAAATAAGAGTAATTCTGCACCGGCAACCAAAACCGAAGAGGTACCATTAGTATCTTATAAAAGCATCACAGTAATTGAAACAAAGACGGAGACGGTCTCAGAGCACCCGGCAACAATCTCAAGGGACGAGCAGAAGAAAGATACCCACGTGACCGAGGATGGTAAAACCTGTGAAACTAAAAAAGAGGATACGAAAACTATTTTCAAGACGGTGGAGATTCCAGTGATTTCAGAAAAGGTTTCTCAATTGACACGCTCTGAGAGACCTGAGAAGCAAAGAAAATACGACGACAATATCCGTAAGACTCCTGTAAAGGAAGGGGAGGGCTCTACCCTTATTTCTTCTTCAGTAAAGCGCTCCAAGCTCAAGGACTCTTCACTGGACGATGACAAAATAGATGAAGTCTCCGAAGCAGAAAAAGGTTTTGAAGATGATGAAAAGGAAAAGGGCGAGCCCACTGTTGTGACAGTCACCCGAGTGTTTTATAAGACTGTCAGTGTCGAAAAACCCATTACGTTGTACAGAGAAGTGACAACAACAGTCAAGAGTGAAGTTCCCATTATCAATTACAAGCTAACAACTGTCAAGGAGATTTCAACCTCAACCAAGACAGAGAGTAGCGTTAAGACAGAGACAGTTGTACAGACGCAGTATTCCACAATCATATCTACAAAGGCTCCGCATGGCCAGGAAATTCCGAAGGTGCCGGAGGAAAGTATATCCATGAGAGCTCCAATTATTTCTGGTGAGACATCGAAAAGGAATGAAGAGACTCAGAAGAGTACGAAAACAATAGATTCCTCTAGTAGTGATCCAAGTACTTCTGAATTTCCTAGTGTGGTATATAGAACAATAACTAAACCAACTGTTTCCGTCCTTACGGTTACAAAGACAGAGGAAGTTACAACACAGACAGCTTCTAGAAGTGACCCAAGCCAAAATCCTGGATCCCAAAAGGGAGAAGGGGTTTCTGCCAGTATCTCTTTGCCAGCCTCGATTTCTCTAATATGTACGGAAAAGTGTCTCACCGTCAGTGTTCCTGAGACTTCGGAAAAGAAAGAGGTCTTTTCCTCTGTGGCTGCTTCATTATCGGATACTCAAGGGTTTATGAACACAGGTAGGCAAGACATAATAGCAGAGCTCCTTCCATTAGTTAGAAAGGTGTTAATTGAGGATTTGGAAGAAACAAAATGCACAAAAACTCCCAAGCAAAGCTCTCACTTAGAAATGGCAAGTGACTTGGTGAAGACGGTGACAAAAACAGTAGTAAAGACTGTGGAGAGAGAAACAAAAAACAAGGGAGGCCATAAGACTGTATATAATACAGTTTACTCATATAAGAAGAAGCCAAACTGCAGAAAGGGGGTGGAAGGGAAGAAAAGAAAGGTGTGCAAAGAGTCTGAGGAGCAGTTTGTCACAACAGTCTATGTTTGATTCGATTTTATAATAAAGTCAAGTTCTATTTAAGATGGGGAACTCTAATGGGTAGGGGTTGAAAAGAAACTAGCATGGGTGGGATTCGAACCACACAACCTCTGGGTTATGAGCCCAGCGCGCTTCCATTGCGCCACCATGCTTTAAGATGGCCTATCAAGATCGGCATCTCCCTAGGATTATCTGCATTTTCAATTTCATTCTCAAAACGACCCTTCTTCAAAATGGTTATGAAATTTCATCCAAAGAAGATATCGTTTGGAGTATACTCTGAAAAGGAAATAGAACAGGCTAGTTGCATGGATGTTACGGAGCCATCTACTTTCGACAAGTTCGGGCATCCTGTGCGTGGAGGCCTGTACGACTTGAGAATGGGGCCATTAGACTTCTCGTCCAACTGTAAAACCTGCAATTTGTCGCTTCTAAACTGCCCAGGACATTTTGGACGCATAAAGCTATTTAAGCCTGTTTTCAATCCGATATTCTTCGACTCGCTGCTCTCATTAGTTAGGTGTTGTTGCTTCCAGTGCAGGCACTTTAGAATAACAAATTATGATCGGCTTATTATGTTCTGTAAGTTCTCTCTTCTTAGAAATGGAGAAGAAATAGACGGCTTGGATGAGCTGTATGCTACTTCGGAGGAAGAGGAGCTGTACAGTGTTGTTAGTAAGAGAGTGGAATCCTCAAGGAAAAACAGACCTGGGCCTCCAACAGATAAGTACCAGGAGATGGTGCGCCACTTCTTTTCTAGTATAAATTCAAAAAAGAAATGTGTGAGATGTGGACATGCCAATCCAAAGATCTATAAAGGAACAAACATAAAGATATTAAAGTCCCTCCAAAGGGATGATGAAAATAGTGAGAATGAAAAGGATTCGGAGCTGCTTTTCCCGGATTTTATTAGAGAGCTTGTGGAAGATTTGTTTTCCAATGAAGCCGACTTGATTGGCTCCATCTTCTCTACAAAAGACCCGAATATGTTCTTTTTGACAAGTATACCTGTCACACCCAATAGATTCCGTCCGGTGTCTTTTTTAAATGAGAAGAAGGCCCCGAATCCTCAGACTTTTTCCTTTAACGACATTCTCACCATCAATGAATTGGTGAAAAAAGACCTTTCATACTGGCCAGAGCTGCAAGGTGCTGTTCTTTCGTCGTTTGATAATTCAAACCTAAGGAAACGGAATATCGGTTTGATAACGCCACCGGGACACAAGCAGATTCTTGAAAAGAAGGAAGGGCTGTTCCGCAAAAACATAATGGGAAAGAGAGTTAACTTCGCGGCGAGGACTGTCATATCCCCAGACCCTAATCTAGAGACACGGGAGATAGGAGTTCCTTTTGTGTTTGCGGAAGTTCTGACATTTCCAGAGAGAGTAACTAGCTTCAATGTAAGCAAATTGAAAAAGGCTATTGTGAATGGATCTACCTATCCGGGAAGTTTATACCTACAGGATGGAGATGTAATGCTTAGTTTAAGCCACATGCCTGACGAAAAGAGATTTGCCTTGGCAAACCAGCTCCTGGATGGAAAGAAGGTTGTTTGGAGACATTTGGTGGATGGAGATGTGGTACTTGTGAACAGACAGCCGACTTTACATAGACCAAGCATTATGGCTCATAAGTGCAAGGTGCTGAAAGGAGAAAGGACATTAAGAATGCATTATGCCAACTGTAAATCTTACAACGCAGACTTTGATGGAGATGAGATGAACATTCATTTTCCACAAAGTTATGTTGCTGAGGCCGAGGCTAGACATATTGTCATGAATGACTTCAACTATCTAGTCCCCACCGACGGGAAACCAATAAGAGGCCTTACCCAAGATCACATTGTTGCTGCAGCAATCTTGACGATGAAAAACTCGTTCTTTTCCGAAGAAGATTACTTTACTCTAGTGAATTCTGGATTGGATGGAAGACGAATTACCATAGATAAGCCCTGTATTCTCAAGCCTGTAAGACTCTATTCTGGAAAGCAAGTGCTCTCAGCAATAATAAAGAACCTCGGGCTGGGTTTAAATATTGAAATTGAAACCAAGGTTCCAAAAGACGCATGGAGGGAGCATTCGGAAGAAAGCGTTCTAAGAATTAGTGAAGGGAATATAATTACAGGGATTTTGGACAAGAACTCAATAGGGCCAACTTTCAAGTCCTTAGCCCATGCCTGCGGAGAGATTAGGGGGTTTGCAGCCTCGAATGACCTACTAACATATATAGGAAGAGTTTGCAACAAATATCTTCAAATGTATGGGTTTACAATAGGAGCAGATGATCTTATTCTTAGCAATGATGCGAATGCGAAAAGAAAAAAAGTGATGGAAACCAAAGACAAGAAGGTAAGGGAGCTTCAGAAGGAGTACATGGAAGCGAATCCAGACTTTTACTTATGCGACGACAAAAAAGCTTACTTGGACTCTATAATGAGAAGAGAAATGAACAAGATAACCTCAGAGATAGTTAATGCATCCGTTCCTTCAGGATTGAAGAAAGGTTTTCCGGACAACGGTATGGAATTGATTGTTTCGATAGGATCCAAGGGTTCGATTGTTAATCTGAGCCAGATTTCAGGTGCTCTAGGACAGCAAGAGCTGGAGGGACGGAGAGTCCCGGTGATGGCTAGTGGAAAGACATTGCCTTGCTTCAAGCCGCTGGATCCTGATCCATCCTCTGGAGGGTACATATATCAAGGCTTTTTGGATGGTATCAATCCATCACAATATTTTTTCCATTGCATGGCAGGGAGAGAAGGGCTTATTGATACTGCAATCAAAACTGCCAATTCCGGATATCTACAAAGATGCCTAGTTAAGCACATGGAGGGGATAAAGGTTGAGTATGACAGATCGGCACGGATTGGGAAAAAGATAGTTCAGTTTGTTTATGGCGAGGACGGCCTTGACTGCACGAAGTCAAGCTATTTGGACGATCCTGAGTTTTTCCGAAGAAATGCCTTTCTCTTTAAGGAGCTATCTTTGTCTTCCTTCAAGCTTAGCAACAGATACGAAGATTTCTTGTCTCCTCGGTTCAAAAAAGAGATAGAGTTTTTTGACGAAGAGCTTAAGAGATTTCTGGAAAGTAGGTATGTATGCTCTCTAGCCGACCCAGGAGAATCTGTCGGGATTATAGCTGCACAGTCGATAGGAGAACCCTCCACTCAGATGACTCTCAACACCTTTCATCTAGCTGGTGTAGGAGAAAAGAACGTGACTCTTGGAGTTCCTAGGCTCAGAGAAATTCTATTGGTAGCATCCAAGTCCATAAAGACGCCTTTGGTTACTATTCCTATCAGGAAAAAGTTGAATTTTGATATTGGTACATGCTTAAAGAAGATAACACTGAAAGATTGTGTCAGGAAATTTAGGGTCTCTGAGGAAATTGTGATGATTGACGGGGTCTTTCAGAAGAAAATTAGAATGGTGTTTGACCTGGACAACTTTGTGGACCTTGCAAGCGAGGCTTTGGACCGAAAGTTCCTGAAGATACTTGGAAGTAAACTGAAAATGCTATCTAAAGTAAAATATAAGTTAGGAATGGAAGAGGGAAATAAAGATAGTTCAAAGGAACTAGATGAAAACAAAGAAAACGAGGAAGAGGATGAGAGTGACAGTGATGAGGAAAGTAATTCAAAGAGTGACTATATATGTGTAGATACCAGCGAGAATGAAAACACTGAAAAGGACAGTGATGATACTACTCATCCCGAGACTATTGACGAAATTGACCATACCGATAACTCAAGCAGTACTGAAGAGGAGAATCTCATAAACTTTACAAGGAAGTCAAAAAACATACTTTCATTTGAGATGCTGTATCCTTCTGGATTTAACGAAGTGATATCCTCAATAATCGAATCTATCCTTCCTACAGTTGTGGTGAGAGAAACCAAAGGCATAAAAAAGGCCTCGATCTCCGGAAATACTCTCTTTGTAGAAAGCCCTTCCATCTCCTCTTTGACAGGAAGGATAGAGGTGGCTCCCGGTGTCTATGAGGATCTACTAGATCTCTTAGATATCTACAATTCCGAGTCTAATGATATATACAATGTGTATCTAACGCTTGGGATTGAGGCTGCAAGACATGCTATAATCAACGAAGTAGTGAAGGTTTTCGATGTCTATGGAATTTCAATTGATGCTCGGCATCTTCTTCTTGTAGCTGACTATATGACAAGAAAAGGCGACTACTCTCCCTTCAGTAGGCATGGACTTGGAATTGGCGACTCTCTTATCCAGAAAATGAGTTTCGAAAGCTGCTACTCCAACTTCAAAACAGCTGCAGCATTCCACCTTGAAGATCAATTGTCTAATCCCTCTGCCTCCATAACTGTGGGAAATCCCGTGAAATGCGGGACAAACTCTTTCGATCTTATATACAATGTAGACTTCTTTAATAATAAAGTCTAGATTTTATTTTCTTTTTGTGTTATTTACAGAAGGTCACCTTCTAAGTGAAACCAAAGTCTTTCCAAACTCTCTTAGTTGAAACAGCTTCTGGATACGATCGCTGGGCAATTCACAGATTCTCTTGTAGACAGAAGAGTCATAGTAGAACAGCCTTGTATTTGGGCACGTGTATGGTGCTGGAAGACCTGTGAGATCGCATAACTTCATTCCGGGTCTTACAGATACTCTATTGGAAATCTGGATGTACCTGTGGTCCTTTTCGATAAGCTCTGGGATTAGCTGCTTCAGTGTCCTAAACTTTATGTTCTTGTTTATGTAGGTATTTTTCTTGTAGCATAATTTCTGTTTTTTCATCAAGGGCGTTCAAAAAGTCTAAAATATTATATAATCAACTTAAGAACCTTTAATATCTTATGCAAGCATCTCCAGCTTCTTATTCACCTCGTCCTCAAAAGACTTATTCCTCCTTAGTTCTTCAATCTTTCGGTTCATCTCTTCCCGTTTCAAGGACTCCAACTTCTCTCTTTCCTTCAGCTCATCAGTGAGACTTTTGGCTGCCTCGGCATGCTTCCATCCAAACATACTCAGAAGCTTCCCAAGAGTAACATACCTGTTTGGATTACTTGTGTATTTTACCAATGCACAAGTGACCTTGTGTCGTGGTTGCCCTTCCAGTTCTCTAGGAATCCCCTCATACGTGGTAAGTCGGCTCATTGCCACTTTTCCTCTGGGTTTCTTGTAAGAGATCATTCGCTTGATTATCTTTGCAAGATGCATTCTTGGCTCTCGGAAGTGAAACGGTCCCCTCCTTGGATTAACAATGCATCTTTTGTTAAGATACGCCTTGAATTTATTTACTGCCTTTTCTAAGCTTCCTACAAACACCGCTTCCTCACAGCACACCACTGTCACCCGGACTCCTTCAAGAAGGAGCTTAGCAACCTTTGAAGCAAGCTTTCCTGCCACTTGCCCAGTAGCATCGATTATAAAATGCTCCTTCTTTTCCATTGAAGGGATAAATTTTTTAAGACTCAAAAATTCTTGAAGTCCTATCCAGGAGTCACAAAAGATTGCATTCTATATTAGAATATGCCGCTCTTTGGTTTGCCATCGCCATCCCGCTTCCAAGCAGATTTAGAAGAGACAGAAACATCCTACTTCTTTCATATCTGCTATGCCCATCAGCCATCTCATTGAAGACAAATCTTTCAGGCAACTTCTCAATATCAAGACAGTCTTCCTCTACAACCTCGGAGGATACTTGCGACTCATTTATATTGTCCCCAAAACTGATGTCTCCATATGATTCCATTATTACTGTATCACGGACACCTTCTATGCTTTCTCTTTGGTACATCTCTCTCCTACAGATCTTCGATAGTATCTCAGGTGCAATTGAGAGTTTGGAAACAAGCTCATCTCTTATATCGAGACTTTTCTCCCTAAACACTATATCCCCTGTATTCCTAAGGTTTTCTCGAAATTCTCGGGCGTCAAACTCCAGTTCCAAGTCTTCAATTATTTTCCTCCTTTTCTCTCTTCGCTCCTCTAAGGGAATTTGAGTAATCTCCGTGGCTGTAGAAGCTCTTGTGCTATCCTCGGTTCCAAACCTTCCTTCTTCAACATATGAAATGTCGTTAAATCCCCCAAAGCTTAGGTCTTCTATTTCTTGTATTCCATCTATGTTCTCCTCCTCAGGAAGAATGACAAACTCTTCTGGACTTATCATCTGATCGTCGATATATAACCTTTCTAAGTCAAGTCCCAAGGTTATTCCCTTCGAGGATACCGACCTGAGGCCCTTTCCTTTTTCGCCTTTCTTTCTCCAGATTTTATGTACAACATCACTACACTCATCCTGCAGATACTTTAGTTTCCTTACCAAAATCCTGCTAAGACCAATCACAACAAGACCTCCTTCCCTAATAGAAATATCCTGAGACATCACCTTAAGCACAATTGCAGATATCGATATCTCTTTTAGATGATGCTTCGGAAGTCTTTTTTCTATGAATACAGCTTTGAAAAGAAGATCCTGAGGATTTACAAGACCTAGAATTCCCCTGGTTCTCGCCATTTCAAATATCCTGGGAAGGCAAATATTAAGTACTTTTTGGAGGGAACCATGCACCATCCAGACAATATCCCACAGAGGAAACCATTCGTTGTATTCACAACATATCCAACCCGAGAATCAGCTGAAAAAGCTTCGTACGAGTTAGTCAATAGAAGGCTTGCTGCATGCTGCCAAATATCCAAGATAACCTCCGTTTACTCTTGGGATGGAAGTGTTAAAAGAGAGACAGAGTACAAATTGGCTGCAAAGACCTTTTCCTCCTTGTTTGTTAAAATCCAAGAGTTCATGGCGGAAGACCATCCATATGAAGCTCCTCAAGTGGTCGGAATCGAAATACACTCTATGTCCGAGCAGTACTTGAGGTGGATGAATCTCAATACCGATGCTATCTAGTAGTACTTCGGGCATTATATGCTGAATGTCTACATATGCTTTGTCTTTTCCTCTTCAAACCCTAAAATAGCGTGGATCAGGAGGGCACTAAACAAGACAATCGAAGACAAGGTAATTAGGACATCTTCGGCTGCAGTTGGACTATGAAACAATGGCTAGAAATTACGTGGACAAAACTTACTCTTATAGCCAGTGTGTAAAATACAAACACATATGCTGTTGTTGCAGTCACCATCAATAGCTTTGGATTGATCATCGGGGGCAGGAGAGGTGCCATTCAAGTATCTTGGCCGAATAAACAATAAAAAAAAATTTACTTGAGGGCTTTAAAGAAGGTAAGTGATTTGGTTATGTATCAAGGCTAATTTGTAGAGAAATGCTAGTACCGACAGTAAATAAGTACAAGATAAAGAGACGTTTACTCGAGAAAAAAGCTTTGCTTCTTGAGGACACTGTTCTTGGAAATCATAAGGATCTCGAAATTCCCAACCTGCAACTGAAGGCATTTATGAAGACCATGATCTCTTATGGATATGTCCAGAAAATTCACGTGTGGAGACACTCATACTTCCTTCTAACTCCACTTGGAGAGTCCAGGCTGAGGGAAGAGCTGGTTTTTACCGACGAGTCCATCAATAGCCAAGAGGCTCCGACTGTTGCGGTTTGAAATAAACACCTTCTTTATTGCTAAAGACCAGCGGCTTTGGAATTATTCTTTTTCATCTTTGTGGATATGGCCCTGAATGGAGGGTTGCAGCCACCCATGGATTGACAATGGTGCTTGTACGTCCTGTGGATTGTGCTTGGAATCAGATTGCGACAACTACATGGCATCATATACTTTTCACAGGCCTGTAATTCCAAGGAGAATGAAGTATTTCGTTGTAGACAAAGCAGAGAGATATAGCAGAAATGTAGAGTCTTTACTTGGGATTCTGAATGTTTCAGGCTATTCCGAAGAGGTTAAACTCCTCTTGAGAACAAAGGATTTTGAACACAGAATTGGAGCCAACGATAAGATACTGGCAATAACTTACAATGTACTTAGAAGACACCAGTATCCAATATCATATAGCGATCTCAAGCCTCTTACAGAAAGGACGGGGCTGGGGCTCAAGAGAATTCTTTTGAGAGAGTTTGAATATGTAGAACTGTCTTCGGAATATCTCTCTAGAATCTTCAGCAGAGTTAGAGATTTTTGTCTCTCACAAGGTCTTAAAGGTAATCATTTACTAGAGGAGTTTCTTTCAATATCCAAAAGCAACAAGTGTACGAGCTCCTACTGTCTTTGCATAGCATACTTCATTAGAGACGAGAACTTACCAGACTCCCACAGAAGGCTCAATCTTGGGGAGATCATAAGTGTATCTTCTTTGAAGAGAATAGTCAAAAAGATCCAAGGAGACCTCCAAAGAAATGGAGACAGGCCATCTGAAACAAAGAAAAAATTGAGAATTAAAGATAGAGCAAGAAAATACATTATGAGGAAGCTGCAGGAGCAGCCACAAAAAGATTAAGTGAATTCTTTATTTTTGGGAAGACATCTAAATCTCTAGTTTTGGAAAAATAACATTGTCCAGGGATAGGAGCTTTGGTCTGTTTTTGGCATCCATTGCCTCGCGCTTGATGAGACTAACAACTTTTTGGATTCCTTTTAGAGATTCACTTAATATATCAAGCTCAAATAGATACGGTTGAAATTGGTTAATCGTAACAGACACATTCCATTCAAGATCCTTTTCAAAGCTTTCTCTCTTTGCCATCGCATATGCCATTGGATGGAATCTCATAATCCATAGGACTCCCCAAAGTATCTTGTGGCAGCATGAGGACTTGACCTGCAGAGAGACATTACAGAGCTTCTTAACAAATGCTTTGGTTACAACAAGTGGGACAGAACCATTATCTAAAACCATTAGAATAAAAAACAGTCTCCTCTCAGTATCGTTTTCAATGTTTTCGGGTCTAATACAATCCAGGAGAGTGCTAAGAAAGCCATCAAACTCAAATCCAAAGTCCCTCTTCATCACAAAAATTACTTTGGCGGCATCCATCGAAAAGTTGCACTCAGGACTAAAGTACTTCTCTACTGCTGGATAGATGTTACGAGGATCTCGCATGCATGACATGAGGTCCAGAAGCATCTCCATAAGTCTCTTGTGGTCCTTATGCGATGTCTTATCAAAGGCATTAATAAGAATTTCGTCTAGCTCGTACTCTACCATTTCTTCTGATGAACATTCCAAAGATGCCTGCACAAGGTCTTCTAATGCATCCATTATCTTCTCAGGAAGATTTTCAACTTTGCTCTCCAAAACTAGTTCTAGTTTCTCAACAGCTTCATCCATTCCCAGGGAAACAAGAGGGAAATAGAAAATAAGAATTGTATTTGGTCAATCATTATTTATTCTATATGCTTTTGGAGATTTCTTTTTCGAAGAGCTTTATAAACGATTCAAACATCTTCCTGTCCATCAAAAACAGTCGGAATATATTATTGTTCATTCCAATCTGCTTCTTAGCTATGTGGGATGATAGTAGCAAGATCTCTTCTCCTCGCACAGGGATATGGCTCAAGTCCACTGGGTTATACTCCTTGAAGTCTTCCATGAGATTCTTTACCTCTCTTTTTCCACACGGCTTAACTCTCGAGACAAATATCATGTACTTGAATCTTCCTAAGGAAAGGCTCCTGTACAGGCTCAAAATCATTTCCAAAGGAAGATTGGCTGCCCTTTCCATATAGAATATATAAACCTCGCTACTTTTGATTTTGTTCTTTTCTGCCGTCGAAATCAAAGAGCTAAGAGCTTCCCTGAGCTTCTTGTGTATCATTTCAAGGACCTTGGGCACCTCAAGAAAACCACAAAAGGAGAGAATAAGATCCCCGCTTACTAAGACCTTGGAATTGACAAATAATGAAAGAAACTCTTCCGAAGAGGGAAACATCCTGGACTGGTCCATAAGTATAGATACATCCGTCCAGTTGGATACCGAGAGATCTGCCACCTCGTAAACAATTTCGTCGGATGAAGATTCCAAGGAGACTGATTCCGAATAGGTGCCGCTCTCTGTACTTTCCACGATGTTAGGGGAGCTTTCAGTCTTATGCCTTTTGCTATTACCCATAGGGTGTTGAAGACAGAAGTGATAAATAGTCGAGAATATCAATTCTGTACCAAGATTAACTAATGTTTATTCATAGAAGATCCTGCCCTGGCAATCCACAACGGTGAGATCCGGAAGCACCTTGTAAAAGAGATCTCCGATGCAGGCCCCATCAACTATGGATTCTTTCACATGAGAAACAAGTCCAATGCTATTTTTCTCTATCTTAAACAAGAAATAGGAATTCAAGCAAATGACTACAAGCTCGTTCTTTCCTTTAGTAATGGTCTTCATAACTCTTATGCCTTCGGGAAGCTTAAACGTACATCTGGGAAAACACTCTTCGTCATATAGAACCATATTCTTATTGCTTATTGAAATCAGGAGTCCATTAACACATTCCAAAGATTCTATAGAGTCGCAGCCAAAGCGATAGTCCAATATTCTTCCATTCATTTCACTGATGCGAATTCTTCCGTACTTATCACTTAATAGAATCCTTCCGTTGTATATAGCCATTCCCGTCAAATACGATAGAGTTCCAAGCACATATTTGCATCCTTCATTTTCAATTCTGTAGACGTCTCCAAACCTATCTGCAACATATGCAGTTCCCTCATGCTCTACTAAACAAAAGATGTTTCTGTTTAGCTTGGAAGCGTTCCTAAGAACAGGTCCGTCAACAACATGCAAATTTTTTTCTTTGTCAACTAAATACTTTCCAGACATAAAGGATATCAGAGGAGGCGCAGTCATTTTCCTTGTGGTGCCGCTGAAGACATCCCTCACTATCAAAGTCTCATCCATGCGGACGATAATATCTCTATCGGAAGCGGATATTAAATTCATTTGAATGTCAGAGGATATTTTTCTCGGTATTAAATAAATCTTCCCTTAGGATAACAAGAAGTAAAGCAGCTGAAGTTTTATTCCTCGATTTCCTGAACAAGACGTGCGTTTCCGTTCAACAAGCAAATTCCAAGCTCCTTTGCTCGATTGACGATGGCTATTCTCTTTCTAGCTCCTACTGCATGTGCAATCTCTCCACAGTAAAATCTGTTCAAGGATGCTAGGGGAGTAAGGTCGTTGATATTGAATATCCTCACCTTTCTGAGTCCATTTGGAAGAAGATGTCTGATCTCCTTTGGCTTCTTGTATTTGATGGATGGCATTTCTCTTTCACCCCGGCATCTCTTCCTGACCCTACTGTCAATTCCATGAGGCTTTCTCCAGGACGGCTTTACTCTTTTATACCTATCGGAGTGGTGGCGGATGAACTTCTTTTTCTTTTGGTAAGCTTCCTTTATCTCAACCAGGGGATTTGCTTCTAAAAGCTCCTTGCTCATCTGTTCAGGGTAAATTTTTTGCCACTTTTAACGGGTAGGGAGGAGTGCTCTGTAAGTAGGTGAAGGCATTACAAAGCATATCTAATAAATCTTTTAATGCGGCGGATGTAGGAAGTCTTATTTCTTTGGATATATATTAACCCATTAGAAGATATAGTATGAATGGCATGAAAAAGGAAGGAAGAGGAAAGAGTAAGCTTGAATGCAAGGAAGGGAATAAGAAACGTTTGAAGGGGGAAGATATCCCAAGAAGTTGCAAGGAGAAGAAAGAAAGCTCTAAGGGAAAAAAAGAAAAGGATGAGATATCGAGGGAAAAGAAGAAGAATATTGAAGCCATTAAATTTGATGAGGCCACATGTTCTCTTGTTATAAAGGGAAGTCTGACTTTGAAGGACATAAAAGAAGCATTCAAAAACTTCAAGTCAATAGAAAACGGAAAAGGCCATTTTATCTTGAAGTATCCTAGCAAAGAACATGCACTTGTAGACATGAAAGCAAACAGAAAGCAAGGGAAGGAAAAGAAAGAAAGCAGCGGAAGATATCTGGACAACAAATACATACTCACCAACCTCTCTTATAAAGAAAATGAAGAGTCTATTTCAAAAGTGTTTGAAAAATACGGAGAGATAGAGAGAATAAGAATAAAAAAGAACAAGGATAACATATCTACGGGTAAAGCGATTATAACCTTCAAGAAAAAAGCTGTGATCAAAGAGGAAATTGTAATGAACAACAAGCCTGTTTATATAGAGAGGATGAAGAAGCCTTGGGAAAACAAGACAAGATTCTTTTTAGGAAAGTTGAACAAGGCCCATTCGATTGTCGAAATAAGGAAAATACTTGCAGACGTCGAATGTAAGCCGAAGGAGATAAGAGTGATATACGGAGAAAACAAAAGAAATAGGGGATATGGATTTATAGAATATGCCAATGAAGAAGATGCAAATGCATTTACAGAGAAGTTTGAAGAGATTAAGGACCGGTTGGGGGCTGGATGTTACTACGAGTATTCGAATGAAAAGGCTTCTTCCCGAAGGAGATAGAGTTGGTGAATAAATTTAACGATGAGCCAGAGAAATTTAGGGAATTATTCTTCAGAAATACGTTCTGTGGGGCCTAGCCCATGAACCAAAACGGGGAAGAGGTGGAATGTAGGAATGTCTCTGGAGCGGAAGCCAAAGGCACGGAAAAAAAGTATTCGGTGATGGTGAAGCAAAACTGGATTCCCTCGGACTATTCACAGTATGTTGACGAGAGGATTCTGAACATAGACTTTGAGACCGATACTTTCCAGAAGCAGGCATTTTATTTTTTAAGCAGGAACTCATCTGTTTTCGTTTCTGCGCATACAAGTTCCGGAAAGACTCTTGTGGCCGAATATGCCATCTCTCTGTCACAGAAGCATGGGACAAGGACTATTTATACATCGCCCATCAAGGCATTGAGCAATCAAAAGTACCACGACTTCAAGCAGAAGTACGACGACGTTGGAATTATTACGGGGGATGTGCAGGTTAACCCCACTGCGAAATGCCTTGTGATGACGACTGAGATTCTTCGGAACCTTGTGTACAGAAATGGAGATCTTTTGAGAGACACAGAGTTTGTTGTGTTTGACGAGGTTCATTACATCAACGATTCTGAAAGAGGAGTTGTGTGGGAGGAATGTATAATCATGATTCCTCGCAATATAAACTTCATTATGCTAAGTGCAACAATTCCCAACGGCCTGGAGTTTAGTGAGTGGGTAGGAAGGACAAAGGATCGGACAATATATGTGATTTCGACAGGGAAAAGGGCAGTTCCTTTGGAGCATGTGATATATTGCGACTGGAATGTGTATACCATTAATGAAGGAGGAAAAACAGAAAATGCATCGAATTTCAAGGGAGATTTAGTTCCTTTCAGCAAGAAGAATAGGCCTACGGGGAAGTTTAAGATACTGGACCTGGCCAATTTTGTTGTCAAGAAAAAGCTTACTCCAGCGATATTCTTTTGCTTTTCAAAAAGAAGGTGCGAAGATTATGCCGAGATCCTCAGGACTTTGAACTTGAACGATGCAAAAAGTAGAGAGGAAGTAAAGATGTTTCTCAACGAGGCCACCAAGTGCCTCTCTTCCGAGGATAAGAACTTGCCTCAGGTTCTTAACATGTCTTCGATGGTGCTTAATGGAGTTGCAGTGCATCACGGTTCTCTACTCCCCTTTGTTAAGGAATGTGTGGAGCTTCTCTTTTCCATGAACCTGGTCAAACTCCTTATAGCTACTGAAACATTTGCAATGGGAGTGAACATGCCAGCCAAATGCTGTGTGTTTTTATCTCTTAGTAAAATCGATAATGGAACCTTCCGATATGTCTCGTCTGGAGAGTACATTCAGATGAGTGGAAGAGCTGGGAGACGAGGGATGGATGCAGTAGGAACAGTGATGATAGCAGATCCAAAAATGCCACCTCTTTCAACTATTCAAGGGATTATACAAGGTGCACCATTCAGCCTATCCAGTCAATTTAAGCTAAGCTTTGGCCTTATTCTTATATCACTAAGATCAAACATTAGGGTGGAAGACCTAATGAGAAGAAGTTATGGGGAGCATAGGAGCCAGAGGAACTATGAGAAGGATATGAAAAAACTGTCTGAACTAGAGCGTTACCAAGGGAAAGAGTGCAGTGTATGTGGAGACCTGGCAAAGTACATCAATGCTGTTGAGGAGATATGCGCTAAGAATTGGAAATTAATTGGAAAATACAACGTTTTGGGGGAGGGAAGACAGATTCTATTGAAGAATAACTCCGTAGGAACTGTTGAGAAGGTTTTGGGAACGTCTGTGCTTCTGAAGCAAGAAGGGGAATTCCAGAGTAGCTCTCCAATTTCCACAAGGTTTCTGGCTCATCCCCTAAACATCAGAAAGCCTCTGGATAGAAGTAAAGTTGATCTTGCAGATGTTTTCTGTGTACTGGAAGATGGGAGGGCTTTCTGGAACTATAATACGACAAATGTAATGGATGTGCTGGAGATAAGAAAACTCAAGAGTTGGTATGATTACCTAATATCCGAAGAGAAGGACTGCAAGGAGTTTGATCTTCACTACTTAAGTGCATTAGATATGCTTCACAGAAGAAAGGAAATAGAAAAGATAAGCACAAAATATAATGCTTGTAGCCTTGGGATGATAGATGAGTATAACAACAGGATGGAATTCCTCAGAAGGAAAGGATTTGTTGACGGGACCATAACAATGAAGGGGAGAGCGGGAGCAGAGATACATACGGTTAATGAGGTTTTGGTTGTTGAGATGATATTCTCAAATGAATTCAAAGAGATGTGTGGGCGTAAAATCATTTCATTGATGTCTTCAATGATACATGAAGAAGGCGGAGAAGAAGAACCAGGAGAGAGTCTCCGCAGCGAATGTGAAATAATGAAGGAATATTTCGCGAGACTATCCAAAGACCTAGATGAATTATCTATTCCGCCTTTTCCGCCCTTGAATTTCTCCCTTGTAGATGCAGTTTATGATTGGTGCAATGGATCGTCACTGGTAAAGATAGTATCTAAATATGATGTTCTCGAGGGGACTTTTGTAAGGCTAATATTGAGACTTGAAGAATGTTGTAGGGAGTTGATAAGTATATCTGCAATGATAGGAGATAAAGATCTAGAAAAAAAGATTGAAGATGCATCTGCATCCATGAAGAGGGATATTATATTCCTGCCAAGTCTGTACCTTTAAGAATAAATACGGAATTCTTTTACAGTTTACTTTCCTGTGCTATTCCACTTTTCTATGAGGAGGTCTTTCCTCTCAAAGCTCTTGTAGAGGAACTCTTCATAGTCATCTATCTCGTTGATCAGGACAGTTCTGATGTCACAGTTGAACGAGCCTTTCGTATCCCAAAAAAGAAACTTCCACAGGGGAGGAACCTCTCCCTCCGAATAAGAGAATGTGATGTCCACAATCTTCTTTATTCGGGAGTTTCGGAGCTGTTCACATATGAGTTTAAATCCTTTGTATCTGGGAAAAAGCACGTTGTTGAGTCTTATCATTCCTTTCTTATCGGAATATCTCCAACTCTCAAGTTTCAGCTTTTCTGTGAATCGGGATCCTTCAGGATAGAGAACAAACCATATCGGAAGATTTGAGACGTCGAAAAATCTTAAATATTCTATAATCTTCTTCTTATCTTTCTCAAAGCTTCTTTTCAAGACAAGAAATCCAAGATAAACAACGATTTGGTAGAATATGGGGAAAATCCGAAGGCCGTCCTTAATTGCATACTTTGCGTGGGCCATCATTCCGCTTTTCCTGGTTATTTCATTAATTAGGATGAAATCTACAGATCCTAAGTGGTTGCTTATAACCAAGTAACTTTCGTTCCCAAGGGAAACGGCACCATTTACAGTGCTTGATAGATTGAACATCCAGCTTGTCAAGGTCCACAGAGTGTATGCAAAGAAGCTTGATAGTTGAATACATAGCGGTCTGTTAAATATGTAGAGAGGATAAGCAAATATGGAAAACGGAATTCCAAGAAGAAATAGCACTATTATTCCTTGAAAAATCACCAGCTTGAGTAATATTTTAGGAACCTTTTTCATTATATGGGTTTTTTAGTTCCGCAATTTACGGGGACCCCTAGTGTAAAATGGAGCCTGGATCCACCTATCCGGCCAACTTTGAGTCCCTAAGGGCTTTCTTTGAAGTGGTGGGAAACGAAAGATACTTTAAGATCCAGATTGTGACTCTGGAGTCTCTTGACACATTTGAAGCGGCTTTAAGGGAGAGAAAGGTGGTATATAAAAAGTGCTTTAGCTCTATGATCGAAGAGTCAGAAGATCTTGTTCTCATACTTGAAGACTCAAAGATATATCTTCCTAGCCCAGGGAAATATGTTCTGTTTGGTAACAGACGACATAGAGACTTTGTTCAGATTGTATTCAGTCCAACGCTGGAAGAGAAGCTTGCTGCAGTTGGGGACAAATATACGGTCCAAGCATATAGTTATAAAAACATTAATGAGCTTCGGAGGATTTCCCAAGGGGAAGAATGGACGATAGAAAGTTATTTTGGGAGTGGACTCGATTACTTTGAAAGTGTAATAATGCTTGTTGTAAAGAACAGAAATAAGTTTAAGGATATCTTGAGTGGTTGCAAAGAAATCGAAAGTAAATTAGGAAACGGCTTTTTCCTACAGATGAAGCTTAATGGGCTTGTTGGTAAACTTCTTGTGGTCAGGAATGGAGACAGCTATCGGCTGAACGTAAGCAAAAGTGTTCTTGGATCCATAGGAAAGAGAATAGGATTTAATGCGGATTCTATTGCTTGAACTTGATATTTATTTGCGGATGTACTGCTGTTGAAAATGTCCTAATGAGTTATCGATCCCCTGTTTTCAATGGAGGACTTAAGAGTAAGGTACAAAAGACTGCAGGAGAAACGCAGAAATACCAAGAAGGGAAAAGTAGTGATAGGAGAATGCATAACGTTTTGTCCTGAGTTTGAAGGTCTCGAGCGAGTTCTTAATAATGAAGTATCTCCTTACGAGACAGAGGTTATGGTAAAGAAGTATCGGAAATCGTTTCCGGACTCGGGAGGAGTTCTTGCAGAAGATATAAGGCCAATTGAAGTATTATGGAGAGTAATAAACCATGTCATCAGACTGTGTGCAGATGACCAGAGTATTCAAATATACAAATTTGTAGAGAACAGAATCAGAGCAGTCTTACTAGACATGAAGGTCCAAGAAGAAAGAGGAAGGGAGGCAATTGAGATACTTGAGAAGGTTGTCAGGTTTTACATTGTCTTTAGATACCAGCTGTATGATCATCCTCAGTTCAATAAGGATTTAAATTTAAGCCAGCTTAGGATGGCAATGGAAACTCTTATGCGGTTGTATAGCTTAGAAAGCCGAGGTTATGAAAATAGGAACAAAGAAGAGTTCTACTGTTATCACATTCTAGCCTCAATGTGCGAGAAATATGTTTTAGATTCGGGAGAACAGGATGATGGGCCAAGAATAAGGTTATCGATGGAAATCACAAAGAAGTACATGCAAGGAAATGGGGCGGGATTCTTCAGGCTTCTGCGAAAACTTGACTATATTTCATTCTGCCTGGCGCAATCCTTTATAGGAGAAGTTAGAGGAAAGTGTGTGCAACTGTTTAAGAAGTCCCTTGTAGAAAAAGTGAAGATTGGATTTTTTGGAGATGTCCTGTTGACTAGTGAGGCAGAGGCCGAAGATCTCTTTCGAGACAAGGGGATCCCCATTAGGGGAGGAAAGGTGGATTTTGAGGAAAAGGGATGTGGAGAGGAATATGATAAAGTAGTTCCTAAAAGCAGAAAGATAGAAACAAATGTGAAGAAGCCAGTTGTTTTTATGCTCCATGGGGCGGTGGATTATCAAATCCTGTCATATATTCTCTCTGCAGTGCTTTGGAAAAAATTGAATATCTCCAAGGAGTCCCTTTGTAATAAGTTCCCGAAAGACAAGGAAAGATTGGGCTCTGTAGAGAGAAAGACCGTTGTAAGGAAAATATGTGTTTCCATACTTGAAGAGATTATTAGGAAGACCACTATTGAAGTGTTCTCTAGAATCATGTTCCTAAATGCGTTGAGAGAATACCTCGTTAAGTGGAGGAACCAGGCGATAGCAAGGAACAAAGATGTTTTGGCCAAGAACAAATACATCCTGCTAGTTGTACTGGACAGAGAGGTATCCTCGGTTTCCCTTGTGGGGAATATCAACTCTTCCATCTTGAATATTCTTGCTCCTACGATTACATATATAGAAAAGATTACTGTAGATGAGATGCTGATGTATAATCTTTGTATTTTCTCAACTTCAAGAAACAGGCGTGAAAGACTGTACAACAAATATCGAATGGTTAATCTTATTGTTGATACTCCCCAGGGTCTTTCTAAAAGAGTCGACGAAATCTATGAAAGAGCAGTGAATTCACCAAAGATCAGGAAGTCCACACTGCTTACCCTCATTGGTGAGATGAGCAAGGTGGAAGCAATAGAGACAATCGTTAAGCTCATAGACAACGGAAGAAATGAGGACTCCCTCGAAAATAATCTTTCTCTGCTATATGACGATAAGCCTCTCACTGAATGCGACGTCTACTACGAAGAGGGAAGTATGGGCCACACTGGTTTGTGTCTGTAGTTTTGAAAGCTTTAATTAAAATATAACTTATAGACTCTCGCCTATCCATACAGATCTATGCCGTTGCACAGCATTCCGAGAGTTGCACTTTACCTAAACGAGAGGCTGTCTCTTCTTACAGATGCTTTTTCTGTGTTGAATATCTTCCAGAACTTCAAGTTTTCATCTGCAGATACCGAGGCCAGTTCCGATCCATCAGGACTTAGAGCTACGTGAAGAACTCTCGACCCGTGCTTCCCGAAGGAAGAGATTAGATTCATTGTGGAAGTCTTCCATATTCGAATGTCGTTTTCACTGTATCCGTGCGAGGAGATGATTTCTTTATACTTGGGGAGATATGTGAGGGTACACACCTGAGACTGTGTGCTTATGCTTCTTTCCAGCCTATTTTCGGCAACATCCCAAAACTTTATGGTCATATCCTTTGCTCCTCCTCCAGAAGTCAATATCCCCGATCTCCAAGGACACCACGCAAGAGCCTTAACAGCAGATTTATGCCCTAAAAGCGTTTGCGAATTGTTGTTTCCCAATTGCCATATTCTTATAACATTATCATTTCCCCCGCTAGCAAGATATTTCATATCTGCACTCCATGCCAGGCCACATATTTCCTGGGAATGGGCTCCAACCATAGAGATTTTTCCGCATCTTGTGTCGAAGTTGCATAACTTTCCCGCTTTGTCTCCACTACTTATTATGTTTCCATTCCAACTCAACGATGAGACTCTGGCTTGGTGATTTCTTATTGTATTTATCTCCTTATTCACCGAGGTGTCTACAAGGCGCATCGCTCCGTCTGAAGTACCAATGCAAAGGATGTTTCCATTGCTTTTTACCGATGACACATAATTCTCCCCAGAATGGATATCGACTACACTTTTGTCAACGGCATTATATCCATAGACAGACTCTCCCAGCCCTATTACCAGAAGATTTGTGGTGCTCCAGTCGAGCAAGTTGAGGTAATAGTCGTCCAGCATACCTGGTGCATCCAGTATCCTATGTGGAGACGTGTCAATATGTCTGTTTTCTATCCGAGTGCTTCGGGAAGATGTCATAAGCCTTATGCTGGCCAGAACATTTGTGTGTATTCCCATTGTACTCTTTGTGTATCTATCCTCTTTTTGTGATTGTCTTCTCCCGGATATTGTAAATATGTCACCTAAGTTTATGCTCATTGGCGTGGTGTGTTCAAGGGGGTAAACATGTGAAACCAAGAACAATAATTTTGTTTTATTGAACTGTAAAGAAGCATCCTGCTGTCTCCTGGCTTTAAAGAAAGATACTAGTGCTTATTTCTGTTTGTACATCTGGCTTCAATTTTTTACCCACAAATGAGAGTGAAGAGGCCTCGTGAAAGGAAGATCTTGCTCTCGGTGATCTGCAGCAGCGAGGGAGAAAAGATCCAAAGAGAGATAGGCGCTATAAGAGGAGATACAATCCACATACAGGAAAAGATAAGTGCTTTTGATTGTGTGGAGCAAGTGGAGAAGTTGATGAAGAAGAAGAAGTCCGGGATATTTATTTCTGTAACCAAGGAGAATCTCCTTGTGATTGGACGTACTTTCAACGATGAGATTATAGATATGGTTGAGTTCAAGATAAATAAATATCAACCGGTGTCGGACTTTGAGTGTGTAAGCCCAGAGCTCCATATGAAATATTTTGTGGTTCTAGAGAACATTAATAACCCTAGGCTGGAAAGTCTTGTGATAGATCTTTTCAACATGAGAAGTTCCAAGGTCTGTCTAGAAGGGATAAGATACTCATGGGTCTTTGCAAGGACAGAAAGCGGATATGTACTGAAGTATGTCCGGGTTTTAAAGGATCTTAGTGTTGAGGATTGTGGGCCTTTGTTTGAAATGGAGCTTGCAAGAAGCTATCATTGTAGTGACGAGCTTTATAAAAAGGCACTTGATGAGCCGAGCAAGCCCAGGAGGAATACAACCAAGAATTTATTCAACGATAGGATAGGGACTATTTATATTGACAAGCAGGATCTCAGAGACATCAAACTCAAGAAGACCAAAAGATCTGGTGGCGTTCAGGAGAGAACTTAATTATTCTTCTATAGTTAGAAAACAGATAATAAAGACGCCTTTCTCTATGCAATAGCTTATCCCTTTTACTTTTACAATGAACTTTGAAAAAGAGATTACAGTTCAGGTAAGTGTTATGGAATCCAAAGAGATAGATCTCCTGAAGAAGGAGAAGCCGAGGAAGAGAAGACAAAGGGCCGACGAATATGACTATAACGACCCGTTCATAGAACCTTTTGAGGGAGAGACACAGATGGTGATGATAGAGTGTAAACTAGAGGATTTCTTTGTATATAAGGGAAGACTACCATACAGCGCCAAGAAAGTGTTGAGTGTACACAAGGCAAGGGAACGATCCAAGCTCTTGAAATCAGGTACTGGGTCTCTCGATAAAGGAAATGATGTAAAGAAGGAGAGGTCTAAGGGAAAATTGTCTAATACGAAAACATTGGCCTCAAAGAGGAAATATGGAAAGATTCCCAAAAACGACACTAAGATCTGCGACTGCCTGGCAAGTCTTATAAAGTCTGGGATCGAGAAGCTAGAAAGGCCAATTCAACCTGGGGATTGCAAGACAGAGTACTATGTGTCTCTAATGGTACTTGAGATCTTCCAGAAAGAAAGGGAACTCGACTGGGGGTTGCCGGGCCTGGATTCGGCCGAGAAGCCATCGGATGAGGAAGCAAACAAATATGTAAAGGATTGCGAGAACAAAATGGAAGGGGTGTTCAGTGCAATTGCAGAAGACATTCGGAGTTATCATCTTTATTCCGAGGACCTTTCCTTATTTAAAGGTTTCCAGAAAGAGGGTTTTCTATTCAACGTCAGTGAGTACTTTTTACTTTTTATTAAGACCTCACTTATGAATCAGAAGAGTATCTCTTTTAATAAGGCAAGAAAAGAAGCATACAATAATATTCTTGATCTCTTTCCTAACACATGCAAAAATTCTACGCAGACCAAGTACTATCTCACCAAATATATCTTGCAAACCCATGGAGGAAAGGATCTTATCGGAGATAGTGACAGAGAACATGGAGAGAAGGATGAAAAATGTATCACGCCTTCAGATTTGGAAAGGGTTGAATAGGAGTATCCCGAGAAGAACCAATTTCTTTAAAGATCTTGTACGTGAGCACTGATCTCCTCAGGTACTAATAAAGAAACTATTCAAGTATTTTTCTTTTCACAATTTCAACAATGGAGGAGATAGGAAAAGTTCCATCGACAATAAGGACATTTTTTTCTCTTTTAAGAAGGACCTTGTATGCAGAAAGAACTTTCTCTAAAAATGGAAGGTGGTCGTGAACTTCGTTTCCAAATCCTTTTCTTCGAGATATTTCATCTAGAGGGATATCTATGAAAATAGTCATGTCAGGCTTGGGAAGTCCAGAATCAACCATAACGCACCAGTCGAGATCTAAGCCCTTGGCTACAGAATAAGATGCCCCGCTTAGGGAATAGCGATCGCAGAGAAGTATAGAGCTCTTCCTAAGCTCCTCGATTGTACTTTTTTGTTCATATCTATCTCCACTGAACAGCAGGTGAATGGTTTCGTTTTCCAGATTGATTTCTTTCCGTAGGTATGCATCTATGACTTTTCCTATATTGCCGCTTCTATTAGGAAACCTCATCTTTCGAACATCCCCCATGGAAGAAAGGCTATCATATAAGCTATCAACTATGGTTGTCTTTCCAGATCTATCCAATCCTTCGAATACAATAAATTTTCCTTGGGTCATCAAATCGGAAGGGCTCTTGAGAGCACGAACTTAATATAAAATAACATAATGCCGCCAATTCTATTTACCACCAGAAACCAAATAATCAGATTTCTTTCCCTTTACTACTATAGCTATAGTATCTGTCTATCTTCTCTTTGAGTTCGGAATCCTCCACAACCATGTCCTCTGTAAGAGGCATTCTGTTGAATGGATCCATTCCTCCATTCATCATTAACATATCGTATGTGGATTTGTCTACAGTTATCCGAGAAGTCAAGAGCTTCACTGGATTTCTTATTGGGTTGAACGTTAGTGGATCAATAAACTCGTCAGGAACAGACTCGATCTTCTCCACCACCTCGACTTTCTCCAGATCAGAGATAAGGCTTCTCAGCTCTTCCAACTGAGACTCGTTGATGAGATACTTATTCTCGCATATCCGAAGAGCTGTGCGGAAGAACTCAATGTCAAAGTACATCTTGTCATTGGCCACCATCTCAACAAACTTAGAGCTCCTAATCTTTATATAGATCATGACCATTCTCCTCAGGAGGTTTTTAGCGTCAAAGCCGTACTGCTCTGGAGACTTGATCACAAGGTCTGTGCATCTAGGCCCTGCAATCACTTTCAGATTGCAATTCAGAACTCTCACAAAGTTCGAGATCATCTCTTCCACCAAAAACAAGTCAGGCTTTTCGTCGAGGATATGCATAAACAAGTCAAAGCACCCATCAACATATAGGAAGGAGTTTCTTGCCTTACTTTTGGAGAAACGGATACTCTTCTTCATGGAAATTATTCTTTCGTTGATCGACTCTGCCTTTTTGATTTCGGAGTTCTTTTTCTTAACTTCTTCCAGTTCCCTGCTAAGCTCTTCAACAGTCTTCATGTCTTCCTTTATATCCTTGATTGAAGAAAGACCCTCAGACAAGCTGTATTCAAAGTCCTTCATCATGCAGTTGATGAATGTGATGTTTCTTCTGCAAACATTCATTTTAGCAAACACTCTTCCCTCCTTGAAGATAGAATGGATTATGCTTCTAGGTTCCATCCTCATCTCATCTCTCCCCAAAGAGTTATAGTAATCTATCACCCGATTGAGCATGGTGAACTTTATGGAGTTGCTTCGATGGCTTAGTATCTTCACAACCTCTTTCTTAAAAAGAGGACTTTTCCAGTCCATGATATTCTCCATAACCTTATTCAATGAACTCGAAATTGTTGCCGACTTCATGATGTCAATAGTCATCTCCTGCATCCATAGGAGTGTCCTATAGTAGTAGTCTGGCCATGGGTACTCAGTTTCTGCAGTGTATTCGGTCATGAAATCCGTAAATGCCTTCTCGTCTGAAAAGAGATCTGTCATAAAAAGAAGACCGTTCAAAGCACTCATCTTTGAGTCGATTCCTTTTCTATATGCCTCTATTCTTTCTCCTCCGTCTCCATCGAGGAGCCTGTATTCATAAGCAAGGCTTCTAATGTATTCTCCAAACTTGACACAGGATGTAAACTGTAGATGGATCTTTGAGAAGTAGCAGAATGTTGGAAATGAATCCACAGAGATCTCTTCCACACTCTCTGGGTTTATTTTATCGGTCATGTTTCTGTCAATTATCTTTCCATTAAACCTGCTCATGACCATGGACATATTGTATGCAAACCCATCGCTTATATTTTCTCTCCAGTTGAAAACAGTCTTATTCCTTTCTTTACTCACCGATATGACCTTGCATACATATTTCATGAAATTAATCCTCAATTCTTTCGAAGATCTTATGATCGAGTATATTATTTGATGCATCTTGTAAGAATGATCACAGAGGGAATGGTACGATCTCCGGGACTTCTCCACCACTTCCCTCATAGAAATCCCAAGGTAGTCGTGGGCAGGTGTTGCATAGTCACATTTCTTGTATATGAAAGGCTCGAAGAATCCATCAAGAAAGCAAGGAAAGGCACAAGCAAACCCAGAGTACACAGGAAAGTCAAGAACAACATCTCTTCCAGGTCTAAGGTCACACAGGCCCCAGTAGACTTCGTTCTTAAGTTCTTCAAGAACACTAGGGAGACCTGCCAGTGTTTCAAGTGCAGAGCTATAGCTGGCTATATTTGATGTAGCATCCATTTTAGAACATCTAAACGACAGTCCGTAGATCATCGGAAGGAATACCTTTTTTGGCATCCCTTCGACTTCGCTTAGCCTTTCAAAGCAATCCATAACATCAAAGTATGATGTCCCAAAAGAATTCACAACAAGGGTTGTGAGGGAAATAGGGCTGAATACACATCCTGCCATCCTTGGATTATCCACAATCATGGCTATCGTTTCAACAAAGAACCGGGTGCCCTCAGGACTGTATGAAGACTTGTATCTTGGAATTAGATCCAGAAGAATGTCATCCCTTGAAAAGTTGGTAATGTAAGATAGCCGAATATATTCGGCCTCGTCCATGTCTACAGAGCCTGTGTCTGCGGGTTCTCCATGGTTAAACATTTCGTATAATTCTTTTCTGTTCATTCCAGGGTATTCCAGGAAAACAATTGAATGAGGATAGGGGAATGGGTGTCTCACTCCCAAAATCTCCAAGATGTACGATGCATACACTCGTAATAGAAAACTTTAGGTAAATGTTTACTTTGTACTGGATGTATTCGAATAACTTTCTTCACATACCCCAGTTAGAGAGGAATGACCGTCTTGTACGACAAGTTACAAAACATTGAGGCAGAGATTGACCGGTTATGCTTAGAAAAGAAACTGAATATGGAAGCCGAGTATCTCAAAAGAATCAAATGCAAGAAGTCTCTCCGATGTTATGTCAAGGTTGCTATGAAGAAGGGTATATTCATACGCCTTGATAGTAGAGTGATCAATGACTATAAGAATGGAGGGCAAATGAAGTTTTCCGATGTTGTGAAAAGATTCTGTGTTATATTTGATAGCTCTATTCCTACAACAGCTGATATTCACTTTGGGCCTTCCTCTGGATCGGATGAAAGTGATAGGGGTATGGAAGAAGACATGACTGGGGATCAAGAAGGCCAACTAGGACAGATGAAATGTAAGAATATGTCCATGGAAAACTTCTTCGAATGGACAAAGTGTAATGGAGACGCTGAAGCGTTTGAGGTGAACAGTGATAAAAGCCCGAAGACCATAAGATTGATGTTCGACCTTGAAAACCCAAGAGAAATCTTCAGATTGTCTCCAAAGCTGAGTAATATCCTGGGGAGATACACAGACACAAAGCCAAATGTGATAACACACTTGTGGAGATACATAAACAAGAGCGGATTGATGTCTATTGACTCGGATATAGTTGAATGCAATCCCTTACTGAAAGATATTCTTGGAGTGGACAGATTTTCATTTCCCGAACTTCCGGGGCTTGTGGCTCCACATTTGTGTGCTTTGGACTACCTGATAGTTGATATCCCCCCGGTCGATGAGTACACCGAGATATTTGATATTCCATTTGAATGGGATGACCTACACCAATATCCTACGCTTTATACCAAAAAAATCCATGCGCTTGACAGAAAAATTGAATCTCTTAGGCAGCTGCTGAAGAGGTGTGAAGAAAGAGAGAGGGTGCTAAATGAATTTGAGAGAGATCCTACTGCATTTATCAACAGGTGGATATGCATTGATATGAACGATGCGTGCCATAGAACACCTCTTTTTTGTAACAAGGATGTGCAGGAAAGGGTCTTTGAGTTGTTGAAGAGACTAGAGTAACTCATAACAATTTGAACTCAACAGATGCTTTAATTAAAATCTTCAACTTTCTAGAAAGAGTTTTTGAACTAATTAAATTTCCCTAGAGATTTCCCAACTAAGAACTATTATGATAACATTATGTTGTATGACATGTAGATCATAGATGCTATACTACCAATTATTCCAAACAAAGCCAAGCCAGACATGAAGTCCACTTTGCTTCTGAAATATAGGTAATAGATGAAGGGATAGGTAAAAGACACCAGGTTAACTGCTGTGGCGCCTACCATCTGAAGAATAGTGTCAATGTTAAGATCTTCCAGAAGAGACAACGATAAGAATAAAATCATAAGCACGGAGACTACCTTTCTCCTTACTGCATCTTCGTTGCTCCCTTCCCGAGCGAAGTAGCTAAGGGGTATTCCAACCAACGGGTTCATCTGAACCGGGAATGCCCCAAACAGAACCAGCATCGCCCCGATGCAAGCCATCTTTGAAGATAGTGCGTACTTGTCGATGGTGTTTCTCATGAGATATAAGTTGATACTGCTTTCTGGGCTTATCAGTATATCAATTATCGAACCTTTGATGGTGTCCCCAAACACAGCATATCCACAAAGCCCAACACTTCCATAAATAAGAGTTCCTATCAACGAAGCTCCCATTGCGACTTTGATTATGTTGCTTGGAGACTTATGCTCCATCTCGGTGTATGTCTTGACCATATTTGCTTGGCAGGACAATGCAAACATAAAGCAGGAAATCCCACCTGAAAAGTTGCTTCCAAACCTCTGCATTGGCTCTTCAGCACTTTTTCCTCCAATAAAAAGACAGTAAATCCCCATCAGTACTGCAAGATAGCTTACAGAAGCCACCGTAATATAGGATGTCACTTTGAGGTTCGAAAGATTCTTTTGTAATGATAGAAGCAGAAATGGAATTGAAAGAGCTCCAATAACTATCTTTCTCCCTATTTCTGGATCCACATACTTGCCTATTGGAACCATGATCGTGATGAGCTCCGCAAGATATCTGTAGAACACAATATTCACTCCAAAACACGAACTGAAAATAGACATATCCACTAAGATCTTAAGTGCCTTCGAGATGTGTGTTGATAATGAGGAATAGGTTGGGTTTTGCTCCTTGGATCTATTTGCTGCAATTGAGATCGCATATAGAGAGAAAAACGTTAGAATTCCCACTCCATTTATCAGAAGAATCCCCCTGATGTATCCAACACTTTTAAATGCATATGGCATGTAGTTGATTCCAGTACCCATCATCGATGTTACCATTGTTACTATTGCCGATGTAACACTCAAGCCTCCTTTCATTTAGGGCAAACTATTTTACGATTTAAAAAATTAGTTTGTTTCCATAAATAGATTATTACCAATTGTTTTAATAGACTTAGGCTTATCCGGATAGCTCCTTGTGAAATTACTCCGTGCTAATTCATATTCACATTCACCTGTCTTTTGAAAGAACGGCATGAGGGATCGAAAAATACAGGAAGGAGTGAATTATTAACGAACTGATACCCTTAGGAATGACCACGGGGAAAATTTATTTTGCAACAACCAATTTGAAAAAACTAAATGAGGTTAAAGAGTTCCTCAAGACAGACATAGATCACATGAGAATTTCAATGACCGAAATCCAAGGGCCTTCAGAAAAGATTGTAGAACACAAACTGGATCAAGCGGCGCCCTTTATAAACCCAAAGGATGCAGTGATAGTTGACGACACTTCGTTTTCTCTTGAAGCCTTAGGAGGATTTCCCGGTGTCTATGTGAAGGATTTTCTCGAAATAGGCACCCGGAAGATTTGGGAGATTGTAGAGAAGATAGGGAATAAAAGCGCCACAGCAGTCTGTAGCTTGGGAATTGCCCATTATGAAAATGGAGAAATAGTCAAGAAGGTGTTTTCAGGGAAACTGAAGGGCTCTATCACAGAGCCAGAGAAAGATTGCAAAACAGAATTTGGGTATATTTTCATTCCCGATGGATTTAATGGTGTCCTAAAAAATATGCCAACTGACGAGAAAAACAGGATAAGCCATAGGGGAATTGCGAGTAGGAGCCTAGCTGCATACATGGCTTCAAAAGGGATAATTAAAACTCATGGCCCCTAATGTTGACTTTTGAATTTTCTTTACAAGATTGGTTGTGATAAAATTGGCGGAGATCTAGGGGTGGATGAAAGGAAGGAAAGGAAGATTTACGAACGACAGAGCTTTGGTATTTGCAGAAGAAGAGGGGACTGTGTATGGGCAAATAATATGTCCCCTTGGCCAAGGACAGTTTAAGGTAAGTTGTTCTGACGGAGTTTACAGGACTGCAAAGGTTCGTGGAAGAGACTACAGACGTGTTCGAATGATTCCAGGCGACATAGTTTTACTACGTGTTAGAGACGGGGATGAGAAGAGGGCAGATATTGACAGGAAGTATATGCCAAAAGAAATTAAGATATTGAAGGAGGATGGAGAAATAAATGACGACACATTTGCTGTTAACGATAAAAACAGTGGATTAGTTGAGTTTGAAGAACTTCTTTAGAGTAGAAATTAAAGACCTAATTTATTATCTTTGGAGGTGCTTTTATAGACTTCAACCACCGAATCAATGACATCTGTACATGTTGGAAACGCCATTGCTTCTATTTTCTCTGAGTAGGGAGTAGGAATGTCTTTTGCGTTTATTCTTTGAACAGAAGCCATCAAATCTTTAAAGCAGTTCTCGTGTATTATTGCAGAAATCTCGGAAGCAACACTGAACGATGGCCATGCAAAATCAATTACAAACACATGCTTTGTCTTCTTGGCAGAGGTCAATAATGTTTGTTTATCTATGGGCTTGATCGACACGAGGTTGATAACTTCACAAGAAATCCCTAGATCTTTCAGTGCCTTAGCAGCCTCCAGACATGTCTTTACTGAAAGTGAAATTCCTACAAGAGTGACGTCGCACCCTTCTACTTCGATCACAGCTTTATCTAGTGATTGCATGTATCCCTGTTCTATGTCCTTATATGTATCATCGTAAAGCGTCTCATTTTCCAAAAATACCACTGGATTGTTATCTCGGATCGCCGATTTCAGTAATCCTTTATGATCCTTTGCTGTGAAGGGAGCGACAACCTTAAGACCGGGGACTGCACCATAGTAGCTGCAGAAGTCTTGTGTGTGTTGAGCTGCATATCCAGGATTGAATCCATTAGGCCCTCTAAATACAATAGGGCAACTAACTTTCCCCCCAGACATGTACAGTGTCTTGGCACACGAGTTGATTATATGGTCAATAGACTGCAATGCAAAGTTCCATGTCATAAACTCAATTATCGGCCTTAGGCCTAGATAGGATGCCCCACACCCAGGCCTGTGAATCCCATTTCACTGATGGGTGTATCAAGAACTCTCCACTTTCCATACTTCTCGTATAGACCTCTAGTGACTCCTTTGTTTCCTCCAGATATGCCCACCTCCTCCCCAAGAACAAACACTCTCTTATCCATTTCCATCTCTTCATCTATAGCTTGGTTCAAGGCCTCTTTGATAGTTATCATTCCCGAGATTTTCTTTCTCGCCTGCCTTTATGTCTTTATGGACGTTTCAAATATCACTATTCAGCATTTTGTTATTTGGCACACTACATGAAACACCCCAAACTTCGTTCTCTAAATACCACTTGATCCCTTAGCCCTTCTAAGAAAAATGCTAGAGATAAATTCTACTAAGAAGACATGGATGTTACTGAATACTTTGTTTGCGGTAAACTACACACTATACATTGTGCTTCATCTGATCAGAATTCCTATATATCCACTGCCAAACTTCGTAAACATTCTGTGCTTGATATCGTCATACTCAATTTCCTTACTTCCACATCTCTCATCCATGAAGGAAATCCTGTCACAGCCAAACATTTACTGCATCACAGTGTTCTTCACGTTTCCCCATGAGGCTCTTCTTCTCCCGTTTTACCTTCTGTCGATATATCATCTCAGCTCATTTGTTCTGTCCAACAAGAAGACTTTCGAAAGAACATCTATATATCCCATCTGTGTCTCCTTGTCGGCATACCATGTCACCCTGGGGAGACTAGCATTGTTTACAGAGGTTCTTGCTGTTCCTCTCTCCTTCCTAATGATATTCCTCAGAAAGTCGAGCCTCGTGACCTTTACAACTTTCATTGCCATGGTGAGGCAGCAATACTTCAATAATCCATCAATGCGAAGTGTCTTTGGGGAAATACGTGTGTCTCTGGACAAGTGGGTTCTCAGCTGCCCACGTGATGTACAGGAATATTACCGAAGGGGAAGAGACTTTTTGGTTTCCACTCACTCTGCCAAAAAGCTAAATTAAAAGACTTTAATCAGTTATGTTCTTGTCAATCTGCTTGGCTCACAAATACTCCAGAATCCCCTACCTTCTCATACAGATGGCTTTCTGAGCTTTCTGAATGTTCTACTACCTTAAATTCGATAATTTTTTTGCAAAGCAGACGGACAAACTCCAGGTCTGCAAGGTCAACATCTTCTCCTGGGGCAATCCCTACTGCAACCCTAGGCCATCCCTTTGACTCTGCCTTTGCCCTTACATGCCTTATAATTTGAAGTGTCCCAGAAAACTTGTTTTCATGGTTAGACCCATCTGTCCTAGGATATGGTGAAGTGGAAATAGAACTATCGAAATAATCAGAAAACACCTCTTCTGTGATAAATGGCATAAATGGATGGAGTATCTTCATCGAATCGATAAACACGCTTAATAGTACCCCTATGTATCTTTCGCTCTTGTTTTTCTTAACAACCTCTATGAAGACATCACACAGATCGTAAATAAAAAACTGATGGATTGCTTGTGTGGCTCCCATGAAGTTGAATGAATCAATCATTCTCTGGCTTATTTCTATTAACTCGTTCCTTTTTTTAAGAATCCATTCAACGGGTCCTTCTCCAGAACGAATCTGTAGCTTATCAGCCGGAAGAATATACTTCTCGTATTTCTTCTTACAAGTGGACCCTCTAAGGCTTTCTTCAATGGCCTCATCTACTGCTGCCTTCACAAATCTATGAGCATTCCATATTTTGTTGCAAAACCTTCGATATCCTTCCACCCTCAGTACATCAAGGTTGATATCCTTCATTCCAGAGGTGTAGGAAAGTAAAGTAAATCTAAGAGCATCTGCCCCGCACCTTGGTATTCCGTTTGGGAAATCCTTTCGTAGGACTTCTTCTGCCCTCTTCATCTCCCTCTCATCGAGATTCCCGCTTCTCATTGTCGAAATCAGCTTTGAAAGAGGACATCCATCAATCACAAAAATCGGGTCAATGACATTCCCAAGGCTTTTGCTCATCTTCCTTCCATGTGCATCTCTTACTATCCCATGGAGAAACACTTGGCTGAAAGGCTCTTTTCCGGTCAGTTCAATTCCAAGCATCACCATTCTCGCCACCCAGAAGAAGAGAATGTCGCTGCCTGTTTCAAGCAAGGTGCTAGGATAGTACTTTTGAAGGTCTTCTGTCTCTTTGGGCCATCCTAGAATGGCAAACGGCCATAGGCCCGAAGAAAACCATGTGTCTAGAACATCCTCGTCCTGCTCAAACTCATCAATACTACATCCATCCTCAGGACACTCATTCTTCATCTTCAAAAATGCTTCTTCCTTGCTTCTTCCAACATACCATTTTCCAGAAGGCATTCTGTATGCAGGTATTCGATGCCCCCACCACAGTTGCCTCGATAGACACCAGTCCCTGATATTCTCAAGCCATTTATACCATCGCCTTTCTGCCCCTTCAGGTAGTATTCTTATTCTTCCTTCTTTAACTGCCTCAATAGCCTTATTTGCCATTTCCTTACAGTCCATCCACCATTGACTCTTGACAATAGGCTCTATAATGTCATTAGATCGGGAACATCTTGGAATCACCTGAGGATACTCCTTCTTTCCAACAAACAAGCCAATGTCTGTAAGCTTTGAAATAACAGCTTTTCTTGCCTCAAATCTCTTTAGCCCCTTGAACTCTCCCTCAATGATTACCCTGTTTTCTTCATCAAACACAATCTTGCAAGGAAGTCCATGTCTCCTCGATACATCGAAGTCATTTGCATCATGTGCAGGTGTTATTTTCACCACTCCAGTTCCAAAGCTCATATCTGCATAGTCGTCAAAGACAACAGGAATCACCTCACTGGTCAACGGATTTACACAATAGAGCTTGCTTCCTTCAGGAACATCCCCAAAAGTCTCCTTTATTCCTCTGGCTCCAAATCTTTCGTCCTTTCCATTCACACATATCGCCGTGTCTCCAAGAATCGTTTCCGGTCTTGTTGTTGCCACTTCAATTGCCGGTAGCGAAAGATAATCTCCTGAAAATTCCTTATCTATTGTCATGGGATACTTAAAATGATAAATTACCCCAAACTCATACTTTCCTCCATCTACTTGTAGATCTGTGCTGGCCATCACCTCTTCGTGATTAACCTCCAAGTCACTTATGGTTGTCGACAGCTTGGCACACCAGTTCACAATTTTCAGCTCTCGATATATAAGGCCTCTTTCATAGAGCTTTACAAACGCATCAACAACAGCTTCGTTCATCCCTGGATCTAGGGTAAATCTTTCCCTGCTGAAGTCTACACTCGTCCCTAATCTCTTAAATTGCTCATATATTCTTGATCCATGCTTATCCTTCCACTCCCAGGCCTTCTTAAGAAACCCTTCTCTGTCAGAGACAACTCCTTCTCTTTCCAATTGCTTCAATACAACATTCTGTGTGGCTATTCCTGCATGGTCTGTCCCAGGAATATACAAAACCTCATACCCGCACATCCTCTTGTATCTACACAAAGTATCCTGAATTGAAACCATCATTGCATGTCCTATATGAAGGTTTCCTGTGACATTTGGCGGAGGAATCGGAATTACATATTTCTCTTTTCCCTCTATAGGCTTGAAAAGCTCGTTGTTCTCCCAGAACTCGTACCACTTCCCTTCAATCCCTAGCGGGTCATAGCCATCTCCCTTGTACTCCTTCCTTGGCTTGGAAACATTCATTTCTTGTGTTTTCTTTGCCAGGAATTTCTCCAGCTTCTGCCTCTTCTTCTCTTCCTTCTCCATTTTCTTCCTTTCCTTCAAAGCTTCCTTTTCAGAATCCATCTCGTATCGGGTCAAAAATAAACCAAAATATCCGTCGTACCAATTTATTATTATCGAATATACTTCCAGGCATTCTTCATTCACAAAAGAGACTTTATGTACAAGCCCAGACACGAATTTGGAGAAAAGTCTAACGAGTTCGAAATACTGCACTTGCATTTCGATCTCATGGACGCCTCTCTTGGACAATGCTGGAATGGAGGATGCTCATACCCAATGTCGCTGAAGAAGTGGATCTGATCCTTATCCAGGAAGAGAGATGCTGCAATACTGTGCACAGGCGCATCACCCCATCTTTCGTAGAAAAACCCCCCAGCCTTGTCTAACCAATCAAAGTACTTCTGGTATGTTTCATTTCTAAAGAATCCAAAGTTTGCTATTTCAAAGTTGGACCAAAAATGACATCCGTTGTATGACCCGTCCTTGTTTAGTATGAATCTATTTCCATTGGCCTTTTTGATCAAGTTCAGGTTATGTGTTGCAAACTTTATCACCTCTCCAAACAGACTGGGAATCGTCTCCATAAACTCAACCAAGGATATCACAAACCCATACTGTTTGTTGTTCTCCCGAAGATATGTGAACGGATCATACTCTATCTGGCACAGGAACTTTACATCTGGCTCTATCCTCCAATAATAGTCATACTTCTGGACAAGCTTGTTCCTGTAGAAGAATCCAGAAAAGAACCTGCACATCTTCCTGTATGATAGAGACCCTCCATAGATGATTTTCCTGTCTTCCATTTTCTTCATTTCCTCCTTTGCCTTCTCCATATCTATCCACTTTGGAATCTCCCACTCCTCGGGCTCGAGTCTTCCAAACTCAACACTATTAGATGTAACATCCTTTATAGCTTTCTTGAAGTCCTCGGTAAACTCCTCATCGTTCAGAAATACATAAGGATATCCGAAGTTTCTATTGAACACCTCTTCGAAATTCTTTATCGTTTCTGTTATGCCATTCTTGTCGCTGTTCCTACAGAGAATCAGAATCACTGCATTTTCCCTGCAGACCACTATTCCAACAATTGTAAGAAGTAGAAGCATTATTTTCCCTCTAGTCGTGTTGATATTCCTTATTTATTATTTATGCTTCAGGTTACTGATTTTCTATGGAGCCTGAATTAAACCACTTTCCAGAGCAAGCAAGTTAATAGGTCCAGCTAATAAGCAAATCTCCAAGAACCAACCATACAGGATACAGCTTCAATAAACAGATTCATAGGACCCTGTTGGAACTAAGAACCCTCACAAGCAACTTTTCAAATCCTCCTTCTGAATACCCGTTGGTATCAATCCGAATAAATCTTTTTAGCACACTAGACAATGCACATAAACCCTGTGGAATACTTGATGCTATCAGGGTTCCCATTCTTCTTCCATCACATGTCACCGGACCTACATCCACCTCTATAAATTGCCCTTCCTCTGGAGATTCTCTTGCAACTCTTCTGCCTCCCTCTAGACTTCTAGTGCTGAACTTGAAAAGCATAACCAATACCTCTTTCTCCTTTGAAACCCCTACATCAAACCCACTACGCTCAAGCTCGAAGACGTGATCCCCCATCAGATACATTTCTCCTCCATTTCCTTCAACAAGATACACAGGCTTCTTTGATTTGTACTTTGACACCTTGTATGCCACTGGATTGTCCCCGGTCTGCACCATGCACAAATCTCCTAAGAGCTTCCTAACTCTTTCGTATATCTCTGCGGTATATATCATGCAATATCCCAGGGATTCGTTATTCTGGGTTTATGCTTTGGCGATAGAATGGCCTTTTCTTCTGAGATATCCACATCGCTAAAGCACAATGCACTAAAGCTCCTGACAGAGCTGAAGTCGAGAACTCTTGTAATGAGGATAAGGCTCCATGAGATAATCATGGAGATGCAAGAACTAGGAATCACCAGAAATGAAAGAGAAATCTTTTACATGGCTGTGAATATATTCAAAAGTCAGACTGCTGTCAAAAGGTTGATATCTACCATCGCCTCAGAGCTTCGAGTTTCAAAAAGCGATCTTAGAATAAGAAATACTCTCAAAGGAACCTTTATCGGAAAGCTAGCTTTTGTTAAGGGCCCAGACATAATAGAGATGTCCTCATGTAGGAACAACCCACAGCTTATTCCAGACATGGAGGGCATAGTTGAGGTGTTCTGCAGTTACGAGAGGGTTTTGGTTGTTGAAAAAGATACAATATTACAAAGAATAGCATCTGGAATTGAAAGGGAAAGATATCTTGAAGGTGTGCTACTTGTGTGTGGGAGAGGATATCCATGCAAGAACACTATGCTATTGTTGAAGATGATAGAACACAAGACAGCCATTGGAGGACTCTTTGACTTTGATCCCTTTGGTATTCACATCTTTTGTGTCTATAAGTATGGGAGTAGAGAGGCTCCAGAGACAAGAGTTGAAACTATTGTGCGGATTGGCGTCTGTGCAGAAGACATCCTAGACAAGAGGATCCATCAGGACGGCCTTGCAGGCCTGAATAAATACGACCTGAAGATGGTTGACAGACTTATGGAGTTCGAATGTTTTACCAATGACCCGTTGCTTCTTAAGAAGACAGGCAAGAAGGTTGAAATGGAGGCTTTCCTTAGCAAAGGCCGACGGGAGATGAACCATTTCCTTACAAAAGCACTAAAAAGAATATAAGAAATTAATAAAAGAAGTTTAATAAAGATACTTCTTTTGGAAGAAAGATTACTTATGCTTTCTTCTTACCGGCTGCCTTTTTTGCTGCCTTGGGATCTTCATTTATGTCAATCCCGTACTCCTTGAGAAGCTGGTCTTTGGTAAGAGGCTCCATGACATTTCCAATTCCCACAACCCCGTTACTGTCCATAAGTGCAAACTTTGCCAGGTTCTGGAACTTGTCCATCCTATCGACAACCAACGGCTTCTGGAAAACAACAACTCCAATAAACGTCTGTCCATTTCCAATGTTTTCAAGGTTCTCCTGTACTTCCTTTCCACCAACTACTCTTGAAATAATCTTGGCAATCCTTCCTGGAGAGTGGCAGTTTCCAAAGTTGATCTGTGGAGTATATCCTACCGACAATCCCTTTGGCCTGGCAACAACAATTGTTCTGATCTTTGCCCCAGGATATGCTATGGCCTTGTTCTCATCGTTGGCCGAAATCACGTGTCCTGCATCCACTTTGTCGATTTCCCCAACAACTCCTCCCTTGAGAGCAACTCCACAGTTCTCTCCACATGGAATCATGGGCCTTGGCTTGTTGTGGATCTCCACAGACCTGGTCTCTCCCACCACTCCTGCCGGCTGAATTGTAATCTTAAGATTTGGTGTGATGGTTCCGTACTCCACACGCCCTGTGAAAATCTTACCAATTCCTGCAATAGAGCAAACTTTGGTGATCGGCATTCTTAAAGGCTTGTCGTTGTGTCTCTCAGGTACCTTCTGGTAATCCAGAGCCTCCTCAAGAGTGTGTATCACCTCCGATCCTTCCTTCTCTTTCCATCCACTGAACCAGTTGAAGTGTTCTCCCTTCTTCGTCAGGTTGATTCCCTTGTACGCAGATATAGGCAGGACAATAGGGTTTGAATCTCTGTGGCACCTCTTGACAATTCTACGCATCTCATCAGATACCTCCTTGAACTTCTCCATCCTCCTCTTGTCCTCGGCAATCTCGTCCATCTTGTTGACACATATAATCAGCTTCTCGCATCCGAGAATCCCTGAAATCATAATGTGTGTCTTCAACATCCCTCCAACCCCAACACAGGACTCAAATCCAGATGCTGGAACAATCACTACTGCCACATCTGCCTGCGATGCTCCTGCCACCATGTTCTTCACAAAGTCCTTGTGCCCGGGGCAATCAAGAACGTTGATATCGAACTTCTCTGTAGAGAGAGCAATAAGAGTGGTTGTGATTGTAATTCCTCTCTTTCTTTCTGCCTCGGTCTTGTCGGTTAAGTATGCAAGATAGAACGACTCCTTGTTGTTGAGAGCTGCCTCCTTCTCATACTTCTCCATTTCTCTCTTGTCAACCGCTCCTAACTGATAGGCAAGCATTCCCACCGTAGTGCTCTTTCCAGAGTCTACGTGTCCGATAAAACAAACATTCAAACGTGGTTTGACATCGTTCTCAATCTTTGTAGCCATTGTAGGGGCCCTGGATGAAAAAGTTTTTATATTTTTTAGAGTCTAAAAACAGAGGTTAAAACCCTAGATAGCTCATGCTTTATTCATTCAAATCATACAGTCTCCACAATCCATTCGCATTTCTTTCTGTCTAGAATTCCTTCTCCGTACTCTTCATAGTCCTTGATTCCAATGTGGAAGCTTTTTGCACTCCCCATAGATCCAATCACAGAACCCCCTTCAAACGTACTAAACCGGCTCCTTTCAACGTTCACCTTCACTTTCCATCGCGGCCGCTCCTTCCCAAGCTCTTCGCAAATAAAACTCTCCATTCCTCTTATTTCTCCGCATCCTCCCCCAACCAATATGTTACTGCTCAGCGTAGACCTCACTTCCATTGCATTCAATTCAGTAACCTCAACAATCAGCTTTACAACCTCCTTCAGCCTTTTTGAAATTCTGTTACACCAGTCCTCCATCTCAACCGTCTCTCCATTCGGAAACTCATATCTTCTGTCTGTTTCCTCGCTCCGAAAACTCAGAACTGCTTCTTTAACATATCGGCAAAATTCGTTTTTCTCAAACTCAATCTTCCTTTCACACCAAGATCCACCATCATTCACACCAATAAACTTCCTTAAATCAATCCCGCATTCTTCCATCCCTCTTCTAAAGTCCTGTGTCAGGTCGTTCCCCCCAACATCCAGCCGTCTCCGGCAAGTGATGAGCCCATCAACAACACTACAAACTTGGCTCGATCCTCCTCCAAGACTAACAACCACTCCTGTTGTTTTTCCATATGAAAAGGCATCCAGGATTCCACTCCTGACAAACAACACTGATTCACACATTCGTCTCTCCATAAGATACCCCAGAATCTCCCTCTTTGTTCCTCCTGCTTCCATCGTGTTCTCTGAAATCACCAGTGATTGTGCATCCCGTGGCGCATTGTCGCATAGAATCCTAAGATACGATCCCACATCGCTTACAACCGACCTAGTCACCGGGGATATGTACTCGTTCTTCCATGATATGCTAGGACAGAATATCATCGGTAAGAGCGTATCCGAATATCCAATCTTGGCTGTTTCACTGCCTATATCAATAACAGCCGTAATGGTATCTCCTGCAACATACATCAGGGCTACCTTCTAACAAACAACTCAACATAAATCCATTTAATACCATATTTGGATACCAGAGAATCCTCAAAACTCAAACTCACTCCCATCCCATCAAATACCCAAAGAGCTTTACTCCACATACAATTAGCCCAATAACAAAGATAGACATAATAGTTATGTAGAGTATAAGAACTACCTTTGCATCCTTTCTCCTTCTCTGGACAATTTCCTTGAACTGCTCGTCCAAGTAGACTACATAGGGAATCAACTTCTTGTTTTCCATCCCTTCCATGTTTTCTGCATACATCATAATGTCCTTCAACTTGACCACCGGCATGTCCTTGGATACTTCATTCTCTGGAAAAGACCCTTTTCTCTCTATTTCTTGTTGAGGCTTTGCCTGTGGAACTGGTTCTGCCACACTGCTCTCTTCAACCATTCCCATCTTCCAAAAGAGAGATTTTATATTTTAAAAGGAGAACCTGTTCCTTGAATCAAACCTTAAAAGGGGACTTCCCCTCTTAAAGGAGATCTCCTTCATTCCTCCCATTGGAAGAACTTACATGGCTTGTATGCTTTCTTGCACTTGAAGAACTTCCTTCCTTTATTGTTTTCTGTGTTTGCTACAAGCAATTGGGGCTCAAACCCGCAGAAGCATTTCAGCTCCTCGTCTCTCTTGGTTTCCTCCTTGTCACACCACTGGAAAAAATAACATCTTTTTGCTGTCTTTCCACAACAATAGAACTCCTTTCCAGTATTGTCTCCCTTCTTTACCTTCAGCACCTTGGCTTCGTCTTTACAATCACATTCCACTCTTTTCTTTTCTCCTTCTTTGTTCAGAGCTTTCTTTGGGTTGAGACCCTTGAAACCCTCTGCTTTTGTCTTTCCTTGTTCTGCCCTTTCCGCCTTTTTTCTCTTCTCCACTCCCAGCCGCTTTGTATCATTTTCAATACCCTGTCTAAGAATACAGACAAATTCCTCGATATTTCTTTTAAGGAGGGCATATATGTCTCTATAGGCTATAATTCCCTCCTTCACTACTTCTCTTCCACTCATCCGGCCCTCCGATATCTTCTTGAGATTACCTTCTAGGCTCTTCCGAAGCTCAGGCTTGCCAACATTCAATCCAAACCTTTCATATCCTCCAATAAGAGCTGCCCCAAGCTCCAGAGGCCTTATTTCTTCTCCAACCTTGATTGCATATCCTCTCTCTTGAATCTTTTGAATATGCTCATGTATCGTTGCATCTGTTCCTATTCCATTCTTATCCATCAGGCTTATCAGTTCGGCCTCGGTAAGATAGTTTGGAGGTGTTGTCTTGCCCTCCGAGATACAAAGATCCCCCGAAACCATCTCTCCCATCTGAAAGTCACTGACTTCTTTATCATCCCACTTATCATAGTAATACACCTCCAGATAGTTCTTTTCGACCACCCTTATCCCCTTCAGATCAAACATCTCAGATCCAATCTTCAGTTCATACCGTGTCTCAAGGCCCTTGGCATCCTTTGATATACATCCAAGAAACCTTCTACAAATAAAGTCATAGATATCTCTATCCTTTCCTGAAAGTCCTGTCCCTTCTTTTAGTGGATATATTGGAGAATGTGCCATGTCATTGTTTCTTCCATTCCGCGGATAATCAAACCCCCCAATCAACTTCTCAGCATGCTCACCTACCTTCGAATCCTTACATAACTTACCCAATATGTACTTGAAGTCAAACTTCCTATCGAATGCATCTGTCTCTGTCCTGGGATAGCTTATATATCCTTTGTTGTACAGCCCCTCTGCAATCTCCATCACCTTGTGTCCACTTAGCTTGAAGTACGATGAACATTTCTTCTGAAGCTCAACAGTTCTAAGAGGAAGCGGCTTGTATTTGGTTCTTTCTCTCACTTCTTTTAACACTATCCTAGCACTTTCTCCAGACAAGCTTCTATGGAAACATATAACACAGTTCTTATCAAAGACAGATCCTCTTCTCCACGTAAATTCATCTCCAAGTTTCTTACTTTTAGTCTTAAACATTAGAGTCCAGAACATCTCAGGGACAAAGCTCTCCCTTTCCCTTGCCCTCTCAACCACAAATCCCAATGTAGGTACCTGGCACGGCCCAAAGCTTAGTACCCTTTTCTCCTGTATCGTCCTGCCCAGTGACAAGGTCTGCAGCCTAGTAAACGCCGATCCTATTCTAAGATCCAATTCCATGCGTACTTCGACCGCCTCTGCCTCTGCTTCGTTTATTTCCCCTAGGTTTCCCAATGCTCCCTCTATGTCCCGGAGAGTGATCCCAGAAAATCTTGCCCGCTTCACTTCAACCTTCTTCACCCCAAGGACAATGTCTCTTATCTGCCTTCCAATGTTTTCCCCTTCTCTATCACAGTCAGTCCAAATCACAACCATGTCGCATTTCAACGCCTCTCTTTCTATATTTTCCTTAACCTTTATAAACTCCGGCTGTACATACTTGACAATCCTTTCTGTAAACAGTGTCTCTGGATCTACTTCATCCCACCGGCTCTTGTTCTCAAAGTCGCTCGAGAGCACATGTCCCAGAACACTTGTGAAGACCATCTGATTGCCATGGTCAAACTGGATGTTTGGACAGTACTGATGAAGCCCTCTCCTGACACTTAGATCCTTCGATAAGACCGAGGATATCGATCTTGCAACAGAAGGTTTCTCGGCAACATTCAATATCCTCATCTAAGGGATCCAATGGAAGATAACTTACACCAAAGTTCTGCAAATTCACAGATTTAATTAAACACTGAAAAACAGAGAGACCACTGTTTTAAAGTACATCACCATCTCCATTGCAGACAGTTTGGATTGTCCTTTCCTTCTATCGTGGAAAACTATTGGGCACTCGGCAATAGTAAGATTGTGCCTTTTCGCTAGGAACATCAGTTCCATCTGGAACGAATAGCCCGTGGATACAGACTCCTTAACCAGCAACTTGAACACCTCTGTTTTGTACAATCGAAAACTCCCTGTGAGGTCCGACACATCCATGTTGAGGAGTGTCCGGGCAAGGTTGTTGGCCCCAAGACTTATGATCTTCCTCTTGATTGACCAACCATACACCCCCCCTTCTTTGGAATATCTGCTTCCGACAACTATATCCGCTCCCTTTTTTTGCAACCTGATCATATCCTTGATGTACATAGGATCATGTGACAGATCTCCATCCATTACAACTGTAAAGGGATGCTCACAATGTTCCAGTGCTGCTCTATATGCACTTCCAAGCCCAAGCTTCTTCTTCCGCAATAAAAGACACACATTTGGAAGCCCCAGCGATTCTACTGCTTCATGTGTCCCATCGGGACTACTATCATCCACAACAATTATCTTGAAAGCCTTTCCCTCTTCTCTCAGCACATCGGAAACCATTCGCAACAGAACGCAGATATTCTCTCTTTCATTGTATGTTGGTATGATAACATTGTACATGGGTAAGCCTCGGAAAATAGAGTTTTAATACAGATCAAAATGGCTTTTGTACATACAAGAAGTACACAGGAACAACCAGCAGTACAAGAAAATACCATCCGTAGCTCTTCTTTTTTGTCGGAAGCTTTTCGTATTCCCCCCATGCCCTCAGGACTTCCCTCACAATCTTCTTCCCATTGTTGTTTCTTCGCGATGTAATTATCTTGGTCTTGTCCCGAAGAGAGGAGAGAAATGCTTCATCGGTTGTCACAAACGAATCATTGACGTTTGGTTCTTCATGGCACTCCAATCCTTTGAACTCTCCTTCATCCAAGTACCTGTCTCCGCAACGACCCTCGTCCTTACAGGAAATGTCATTTATGCTGAATGAGTCCTTCAAGAAGTCTGTTCTCCATTTTCTTATCGTCCTGAGAAATCTCGATACTGTGTACTCTTCATCCTTTTCCCATCTCCCCACCTCATCCTTCTCTATGACGTTGTTCTCGATCGCCTCGTTCAACACACTTTCGATGTCTTCCTTTGGAATCACTCCAGTCCCATACCTTTCTACAAGCTTCATTTCAAAGTCTACGCTTTTCATTCCTTAGGGATATGGATCACGCGACATTTCAGCCCATTCCATGAAGTTAGCTCGGGATCCTGCAAAGATTCCCGATCTTCCGTGCCTGGAGGTCTCGATACAGTACCAAATCACTTAATAGACCATGCTCATCGGGAAATGGATTAGGATTTTAAGTAAACAGATTCCACAAGTATAAACAAAGAATCCGAGATAAGAGATAGATAAGGTAACTGGAAAATGTAAATGCTTCACTTCACCAAAGCCTTCATTATCTCCCTAGCAAGCTCTATTTCATCAGAAAGTGACAAAAAAAAATTAATATCTACAGAACGTTTAGATATGGCTTTTAATGATTAACCATATCCCCACCAAATTCAGCCCTTGAATGCACGGGGACACGTGATCAACGGTATGCCTCTGAATAGTAGAGCCCCGAACATTTCCTATATTGTGTCTGGCTCCAGATCTTAAGTCTTCTAAGTTCAAGGCTAATTTCTAGTATCTGATGGGTGCATCTGTTTCTCCTTCATCTTGAAACTGTCTAATTTCGCAATATACGAGCATCCTATCACCCTAAACATAGCCAAGACTTTCTCTTTGGAAAACTTAAAGTCCGGCAAGACTTCGTACCTCACAGAAGATCCCTCGATTTGTAGAAACAATATGTAACAGAGAATGGCTAGCTTATCTCTGCACAAAGGAGTCAGCATTCTGTTTTCCACCTCATCCTTGATCATCTCGAAAAAACTCGAGTATCCGGAATCGTTCAGGCAATCGCTGGTGACATACTTCTTCTCCATAAGCTTGATTATACAGTCGGCAAGCAAAAAGTGTATTTTGTAGTTTACATCCTGCTTCAAACTCATAAGATCTGGATGTAGCAGCACTGTGTCTAGCTTTATCTCCAAAAAGCTGGAAAGCACGTCCTGGGGAAACATTTTTTCCAACGGAAATCTCTCTTCAGGATTCCATTTCTCTTTATCAATAGGAGGCAGTACTTGTTCTCTGTACTGAAATTTCGACGTGAAGAATCTCTTGGAGTATCCTTCAATCCCCTTTCTCTTATAATGCTCGGCAAACTTCCTGTTCCCAAAAGTGGAGGCTAGCTTTTCGAAAGACGTCTTCTCATGAAGTAGTCCTGTCTCATAGATTGTCTCAAACACAATTACTTTGGCTTCCATGGCCTTGTTCAGCTCAAATATCCCTTCCGAAGACTCAACCACATAATAGTTGCAAGGAGAATTCCATTCAGACCCCTTGTACTCTATTCCCTCCAGACTCCCCGCAAGAAAAACTCTTCCGTTGACGCGGGAAACTTCAAAGCTCATCTCCCTGTTGGTGTTGGCCAGAATCAACATCTTAAGGGTCTGTGGCTAAAGATACTTTTCAGTAGTACGAACAAAAAAAGATTACACCAAAATGTAGACATGTGTTTCATCGATCAGAAGCACATGGACTTGGTTTTGCTTTGTATAGCACTCATTCTCCATCTGGAGATGAGCGACTCAAAAAGCAGGGCATTCCTTCGGTAAATTTAAATAGAATTCGTTTTGAGAGTAGTTCTCGGCCGCTGGAACAAGGATACAAAATTTTGCTACCTGGGTGCTAACTATCCTTTTAAATGGCACCGAAGCAACAATTAAATTACAATAGTGCAGATGTTCCATGGGCTAAAGAAAGTACCTCTCCTGAGGAGGAAAGTCGAAGGGGCACATTGTCTGGTAGTTTACCGTACCCCGCTCCTGGTCCCTTTCCTCAGCTATCGTATTTCCATTCCTTCTCTTGGAGCTATCTCTCACCATCTTCTCCTTGGCCCTTCTATTCTGGAACCATATCTGGATGTTCTTAAACGGTATGCTCAGGGCATTTGCCAGGAGGCTTTTGGTGGTACTGTTCGGATGGCTGTCGATCTTGAAGTTCGACTCCAGGATATCAATCTGCTCCCCACTCAACTTTAACCTTGACCTCTTGTTTGAGTCGGACTTGTTCATATGCTTTATTATCTCTTCGGTCGAATCAATGAACTTCATAACCTTTTTCTCGTCCTTGGTGAATCTTGAGCGAATCGGCATTCCAACCTTAAACCCATCTCTTGTGCTATATTTTATACTCCGATTTTTAGCAGAAATATAGAATCTCTACAGTTAGGATTCTTATCCCTCAAAAGAGATGGAAAGCCCAGAGGAAATATTTCCCCAATGAATTTTCTTTAATTGTCCTTCGTTTAAAAGTTAGATTTAATCATAGCTATTACCAATGGCAGAATTCAAAGACTCTCCCTAGTGGTCTTCATCCCAATGCTGGTTACTCTTGGGTGCAATATTGATTGCTTCTGGCTTTCCTATGAGATAGTCTCCAGTCTCAAATAGAGTGGAGATGAACTCGATTGAGTACTTTAATGCCTTTACCTTGGCATTGTATGCATCGTAGACTTCAGCATCGGAGGTCTTGAATGTCCCAAGGGCTTTTCCAATACACTTGTACACAAGATTCTTGCCCTCTTTACAACCCATGGATCTCTCTAGAAATATCTTCGATAACTTTTTCTCAAATCTCCCAGCCCCATCCACTAGGTCAATCTTTCCTTCCTTGGAATTCTTACTCAGGACGTTCAATGCTTTTTGGACCATCCTTTCTTGCTCATCCAGCACTGCCTGCACAGAATTCTTTAGAACCAAGGTATACACCTTCTTGCTTCCCGAGATAAATTTGGTATACTCGGAGTTGCCTTCCTTAAAGGTTTCCACCTCTTCAACAAACCCCATCGAATCTTCCGTCTGCGGATCTAAAGCCGCCAGAATGTGTCCTCCTACCAGTTCTCTAATTCTTCTCAAATCATACTTGCTGGTGATTCGGAAAACAAGCTTCTTTTTCTTGTTCAGAAAGTCGAGGTAGATCTTATCAACCTTCCCACTGCATATTACAACATCTCCATTCATAGACTCCACTGTCTCCTTGATCCTCTTGTTTTCCTCTTTACTAAAGGACAAGAGCTCAGATGCCGTCCTCATCAGAACCGTCCCCTTCAGCTCTGTTCTCGATATATCCAACGGGCAGTTGTAGATAGATGTTTTTCCTTTGGTCACATGCTTTACTTCTCCTTCCGGAGACCTGTTGAACACCATTCCCTGCACAACATAGCTATCTTCTGTAGACCCACACACCACCTTGCACACCCGGATGTTTTCTGTGCTGAAGCTTCTGCAAAGCGATATCCCCTCGACAACTATTTTCTCCAGTACAGAATCCTTCAAAACCCCCTTCAGAACCTTTGATATGCTCTCCCGGTCCTCAAAGTCAACCTCGTGCTTAATCCGAAGTTCAGAGGCTAACTCTTCTATCTCCTTATGGACTTCCCGAAGCATGTAGCCAAGATATGCCCCCTTCATTCCTTTTCCAACAACATCCATCGCCTCCTGGATCAGCTCCGACACAAGAGTCACAAAAAACGTTGCTCCATCTCCAACCACATCCATTTTCTTGACATAATCCTGCAGTAGCTTCACAAGAGGATGGTTTATCTTGATGTTATCATAAATGACTCCTGGCTGGGAAGAAAGGATTACCTGTCCATATCCGTTCACTATAAGCTTTGTCCGATGGGATCCCCCATATAGGCTCCTTATGACATTGCATGCCATCTTGACCCTTGATCCGACAACATGATACCTTACTTTCTCGTCTTGCTGGGAATTAGATATCAACCCGCCGAGATGTGTCTGTCCAATGTCCATCAGGGCTTGAAAAATTTTCAACTTTGACTCTCCAAGGCTGCCAAATGATAGAAGAGTAGAACTAAAATCTTTAATCAATACTTCTTATGATCCTCTTGAACTCACAGTTGGGTGACACAATCGCCCTCCCCCCTGAGGACGTCAGGATTATATCTCCGCACCCTGGACAGGAGATGTTCGTCTGCGAGTGCGAGTAGCAGCACGTAGTGTGTCTGCATCCTCCACACCTCACATACATAAAAAACCCGTTGCCTTCCCTGTACAACCGGTCCTTCTTGTAGGTTGATGCAACCTTTTCTCTTGTGGGAAATGCTAAGTCAAGTGTCATCTTCTTAGGGCTTTATCTTAAAAATTTTCTTATAATTCCTCTAGGAGCAGGGCCGTGGCCCACATCAGTCTTCATCATCCGGGAAAATAACAATTTCCTCTTCTTGTGCTTGAACATGTGGGAGAAACGCCGTCTTGTCATATGCCTCTTTTTCTTCGTCTTCTTTGATCTCAACCAGATCTGTGGCAACTCCTTCTGCATCCCTGACTATCGAGTAGTACCTAACAACCTTCTTGCTTTTGTTAATGTATTGGACATTTGCAAACACCTCGACAACCTCATTGAAGTAGTATTTCATCCATCTGATCCTTTCGTAGTCAAAGCATTCCTTATGAATACTATATACCCCGTCCGCCGTTAAAACCTCATCTATCGTCTCTTTCGTCACCTCCTCTATCTCCACAACAGACGAAGACCGGAAGAGCTTCTGGGATATCAGTAGAGACGGAACTTCAAATGTATCAACTATTAGCACCATTCCAGGGGCCTTCCATAAATCCATATACATAACAAACATAGACTCAAAAAGAACGTTTATTTTCTTGAGATAGATGCATTCCATAGTTTGGTTGCCTCTTCCATTCTCATTAAGGTTGCTGGATGAAGGCCTAAGAACTCAGAGAAGTTCGGCATCCTAGGCTTCTTAATCCCGTTTCGGTGATCCTTTCTGTTCTGATTATGATTGGTATGGTTCTTCCTCTTCGCCATGAGACAAGGGCATAAAATTTTCAAACATAACTAAAAAAGGTTTTTCATCCTAACATCCTGCAAATTCACACTCAGGCTTTCTTCTTCCTCCCTCCTCCAAGAGTCCTCAGAAACCTTACCATCTCCTTCTCTTCTTCAAGTTCCCTGCTGAGACGGTTCGCCGTTAGCATCTGATGCCCCAACTTCTTCTTCATTTCCAATGCCTTGCTCCTGCTCCCCTCAATCTCTCCTCGGAGTCTTTCTACCTCCTCCCGAAGCTTCTTATTGGCTGCAATCTGGGACTCCTTATCGTTGTTTGCCCTTAACAACTCATTCTCAATAACTGCCCTCTTACGATCCAGCGCTTGATACTTCTCTTTATCACAGACATGCACAACTGCAGGGCTTCTTTCTCCCCCAAACGATGTTTGGATCTCGTCTTGGAACCTTGCACACCGCTTCAATCCAGAAATCTCGGATTCATACATCAAAATCATGTCTTGCCTTTGTGTCTCCGCCTTCCGGAGAGCACAGAGCTCTCCCTCAAGCTGCTCAATCCTCAACGAGTCCTTCATCTTTTCGTCCAAAAGAATCCGATGTTCCCCTTGTAGATCATCAAATCTCTTTGCTAGCTGCCCGTGTAACTCCTCTAGAGCCTTAAGCTTCCTCTTCTCCCCATCAAGGACATACTGTACACTTTCCTCCATTCGTGCCCTATACTTCTCCTCCAGCTTCCTTATTCCTGCCATACTTCCGTTCAAATCATCTTCGAGCTTTCTAATATATCCTCTTCTCTCCTCATCACTCCTGTGGAGATTCTTAATCTCCTCGTCAATTCGGCATCCCAAATCTCTGACCAGATTGTCATATTCACTGCACTTCTCTTCATATCTCTTGATCTCCTCCTCCTTCTCAGATAGAGATATCTCAAGAGAATTACATTTGGCACTCAGCGATGAGAAGTCATTGGCCATCTTGCTGTACTGCTTGCTCATTTCTTCCATCCTTCCACTCGTTTCTTCTTCCACCGCTCTCCTTCCTTCGGCAAGCGAGCTCAGATCCAAAATCCTATCATTCAGCTCCTCAATAGTATGATTCTTCAATTCCAAACTCTCTTTACATTCCTTAAGATCCCCTTTGTATTTGTTAAGAACAGAGAAATACAGCTCATTGAACCCACTGACAATCATGTTCATTTCATTTTCAACATCCTCAATCTCTTTCCGCACCCCAGAAATCGCCCTTCGCAGTCCTGTCTCTTTCTCTTGCCCCCTCATCATTTCTTCTTTGCTTCTTCTTTCTATCTCAACCATCTCCTTTAGCATTTCCACTTCGCTGCTCAATATGACGTTCTTGTTTTCCTGCTCAGATACCTGGTGCTCAATCTCTTTTCTCTTCTTCCTCTCCTCCTCAAGAATCACATAAAACTTTTCCATTGCCGAAACACTCTCCTCACTAGCCTCCCCCATACACTTCGATTCCATAATCTCCGTATTCAGCTTTTGGTTCTCCATTTCCAGCCTTTGGATCTCCATCTGAAGATTCTTTTTGGCACTGTTGAATGCTGCCTCCCTGTCGAAAATCTCGTCCAGTTTCGACTGCTGCAAAACATGGATCTCTCTGTGCATGTCGTCTTTCTCATTCATAAGCTGCTTGTTTGCAAGCTCTTCACTCTTCAACTTCTCACTAAGGCTCTTGGTTTTCCTCTCAAGGCCCTTTATCCTCTCCACTAACGACTCTTGTGTTGAATCCTTCAGCTGCTTTTCCTTCTGAAGCTGCTCCTCTACAATCTCGTGTTCTCTCCTGAGCTCTTGAAATGCTCCTTCAAGCTTCTGCCCCCTACTCCTCTCAAACTCCAGATCGTCCAGAAGCTTCTTCCGCATAAGTTCCTGCTCCTCCATCTCCTTCCTCATCTTTCGAATCTCGTTCTGGAGGCGGTCGTTTTCAAGCAATGCATCTTCTGCTTCGTCTTTTAACTTCTTCTGCATCGCCTCATAGTCTGCCCTTAGCTCTACACACTCCTCCTTCCATTTCTTCATGCTCAACCAATTAGTTCGGAGCTCGTTCATCTCCTGCTCCTTTTTCTTCAGCTCTCTCCTTCTTTCTTCTTCAGACAACTCAAGCCTTTTGATCTTCTCAGCCTTCTTCTCTCCATCAAGGTCCTTCTCCTTGATCTTTTCCTTCAGCATCATTACCTCCTTATCCCTCTCTCGAAGCATCTTCTCCACCATTGCATCCTTCTCGCTCAGCTTGCTTACTATCTCCTCACGCAGTGTACAGATGTCTCTCTCCTGTAATAAAAGAGTATTCTTCTGTTCTTCCATCTCCTTTCGGAGATCACATATTTCTGCTTCTCTCCCTTCCAATGTCTTGCCCATCTCAGCTAGACGTTCCGAGCATACCTTTTTCTCCTCATGAGCTTCATCAGCTTCCTTCCGTGCCTTCTCAAGTTCTTGCCCCATCGAATCCACCTTGTATCTTAAGGCCATCAGCAGTTCGTCCTTCTCCATAGAAAACCTCTTCTCATCCTCAACAGTCTTCTCCAATAGATCCTTCTTCAGACTTATCATCTTCATCATCTCTTCAGACTCCTCCCTCCTGCTCTTCTCAGCATCAAGCATTCGAATGTATTCCTGAATCATCGCATCCTTCTCCCTCATCTCATTATCCTTCTTCCGGACATCCAGCAAGGGTTTGATCTTCTGATACAATCTCCACCAGTTCCATCGCTGCAGCTCATTGCATATCCTTCCATTCCTTTGAATCACAAGAATCCCCTGCATCCTCCTTTGTGTCAGATTGTATTTCCGGAATGCAAGTCTTCTTCTAATAAGAGCCTGAACCTCTTTGACAATCTCAGAGATCTTTCCATCCCTCATGTCCTCGATGTCTGCAAGAACCCCTTGTCTAAAAAACACCTTCGTACGTCCCATCCTGTATTGGCTTCCCCCAATTCCAATCTCTGATAAAATCTTTCCTGTTCCTTCCTTGCAGAGCTCCATACAAACCCCATCCCCCCAGAGCTCCCCATCCAGAACCTCCTCTTTTACCATTATCTTATATCTCCGCACAAACTCCAGATACCCCATCCGAGACGGAAATCCCTGTCTGCTGATTCTTATCCCCTCAAGAACTCCGTTACACTTCAGTTGCCCTAGAACTACTCCATTGTCTAAACTCTCTCCGCTTTTCTCAAGGTTCGGAATTATGCACCGCACAAAGTGTGGGTTTGTCCCACGAAGCTCAGACATCAAGGATGCGAGCTGCTCCTTATGCTTCTGCGAAACCGTTCGGAAAAACCCTTTCTTGATCATCTCCTCCTCCAGGCTTAGCTTAGAAACAGTCTCATCACTCGACATGCGGATTAACGATGTCAGCGCCTCAGAATGCGAGTCCTTGTTCTTTGAAAGCCAATCCTCAACTGTGTACTCCACATCTCCTGCATAATGGTTTAGAATAAAAACATCTCGGATTCGGTCAACCTCGAACTTCTCATCCCGGATGTTTTTCATCAGCTTCCCAAGAAATGTCTTCTCCGTTGCCATCGGCATCACACACTCCTCGTCCAGATAGCTCAGAATCCCAATTGGATTGTTCTTCTCTATCAGGTCGATCGTCGGTTGCAGATCCAGCCCAAAGTCAATAAAGTCCCAATCAATATTCTCCTTCCGGTACACCTCCTGCTCCAAAATAAACATGTGGTGATTAAAAAACTGCTGTAACTTCTCGTTTGTGTAGTTTATGCAGAGTTGCTCAAATGAATTCTTCTCGAAGATCTCAAACCCTGCTATGTCAAGAACCCCAATAAAGTTGCCTTTGTGTGGAGAGCTGAGAGACATGTTGATTCTTCCTATCACGCTGTCAAACATCTTGTCATACAGAATCCTTGCAAGCCCTTCCACAATCTTAAGAGCTTGTTCCTTGCTCCTGCTTTGTGCAACATACTCATTCCCAGCCCTGATCATTGGATGGATAAGACCCTTGATAAACTCTGTAAGAGGAATGTTGAGGAGCTTGCAGACCTTTTCTGCAACATCAAGATTGGCTATCTCGGCTGCCCCGTCCTTTTCTCGAAACTCGATGTTTCCAAGATGCAGGACCGCAGACACAATCCCAAAGTACCCATTCTGCTCACCCCTGCTAATCCCCAAAATGTCCATCGACTCTCTAAGCCTCTTGAACTCCTCTGCATCATCCACCCCAGGGATCCTGAATTTGGAACCTCGGAGGAACCTATAGTCCTTTGGCTCCCCCGACAGAAACAGCTGCTTCTTGAGTCCCTGGTCCTCACTCCCAAGAAGCTGGTAGAATATGTGGTAGTTCCTCTCGTTTCTGTTCTGGTTGGTCACCCTAGACTTCTCCAACAGATACTTCTCAATATGTGCTCCACATATGTTTCCTCCGTTGAATTTGATCTTTATAAACTTTCCAAATCTACTGGAATTGTCGTTCTTCACCGTCTGTGCATTTCCAAACGCTTCCAGAATGGGGTTTGCATCTATTATCTTCCTGTCAATGCTTACTTCTGCATCCTTGCTTCCTCCCACCATCGCAAGAAACTCCACCACTCTCTTTGTGTTTTCTGTCTTCCCTGCCCCAGATTCCCCTGTAATCAAGATCGATTGGTTTTCCCTGCTTGAAACCATCGACTTATATGCTTCATTTGCAACCGCGAAGATATGCGGCTCCAGCTCATACTTCTTGCTAAGAGTGTATTTCCTTGCATCCTTCTCTCCATATATCCGGAGGTTCTTGTATGGGTTGATTGCAAGAAGAAACAGTCCCGAGTATGTATATATCCGTCCGTTCTGATATCTTCTCTTCAAATTGTGCAGGACCCCGGGCTCGTTGAGATAACTCAGCTCTGCAAGGTCATCTATCATGTCGAACTTCGGAGGATTCATCCTAAATATCTCACAGCTTTTGCATTTGATAACAACCCCTTCGCAATCAACCTCAAGGTTATCTCCCTCCTCCTTCACCACAAACCCGCTTCGGTAGGCCTCCTTATTGCTCGGAACCCATACCCACTTCTTCTCCATAAACCTTCTCTGTATCTCGTCCTTAAGACTTGCTTTTTCGCCAAGTCGGAGACCGCTTGTGTGTTTGTTTGTTGTCTCTTCCATTTTTAATGCCCCTGCCGGAATCAGGAAATAAGGTCTCTTCAATATTTTTGACTCCCCAGACATTCCAGAAATGGCTGTAGAGGAAACCACTAATGAAATGATAGAAGAAAGTTCGATCTCCATTTCTTCAGACGTAGTCAATGAGAGCCTTGGCCATCCAGGGGCGGATCCTAGAGATTCGGAAAGCGAGATGGACTGCCTCAAAACCCTTTCCAGGCCCTGCCTTCCAAACAAGCTTTGGATAAAGAGAGATGTTGATTATGACCTGGATCTATCATACTGCGATAGGATTCTCGATAGATTTGCTTTCAATATAAGCAGGCTGAGGGAGGGAGGAACATATGAAAGGGACATTAACGAGGATGCATTCTATTACAAATACAAGCCCACTTCTCCCTGCGATATCGAGACAATCAGAGACTCCAAGGAAATTAAAGAAAAAATAAGTTGCCGAAGACTGAGAGAAATGTCTCTTGAGATGATCGACTATTGTATGAAGCTCAACAGAGATGGAGAACACTTCATCGATCTCGAAGCAGCCACTCCAGAGCTTTCCGAGGAGGTTCGGGACCTTATAAGAAGTAGTGCTCTGAAAAAGAAAAGAATCCTTAACCTCCTACATAAAGTCAGGAACCACATAGGGGAAATAATACTTATGGGCGAAAAGTGCCACAACCATATCGAGAAATCAAATGCCATTGTCTTCAAGGGGATCTCATCTCTTGAAGACAGGATCATAGGAAACACCCGGACAGATCCGTGAACACTAAACGTAGAAGAGTTCCAATTTCAATTCAAAGCATTTTACTCAAAAACGGATAATTAAATGTATTTCCTACCACATTCAAAACATCGAGGCCATCTTGTCAAGAAGATCCTTTGGCAGGATATTCTTCGCCTGCTCCTTTAGCTTTGCTTTCTGTGTCAAGCTCATCGAAGATGGATTCCCCATCATGCTCTCAATTCCAGGAATCGAACTGATCTTCTGCATCACTGCATGGGCCTTCTTAAACTGGGTAAGAATCTCAACCACTCCTTGGACAGATGTCCCACTTCCCCGGGCTACCCTCATAATCCTACTTGGCTCCTTCTCAAACATCTGTCCTGTGGAGTCCAGCTCCCCGCGGCTCAGAGAATCAAATATATAGATGAGCTTTTTAAAAGACTCTTCGTCAGGTAGGGAAAGCCCCGAAAAGCCCGGCATCATTTCAAGCAGCTTGGAAATCGGCCCGAGGCTCAGGATCTTCTGGAATTGATCGTAGAAGTCTCCGAGAGTAAACTTCCCCTGCTTCAGCTTTCTTACAACCTCCTTTTCGTCAATCCCAAGGCTTTCGACCTTTTCCATCAGTCCCTCCACATCTCCCATTCCAAGCATTCGCGACACAAACCTTCTTGCGTCAAACACCTCAAGATCTTCCATTCCCTCTCCATTTCCTACAAACTCGATCGGACATCCTGTTGCTGCCACAGAACTTATTGCTCCCCCTGCCTTGTTTGTCCCATCAATCTTTGTCAAAATTATGGATCCCACATTCACTGCCTTCTTGAATCCAATAGCCTGATCTTCTGCGGACTGCCCTATTCCCGCATCCATCACAAATACAATGCTGTCTGGCCTTACCTCTCTCATGATATCTTTCATCTCCACAAACAGCTCACTTTCCTGTGTATGTCTCCCACTGGTATCCACAAGAATAACCTCAAACCTCTCTCTCCTAAATCTTTCTACCCCCGCTCCTGCAACCTTCACAGGATCTGCCTCTGAGCTTCCGAAAAAAGGAACCTTGATCTTCAAGGCATTCTGTCTAACCTGGTCAAACGCCCCTGCCCTGAACGTGTCTGCACACACTATCCCAACCTTGAATCCTTTTTTCTTATAAAAGTTGGCGTACTTGCATATGCTGGTTGTCTTTCCAGACCCTTGCAGCCCCACAAACACAATAATGCTTGTCTTTCCCTTCTCGATCTTGTAGCCCTTGGCCTTTGGATCCAGAAGATCAACTAGCTTTTCGTAGACTGCATTCTGGACTACCCTTGCCTTGTTAAGTCCTGGCGCCATCCCACTTGGGTCCAACCGGGCCTTCAGTTCGTTTCTCAAGTTGCTTACATATCTTGGATTTACATTCGATAGAATCAGCGAATGGCATATCTCCTTTATCGCCGCCTCGATGTCTTGGTCTGTGGCCCGCGATCTTAAAAGATTTGACAAAGTGTTTGTTATCGACTTTCCAAGCTCGGTGATCATCCTTCTTTGAGGGCTGGGCCCTAGGTTATTTATTGCTACCAAGTGCCAAAGACATAGTCTCGGAAAACACTTCCAGGACAAGAGTCTCCATCAATACTTGTAGTACTGGAACTCCTCTCCAAAACTAGCTACTCTTGTGTCCAGCCCTTGATACTCCATCCTCTCACATTCATGAATCTCCTCCATTTCCTCATAGAACGACTTTTCCCGGGCTCTTCTGTTCTGGAACCAGATCTTGATGTTCTTGACAGGAATCCCTGTCTTCAGAAACAGATTGTATTTTTCTATTCTGTCTGGATATGGGTTTGTCCGGAAGCTATGCTCTAGCATCATGCTTTGCCATTCGTGGAGCAGTATCCTGCTTCTCTTTGGCTTCCGTCTGGGCTCGTAGCTTCTTACAATATCGTTTTCCTCGTCAACCAACTTATACTCCACTGTCTTCCTCTTCATTATTCCAAGCCCTGTTCAGAATACTTTTAATTGAAAGACAACCAGTTATTATACAATTTTCTTCCTTTACTCTATGTCGCTCCTATTCACATCTCACCTCCTTCTCCCTTTAATCAAGGAGTTGTGGAGGCTGATTGCCTGTAGGAATTCAGGATCTGGAGATAGGGGTGGAGCAGGCTCCCTAGCACATCCATCGAGCTTTTAATTTATTTCATGAGCATCCTCCCTTAATGACTAGGCTTCCTGGAGATGGAGCAGATGTTTTGACGTGCAATGGACATCCCGCAATAGGCACCATATTTCCGGAGATAGGATCCAAAGGGAAGGCCAGAGTCATAAAAGTGACATTTACACAGATGATTGTGCAGATATTTGAAGTGGAGGGGAGAAAGACAGCCATTGAATACAGAGGAATCTTCCGGCCTGTTGACTTCAATCCAAACGAGCACCTATGCGATAGATTTGCAAAAGGAGACACTGTCGAATGTACCGTTCTATCATACGGAGATAATGGGGTCTTTGTGAATCTTTGACATCGAGATAGTGGGGCCCTTGGGATGAGGGAAACCAGAAGAGTGAACTTCATGAAAGACATAAAAGTAATGATGTATGGATATGGAGATGTCATTGCGCCTAGATATGACACTGCAGAAGCTCTCCATGGATATGTCTTGGACTACATGAGCATTCTTTTGACAAACACTCACAACATGGCACAGGTAAAGGGAAAGACAAAGACAGAGGATCTCTTATACTACTTGAAGAGAGATAGGAAGAAGTACTCACGAGTTAGGCATTTACTGATTACAAACGAGGAGATCAAGTTGGCAAAGAAGGCGTTTGAGCCCAAGGACTATGAAAAGGAGTGACTTATACGCAAGATTAAATTACTTCCAGACAGATCATTCTAGACTTTCTGTTTTTTGTTTTGAAGCGGTAAACAAATTGCGTCCCTCAAAGCCCATTAAAATGATTCTCTTGCTTGGGATAATTCTGTCGACAATGATTCTGACGTTTTCCTTCGTAAGAAGAATCAACAAGAGGAAGATGCCGGCAGAAGAGAATCCAAACATGGAGCTTGAGATGTATTTTCTGCAAAAATCCGAGGGAGCAGCCTCTTCTGTACTTCTCAGACAACTTGTCAAGGCAGCAGCCTGCTTCAAGGAAAGGGTGATGAAGTTAGAGAAGGACATGGAGATTCTTGGAGTGTTGTATGAGGACAGGATGATAAGTGAGGAGCATTGGGAAAGAGTTAACGAGGAGAGCAAGAATTGTGAGGTGGAGAGAATATGTATTGAGTCCGAGGCAAACATCATCAAGCCCGGGTATGGGGAGGAGATCTTTAAAGATGCTTCCCGGATCAGCACAGTGAATGCGAAGAAGGGGAAAAGCCTTGGAGACGGCAACAGTCTCCATCAAAAGAAAAAAGAGGTGCTTGAGCTTGAATTGATGAGAAAGCTAGGGATTGCCAAGTAATGCAAGGTATTGCATCTCAAAGCCCAATAAAGAGTAAATTGTGTGAACACATAAGCAGGTTTTAATTGTCAGTCTCCCAATCTATAGGTAAGAACCTTACTCACACCTTCGCGAGGATCCTTGTACACTCCAACCAGGCCATCGCTATGTTGGAATAGAGATGGCTTTAGGGTGATGAGGATAAACTGGGCGTTACACGAAACTATGAAGGACACAATCTTCGACACATTAGCCTTGTCCAAGGCAGAGTCCACCTCGTCAAATAAATAGAAGGGAGCAGGCCTGTACGCATGGAGAGAGAAGAGGAGGGACAAAGCAGCCATAGTCTTTTCTCCTCCTGAAAGCAGTCTAACTTCTCGAAATCTCTTGTTTGGAGGCATCAGATGGAATCTAATGCCTTCTCTGAAGGGTTCAGCTGTGTTTTCAAGGACCAGGTATGCATTTCCTTCACCTGTCTCGGTCATTGTAAGAAGCTTGTATATCCTTGATATCTCCTTATTGACCTTCTCAAAACACTCCATGAACAAGTGTGTTCTTCTTTTCTTCACCTCGTTGAACTCATTCTTGGCAGCAATTGCCATTGCCTTTCGCTTTTCGTATTCTGCGCTTATCCTCATGTATCTAGCATTATCTCCATCTCTTTCCTCCATTCTTATCACAGGTGCCTGGCTGCTTATCTTTTGGTTGATTTCCTCCAGCTCCTTTCGAAGTTTCGAGACACTCCCTTCCAGTCCAGAGAAGTCTATCTCATCCACAGAAATCTCCCCCATCGACATCCTCTTTGCACAAGGGAGATCAATCTCCTCGAGAACTGCAAAGCTCAGGGTGTCCTTAATCTCTTCTTCAAGACGCTCTCGAGCAGATGTGCTGTGGATTATCTGCTGATCAAGTTCATTTCTACGGTCAACCAACTCTTTGAACTCCTCATTGATCTCTTTAAACTCGTCCCGAGCCTTTTTAAAAGCCTCAAGATTTTTTCTTCTTCCCTCTTCAAGAATCATGAGCTCCGAATCCAATGCATCGATGTCTATTTCATCGCGGCAGGGATCTTTACTCAATCCTTCTACTTCCCTTCGAAGTCTTTCTGTTTCCTCTTCTAGGTCCCTTACCTCCCGTTCCAGCATCTCAATCCTAAGCTCAGTCTTTGCCTTTATTCCCTCATACTCCATACTTTTCAGTGCAAAAGCTTCACTCTCCCGAGCCTTCTTGTACTCTTCAAAGCTTCCGAAGTAGGCATTTGGAAATATTCCGCAAAACACAGAAGATTCCACTTCTTCGATTTTCTTTCGAAGCTCCTTTAGATAAACTTCAGACTGCCCCATCTCCTCTTCTGTTCGTTTCAAACACTCCTCTGTTTCTTCCAACATCCTTTTATTTTCTCCAATCCGGAGCTCCAGATCCTCAATGCACGAGTCCAGCTCCCTCAAAGTCTCCATTTCCAACTCCTTGCTCTTTTTCCAAACCTCCATTCTTTCTCTACATATCTCAACATGAGAAAGCTCATTCTTGCCATCTTGGATTCGCCGAAGCTCGTCTAAAATCCTCATCCTTTTCTTCACTAGTTCATCCAGCTCATCCTCCTGGAACTTGTTTCGTCCTTCTCCTCCTCCGCTTATCAAATATCCTCCTCCGTATATGTAGATCCCATCCAACGTACACACACTCACCTTGATTTTTCTTCCATAGCAAATATCCTTGGCTATCTCCATGCTATCTGCTATTAGCTTTTCTCGAAATAGAAAAGATACTATCTTCTTATACTTCCCATCGTATTTAACCGCATCCGATGCTCTTCTTACCCCTTCTCCATACTTCTCCACAGCATTCTCCACATCTCTACCATCTCCCTGGTCTCGGATGCTGTGCAGAGGAACAAACGTCATCTTGCACAGCTTCTTCTCCTTTATAAAGTTGATACACGACATCGCTGTCACCTCTGTGTCAACAACAACAGATTGATCATGCCCTCCCAAAAGCACCGACAATGCAATCTCGTATTTGTCTCGGGTGGGCTTAATCAGATCAACAACCCTTCCATACACCCCAGGAAACATCTCCCTAAGAGTCTCCACAGCCCCTGCAATCACAGAATGCCGTCCATCAATTCTTCTCTTCCCTTTGATGCGCAGAATCTCTCCAAGCACCCACGAAAGCTCCTCATTTTTTTCCTTCTCCTCAGAGATAAGCCTTGAGTACTTTTCCTCGTGATGTAATATCTTCCTCCCCAACTCTTCCGAAGATCTTTCAAGCGCATCTATCTTCACTCCAGTATTTCCCCGGATCATCTTCTTTTCCTTGATCATACTTTCCAATTCTTCGCTTCTCTCCTTCAAGTTGCCAATCTTCCTTATGCAATCATCTTTCATCATTTGCCGAGGAAATTCTTCCATCTCCAGAGTATTCAATCTCTCCCTCTCCTCTCCACACATCCGAAGAAATTCCTTTTCTCTCTTTTCAATCTCCTCTTCTTTCTCCTTAACTCCGTTCAGCCGTTCTTTTCTTTCTTCCTCTTCCCTCCATAGCTCAGAATACCCTTCGGCAACTCCTGCCAGATCTCTCCTTCTCCTCTCAATCTCTCTCTTCTTTCCCCCCATCATTTCCTGTCCCGCCCTGATTTCCATTTCAATCTCCGCAATCCGTACTCTTCTCTTACTCCTCTCTGACTCCCCTAAGGACTTCCATGCTCTTCTTTCCGCCACCACTTCCTTCTGTTTCGACACTAGGGCATCGGCCTCAAAATACCTTCTCCTGATCTCACTTATCCTTCCTCTATGCTTTTCAACCTCCTTCTCCTTTTTGCATACCAACTCCTCCATCTTTCTACTTTCCTGCCCAAGACTCAACATTTCATTGCTTATGTCTTTCTTCTTATTCCTCTTCTCCATAAGTTCATACAGCACTATATCTCTCTGCACCTTATGCTTCCTCTCCACTAGCTTTCGAAACTCTCCTTCTTGCTCTCGAACCTCTTCAGCCTCCTTCATCCGGCTCATCACCTCTTTCTTCTCCTCAAACAGCGACGCACATTCACTCACAGCCTTTGCCTGTGCCCTCTGCTTCTCCTCATAAGCCTCCTTAAGCTTCAGGCTTCCACTTGCTTCTTCAAATACCCTTGTAAGCTCCATCGGCATCATGTTTCCTATCGCATTGACATCCCCTTGGAACACCAGGAAGTTTCGGGCATCAACCAGCAGATTCATCCCCTCAACAACCTCTCTGAACCTCTCATACCCAACACTCTCAGAATCCACAAAGTACTGGCTTCGCCCTTCACTACTAATCCTCCTCTTAAAGACTCTCCTCTCTCCAGACCCTTCGATGTGAAGTGCCACACTGGCATGGCTGGATCCACCGTTGATCAGGCTCCTAATATTGTTAGCTCGGAGGTGCTTGGATCCAATCCCAAGGCAAAATGTCACAGCATCCATTATATTGCTCTTCCCCGATCCATTTGGCCCGACAATGCAAGTGAACCTATCAAAAGGCCCAATAATATGAAATCCCGCATACGACTTGAAGTTCTCTACTTCAACTCTCTCCAGTCCCATGATGTATTTGGAAATATTTTTTTTAACCTAAAATCCTCTGCCAATCTTCATGCTATCTACAATGGTTAAGATTGTTATAACAGGATGTGTTGCTTATAAGCTTTACAGAAGAGCTGAAGAAGCAATGAAGAATGATGAGGAGTATCTTATGAAAATAACAGGCCATGCCGACGAGCTGGCTGCCCGAATGATTGACGAAGCCAGAAAACACGCCAGGGCAAAAGAGTACGAGCTGTCTGCAGAGTATTTCTACTATGCATATAAATGTCTCGGATCCAGCTGGGACCACATCATTGCTCAGGCTGACTCCCAAGAAGTATGCCGACTCTTGCATATCAAGAAGTCCCAAGAACAATGAAATATCGAAATCAAGATCTTTGGAACAGATCCGAGGCCAAGAAGAATAATCATGATGATCAATTCAGGAATTTAATAATACCTATTGCCATACCAATTCCAACAATCACTACCACGCTTGATAGTCTAGCATCCTTAACTAAAATGATACACTTCTTGAAAATCCCAACAGCCGGCTTTTTTTCTTCTGTTCCGCTTTGATAAGAAACATCCAGAAGTCTTTCCTCTTTCTTCAAGCCTGGCATTCTGTTTTTTAACTCCTTTTCGAGTATCCAGAAGGAATTCTCTTTGTTCTTTACTTCTGCCACCATGTGCAGAAGATTCATTAGTGTGACGATCACATACCTGTGCTTCGCTTCCTCCAGGTAGTGAGTGGGTGTCCATGGGTGGTTTTGCATCTCGGACTGGATAATCCCCATCACATAGTCTTCGCTGTCTAGAGCCTCCTTCGGCACAAAACACAGCTTTGCGTTCAGGAGTGTATTAAGCTCATCGCACTTTGAAATTGTTTTACTTATCCCTGCAAGCCAGTTAGCCTTCTGGCTGTCGTAATTTAGGTATCTGTAACTACAAATTTCAACAAATTCTTGTAGGTCATCCCATCTTTTTTTATTCTCTTCAGAGCTTTTATTTTTAAAGTAATCCTCAAGAAGCTTGTCGAAATCGCTGCACACGTTCGACTCAAAGTGGTCGTAGCCTTGGAAGTAATCGAATTGTTCCTCGCACATTACTATCCATCTGCTCACCCTTAGAATAAGCTTCTCGATGTTTTTCCTTGCAACGTATGTGCTTTCCCTAAATTCTTGAATTATTCTTGGGTCTCGGGAGCGATAGTACTGGGCAACTTCGTCCGTTATAATAACCGGAATGTCTGGATAGGTTAGTGTCATCTTCAGATGTTGTTTCAGCAGGCATAATAGATGGCATAACATCATAACAGATACATTTCTGTAGTTTATTATGTACCTCATGGAATAATGCAGATCAATGTCATCCATCCAAAGGGCCTTTATTAAGACTTATTTAAAGAACCTGGATGGCTGTGTACTGTCTTCCGGAGTGCTTTCGGCATGTCCTGAATCCGACCTGAGGGACTTTGGCCGAGTGGTCTAAGGCGTTCGACTCAAGATCGAATACGGTAACGTTCGGGGGTTCGAATCCCCCAGGTCCCATTTTGCCGGTGGCTGCAAACAGATTTCGGCCAACAGTTCTAATACTTATCGCCCAACCACCCTAAATGATCGATGACAAATACTTCGATGTCCTCGAGGACAATACGACTCCGCAGGATATTACTATTCCCGAGAGGTTGGAGAGGAGAACGGCCGTGGTCGACCAAATAGACCGGAATGGAACTCGCCACGAGGCAGTCATTCCGGCTGGAGTAGACTACGTGCCTCTCCCAAGAGAGTTTGGCAAGCCGATTGCAAAGGACTACTTGTTCGAGCTGGATGACTTCCAGAAGATTTCTGTCTGTAGTCTTGAGAGAGATGAGAGTGTTCTTGTAAGTGCCCATACAAGCTCTGGAAAGACAGTTGTTGCCGAGTATGCAATTGCAATGTCTCTGAAAAACAGCCAGAGAGTTGTGTATACATCTCCGATCAAGGCGCTGTCGAACCAGAAGTACAGAGAGCTTCTTTCGGAGTTTGGAGATGTGGGGCTGATGACAGGGGATGTTACCATCAACCCCACAGCAACTTGCCTTGTGATGACAACGGAGATTCTCCGGAACATGCTCTACAAGGGAGGAGAAGTTGTCCGTGAGATTCACTGGATCATCTTTGACGAAATCCACTACATGAGAGATAAAGAAAGAGGAGTGGTGTGGGAAGAGACTATAATACTACTTCCAAGACATGTTCGGATGGTATTTCTGAGTGCAACCATTCCAAATGCACTGGAGTTTGCAGAGTGGATATGCCATATCCAAAGCCAGGTTGTTCATGTTGTATATACAGAGAAAAGAGTGACGCCATTGGTTCATTACTTCCGTAGCAACAAGCTGTACAAGATCAAGGATGCAAAGTTCCACAAGTCGAATTTTTTGTCCGCAATGCGGTCAATCCAGAAGAGGAACATCGGGCCTAAGGAGGTGGGAGAGGCGATTAGTGATGCATCTCTTCCTGTTGTTGTGTTTTCCTTCAGGAGAAAGGACTGCGAGCGGTTTGCAATGAAGCTGGACAAGAGTTATCTGAAAGACTCCGAGGCCGAGATGGTTGAAACGATCTTTACCAATGCCATAATGTCTCTCCGCAAGGAGGATAGGGAAATTCCGATTATCCAAAACATTCTTCCTCTTCTTATGAGAGGGATTGGGATTCACCACTCTGGACTCTTGCCTATTATCAAAGAGGTTGTCGAGATACTGTTTCAAGAAGGGCTGCTCAAGGTACTGTTTGCAACGGAGACGTTTTCTATTGGGCTCAACATGCCCGCGAAGTCGGTGGTGTTTACTGCGCTGAAGAAGTTTGATGGGGAAAGCATGAGGCTCGTGAGCCCAGGAGAATACACACAAATGAGCGGAAGAGCTGGACGAAGAGGAATAGACAGCATGGGAATTGTCATAAGCATTATCTCAGAACCAATCACCTACAAGGAGGTTAACAAGCTTTTTTCCACATCCTCGGACAATCTTGTGAGTGCATTTAGACTGACGTACAACATGCTTTTGAATCTGATGAGGGTGGAGGGCCTAGATCCTCTGTACCTCATTAGTAGAAGTTTCTATCATTTCCAGTCATATAAGAAGGCCCTTGCAGAGGAGGAGACTCTGCATATAATGCATAATCGTCTGGAAGACCTTTCGCCCAACCGAATTGTGGACCTATACAAGAGAAGGGAGGAGAAGAAAATCGAAAGAAACAAAAGGCTAGTTGATAAGTTTAACGGGCACTTGAAGAAGGGAAGAGTGATTGACTTATTTGTGCAGAGAAATGGTCCTTCGATTACGATTCGAAATGCAATAGTTAGCAAGGTAAAGGAGAAGATTCTTTGCATGGTTGGGACTAACAAAGGTGTGTACATGTGCAGCTTTCCCTTGGATTGCGTCGACAATGTATATGACAGCAGAGTAAAGTTAGACATGCGGGTATTTACCCGGAGCTTTGGGAAAATTCCCGTTGAGGACGAACTGGATGAAGAGATAAACAGGATAGAAACAGAGATAATATCGGCAAATCCAGGATGGAGCTTCGATGTCTGTATAGTCTGCGGAAAGACTTCGATGGAGTGTCTTTCTTTGTGCAGCAAAGACGTGATTGGGGATGATGCAGTCATGGTCCAGGTACCGGAGAACGGGAGACGGCATGCAGAAAACCCCAAGGCGGGACACTTGCATGTAGAAATGGGAGAAGAGATGTCCTCTGCAAGATCATACTTCCTGAACGAGATAATGAAGCAGCAATGTCTTGAAAAGCTCCTGGAGCTCAATAGTCTCAAAGAAATCTACCACATGAGAGAATGCAAGAAGATGATCAAGGTTCTGAAGAAGCTTGAATATTGTGACGATACTACTGTGTTGATAAAGGGCCGAATGGCATGCGAGATTTCCTCAGGAGATGAGCTGGTCCTGACAGAAATGATATTCAATGGAGACTTTGCAGGGATTCCTGTGGAGCACTTTGTTCCGCTTCTTTCGTGCATTGTGTTTGAGGAATGGGATTCGGACAACTTTGTTCTGAGCGAAGAAAACAAGTTGTACTACAAGCTTCTGTCGGACTCTGTTGAGAAGGTCTGCAAGGTCTTGAAGTCATGCTCGATAGACGTGGATCCGACCACATATCTCCGGAAGTTTTCCTATGAGCTGATGGATGTTGTCCGGATGTGGGTGTGCGGACATACATTCATTAACATCTGCAACAAGACAAGTGTTTTCGAAGGAAGCATCATTAGAACCTTCAAGAGACTTGAAGAGTTACTCAGGCAGTTGAGTAGTGCTGCCAGGGTGATTGGCAACACAGAACTGGAAAACATGTTTGCTCTGGGAATAGTGAAAATCAAAAGAGACATAGTCTTTGCGAATTCCCTTTACGTTTGAATTTAAAAGTATTAGAGTCTGAAGCTTTCATCCTTATTTGTTTAGTCCTTTAATTCATATCTTTGTAGACAGAAAACAGTTTCTCGGCATCTATCTCAAAGAACGATGCTGCATACGGAACCTTGAAAGCTCTGCATATTTCTGGGTTGCACACGCCTATCGATCCAATGGGAATGCCCTCTACAACTACAAATGCACCCTGGTTCTTGAGATACCTTATAGGATCGTCGTGGGGAGTATACGACGGCTGAACTCCGCACTTCTCCAGAAGAAGAGATAAAGAGCCCTGGACCTCTTCAAGACATGGCGAATGCCCACAGTATAGGGCCGCCAGTCTTCTTGAGTTTCTTGCTCCACTCTGGTTTTCTTTATCCAAAAGAACAACATCCGAGACTTCAAACAGCTTGAAGGGAATTTTCACGTGCAGATTCGAAGCCACTGTCTTCATCAGGCCTGGAATAAGAGACGTTCTACAGACCTCATATCCTATGGACTTTGGGTTCATGAGGACAACGGCCAGATCTCCGTCAATTATATTCTCCTGCCGGGATAATAGTGTCAGAGTCAGAGCCTCATCAAATCCCATGATGGAGAGCTCCATTCGGAGTTTGTCCGAGAATCTGTTCAAAGGATCCTCTGATCCAATAGTTGAGATCAAGGGCAACTCTCTTTTGAAGTTATTGAATCCATGGGCAATAGCTACGTCCTCAATCAAGTCACATTTATGGATAACGTCCGATCTGATATCATGCACCTTAACCTGAAGGGTTTTTCCATCAACAATGCTTGCCTTATGCATCATTCTTTCCATGTAAGTCTTTGCAACTTCCAGAGAAAGATCCAAGCCTAGCCTCCTATTGATCTCATCCAGCTCCAGCGTGTACAAGTGATTGTGCATAATGGGTGTTCTTATCCTTTCGTCTCCATCCAAAATCTCAACACTTTCTATCCTCTTTCCTCGAAAGCATCCCAATATTAGTTTCAATGCCGTGTTGACTCTGTGGAAGTCTGTTCCTGTCACATCGATAAACACGTTCTTTGTCTCAAGGTCTATCTTTGTTGCATCGGAATTTATTACTGGAGGTAACGACAAAACAGTTCCCTTGGAATCTTCAAAGTAGGGATACTTTTCATTCTTCTCAATAAGCTTCATATACTTTCCAATCTTACTCCCTGGAGCAAAGTATGAACTCAGTTCCTGTGCACTCATCCTCCTATCTGCGCTCAAAGGCTTGAACACAATCCGATCAGGAGTCTCACTCCTATAAAAAATAGGTGCTTGGATCTTGTCTAGGTCGTGTGTCCCCATTGATACTAATGTTCTGTTCCTTCCAATCGTTAGATGGAGTTTATCTTGGTAGTCGATGAAGCTCCTGTAGGTTTCCTCCGACCGGAAGTCCACTCCCCTGACAATTGCACAGGCAACACAGGGCCTTTCTCTTCCTCCAGACTTGTAAACCGAGACTCTTCCTTCTTCGATTTCTATGTCCTCGTACTCTTCCATAGAGAGAAATACCCTTAATGCATAGCAAAGTCCCTCGGTGCAAAGAAGGTCATATCTATTGGCTGGGATGTCTATCCTGTACATGCATTCTCCTTCTTCTTCCACAGTGTCGTCCAACTCCAGCCCAAAGTCAAACAGAGTCCTTTCAAACCAGTGGTCGTCAAATTCCCTCTGAAGAAGTTCCTGGACTTTTTTCTTCTTTACTATAAGCGTTGGCATAGGGATCAAATTTTCTCCAACCTTCTCTTCCCCTAATGAAGGTCAGGGCTGGACTACTAGTGGGATACGATGGAAGCAAATACCACGGGCTGCAGTTTAACAAGGAGCTGGACACGGTGGAGAAGGAAATAATTGGTTGCCTTCTTGAGATGGAGGTGATCAGCCAAAGAAATGCCGACGACCCAAAGAAAGTTCACATCAAATCGTCTTCCAGAACGGATAAGGGCGTCCATGCTGCACTCAACCTCGTCTCTGTGAAGATAGAGGCCGACATCACTCCGGAACTTATATCTGGACTTAGAACCCTTCTTTCTAGAAAGGAGATCCATCTATATGACATCATAAGGCTTACAAAAAGCACTATTCCATCCAAGCAGGCTGTTTTTCGGGCCTACGAATACATTGTCCCGACGTTCTTCCTTGCAAAGGGAGACTTCGACAAGGAGGTGGAGGTTTTGAGGCAGAAGGATGGAGAATGCAGAGATGGAAGAGTAACAAGAGATTATCCAAGCGATATGATTGATAGTTTGGTCGGATATACATCTTCTGAAGACGACCTCAGGGTCTTTGAAGCCATCCTTCAGAAGTACACAGGAACCAAGGACTTTCACAACTTCACTAAGCTCAATAGTGAAAAGGGCACTAAGAGATACATTAAATCTGTCATCGTCTCGGATCCATACGTAAACAACGGGATAGAATATGTGAGGGTATCGATTACCGGCCAGAGCTTCCTACTCCACCAGATTAGAAAGATGATGCTTTTTGGGATTTTATTGTGTAGGTATTCCAGAGATAGTGTGGAATCAAAGTTCGACATGGTGTTTAGCAAAGAGAACATTCATGTTCCAAAAGGACCTTCTGAATATCTTTTACTTGACAAGCCTACGTTCCACCGGTTGAGAAGAGGAGACGGAACCACAGAGGACATAGGGGTCGATGATGCAGCCCGGGAGGAATACAAGAGAAATGCCATCTACCCGAGGATTCACCAAAGAAAAAACCTCATTGGCTTTTTTGCATGTCTGGATTCTGTAAGGTTTCACAGAGAAAACATGGTGTTCATAGGTTAGTTCCCAAGGGCCTCAAACAGCAACGATAAAAACTCCTCAATAACTTTCTTCTTCTTTTTGTATTTGGGAGTCTTCTTCTCCTTTTTCTCGTTTCCATCAAGTCCTTCAAATGTCCCAATCAACGGGAAATATTTTGGTATTGAAGGAGGGGGCTTGGAAAAGTGCCCAAACTTACTTGCAAAGTCTTCTGAATCTTCTTTACTAAAGAAGATGACTTGAAATTTCCTCTGTTTACATCTACATCTAATCACTCTCTTGCTTACACAAACCCTAATATCCCATTTCTCCTCAAGCTTTATTCTCTCCAGTATCACCAGCTCTTGTCTAATGGCAGAGACGATGTAGACCCGAACCTCTAGCATAGATGGCAACAGAGCCAACCCTAGTGTTTTGCTACCCTCTGTGAACACATGGAGCCACCTCTCCTTTATAATCCCTTGCCGACCAACTTCTGAATGAAGTATCACTCGGCTTATTTCCTCCAACCCAATCCCACAAAACGACTTCTCTCCTTCTTCTCCTTCCACTCTTCTTGAATACTTGAACACTTTCCAGCCATGCATCATTCATGCAACAGAATCCTATTATATCTCAACCCTCTCTGATCCTTCGGAGCAAAGATGCCTTAAGTCTTGACTTTTCCAGACCCTGTTCTATGATTATGCATTCGTTGGCTGTTAGGGAAGAAACAAAGTAAATGAGAACTGTATCGTACAGAAACACCTTTCTTAGTTCGATTAGCTCCTTCATACCTCGGAAAACAACCTTCTCCGTATCAAGCCCTCTCTTTGCCATGCTGCATCTGGAACCCACTAGTCTTCCGACCTTCTTGTCTACATCCTTTTCTTCCACATCCATAAGATATCTGAAGTATCCAGAGACAAGGTTCATCTTTGACTTACTCTTGCCCAGAAACTCTGAGATCAGCTCTAGGTTACAAGTCCTGAATATAATACTCGAGTAGTCAACAAAAAGGCCTCCATCAACAAGCTTGAACAACGAAATGCATCCTTTTTGGTCTGTAAAAACATCTTCTGCTTGTGAATGAATAAGAACAGAGAGACGATCATACATTATCTTGAAACATTCCCCCTGGTCAGAAGCTCTTTCAACACTCCGGTTCACTACTCCAAATTCAATGCATTTCTCTCTAAAGAAAAGGAGAAAGTCACAAAGTACAGAAAGATTGCCGATTTTCTTGAACTCATATCCGTTGACTCTTTCGTAGTCCTCGGACATTATCTTCCATAGTGCAGCATAGCATTTGATCTCTGATGGAAAGTTGTTTTCCACGCTTTCCGATATGTCAAACGACTTGATTGCGCAATGCACAAACTCTACACAGGAGGATTTAAGTGATTCCACAACTCGGTGAACAAAGGCTGGAAAGTCCTTCTCAAGCTTCTTCAAGAGATGTACAAACCTTGAAAACATCTCTTCACATTTGTACTGGGCCAGAAGATCTTTCATTGCCTCCAGAAGCCTATTGGTAGCATCTGGATGCCTCCTAAACACCTCTGGATCAACTTTTGAGATAGCTTCCACAGTTTGTGCCGTGTTTTCTCTACTGTCCTTGACTATCTCAAAGATTCTGTGATATTTCTCAACATCCACCCCCGAGCCAGAGAGAACTCCGAGGATTCTTAGGTAACACAGGCTCTTTGATTGGCAGCAAGAGTTTTTTGTGCGTAGGAAGTCCAAAATAAAGTCTATGAATCCTTCAACATCTTTTCCACTGTGAGGAATGCATGAGCAAATAAATAAAGACGTGTTTGAAAGTAGTTCATGCAAGCCCTCGTGATTCTCCAAGAGACTTCTATCACTTGGTTCCTCTGTTCCAAGTATCTTTCTGATGGTAGAGCTCATCAATCCTTTCTTATCTCCTTCGTTCATGGACCTTAGAACTTTGTATACATCATCCTTAGAGACCATCCCTCCAATATACAGCTCCATACAGAGTGCTTTTCCTTCGTCCCTTAATGCAGGACTCCTATCGTATAGAGATAGCTCTATTATCCTACTCTTAAAACGAGATACAAACCCCTGGACATTGATCTTCTTCCGTACAAGTCTCGTGCATGAGCTTATCCCTTTTCTCCTAACACTATCGTTTTTGTCACTGAGAGCCCATCCAATGTACTTCAGGTAGCAGGGCAGATTGAAGATCCCAGGGGCAGAGATAATCCACTCACACATAAACTCAACACAAGCAGCCCTTATATTGAAATCCACATCTCGGAACCTAACCAGAAACACCTCATCGTACATAGCCTCCACCACTTCAAATCCCCTTCCATCTATAACCCACTGCTTTATCTTATTGAGCATCAGATACGTCGACACATATCTCAGCATTCGATTTCCATCCCTTGTAAGGTTAACTATCAAGCCGGTGTCATAGTTGGACAGTGAGTCGAAGACACGGCACAGCTTCTTTATTTTGTTCTGGCAGACATGGACCGATCTGATAAGCTTGATGATATCTTCAGTGCAGTCGTCATATGTTTTGAATCTGCTTACTAGGGCCTCGGGTGTGAACACATCGAAGGGACAGCACCCCGGCTCTGAGGGCTCAAGAAGACTCGGGGAGATGGAGGCATCCCCCATGTTTGAGGCAGTTGTCCTGTCCGGAATGTTCTCTTTCTCCATTAAGGCTTGGAGACGAAAATATTTTTAACGACCAGAGCAGATGATGTAGAGCATAAAAGTTTCTTCCAAGGACCCATCAGTTTGTTATGAAGCTTAGCCTGACGGAGCAGGAGGAAGTTATGAAGGAGTTTTCCGACCCTGTGGAGTTCATAAGGGAGTATGTGGATGTTTATGAAAAGCAAAGAAATGTGCCTGTAAAAGTGTATTTAGAGGACATTTCATATTACGAGAGGTTTGAACCAATTTTTCTTGATCTTGTGATAGGAAGGGCACTTTCCGAGGGATCTTCTGACCTGAATCTCCCGGAGGTGGAGGAACTGCTGCATGAGTTCTGTAAAAAAGAGTTTTATGACGAAAGATTCTATCTTGAATGTACTCTGGTCCTTATCAAGGGAATAGCAATATTGATAGACAGGGTGGATCAAGAGGTGCAAAGACAGAATTTTAATAACCTCCGGTATCTGTATTACTACACAACAGAGCCGATTGATCTAACACGGATGCTTGTTGATCCCTATACAAGATACATTGAGGATCCGCAGATCCTGGTTAGCAGGATGGCAGAGCTCCGGAGGACCGTGGAGTTTGTAAATAAGCAGGTGAAGGGGGTTGGAAGCTCATTTCTTGCAAAAGACAGCCGACTGAAAGACAGAATGAATCTGTCTGAAGGGATTCTGGGGCAAAAAAGAATAGACGACTACAAGATCGAGGATGTGTATGGTAGTATATTTGATCTTCTCATGGTGAAAGCCACGGGGATGGAGGTGGAGCTAGGGTATGTATACATAATGGGTTTCTGTAGTGAATTTCTTGTATCTGAGCTTGGAGACGAGGAGTCTATTCTCCGTCTGAAAGAGTATGCAAACAGTCTGCTGAGCAAAAAAGAAGCATAATCTTTATGGGATGTGGATCTGTAATAAAGTACTTTCCTTTTTCCAACGGCATCTTTATTTGGGGCTTAAGGCTTCCCCTGGAATGGTGAAAAGAAGGCTTGAAGAGGACGAGAGCACGTCTGGAGAGGGACGAGAAGTGGGGATGAGGATGGTAAAGGAGCTTGAGAGCTCTGAAATAGATGAGATAAAAGAGGAATTATATGAGTCTTCGGAGCTTGAGGAAAGCGAGGTTATGCAGCATTCTGATATTGAAGACCTCATAGGACAGGAGATTTCAAGTATGAAGTCTGAGGAAAACAAGGCAAGGAGAGAAGGAGATTCTGGGAACGAGTACGACGCCGAGGACATATTTAAGGCTGACGAGATTACAAAGGATTTTTTTGAGCAAGGCTTTTTCCGGGTCAAGCTTACCAGGAAATTTGTTCGTTTTTTCAATGAGTTCCGAAATAAGAAGTACATTGGAAGGATTCGGAAGATGTGCTCGGAGAATCTTGAGAGCATAGAGGTGAGCTATTTGGATATTGAAGAGGAATCTACAGATCTCCTGAAGCTCCTTAACCAGCATGCAGAGATGACGATTGAGGTGATGGACCAAGCTTTATCCGAGGTGGTGAGGATGCATTTTCCAAACTACCATCTCATAAAGCCAAAGGTGCATGCAAGAGTTGTTGATCTTCCAGTGAGCGATAGTATCCGCTCACTGAGGAATAGCCACCTTGGAAAGCTGGTGAGGGTAAACGGTGTGGTCACACGAAGAAGCGGTGTATTTCCGCTTTACTCTATTGTGAAGTTTAGCTGCCTTAAGTGCAAGTCTGTGTTTGGGCCATTTGTGGCATCATCATTTAAGCCTACACATTGCTTTGAATGCCAGTCGAAAGGGCCTTTTACTGTTAGTACCTCGGAGACCATTTACAAGGACTTCCAGAAGTTAACAATCCAGGAGATTCCTGGGAGTGTCCCGCCAGGGTCTCTTCCTCGATCGAAGGAGGTGCTGCTTTTCTATGATCTAATTGATTGTGCGAAGCCTGGAGAAGAGGTTGAGATTGTTGGGATATACAAAAACAACTTCAATGTGTCCTTGAACATAAAGAATGGATTTCCTGTGTTTTTCACAGTGATTGAGGCAAGTTCTGTTAGTAAAAGAGTTGGGAAGATCGAGATGACTGAAGATGATATCAGGGAGATCAGGAAGATGGGAAGACATCCGGAAATCAAGAAAATAATAATTAATTCGATAGCTCCATCGGTGTATGGACACGAAGAGGTGAAGAGAGCCATCGCATTAGCTATGCTTGGAGGGGTTCCTAAGGAAAGTACAAGCCACAGGATCCGGGGAGACATTAATGTCCTTCTTCTTGGAGATCCTGGAATGGCCAAGTCTCAGTTTCTCCGATATGTGGAAAATACATCGCACCGAGCAGTGCTGGCTACAGGGCAGGGAGCTTCGAGTGTTGGGCTGACGGCATCTGTTCGGAAGGATCCGGTTGTAAAGGAATGGACACTCGAGGGAGGGGCACTAGTGCTAGCAGATAAAGGAGTGTGCCTTATTGATGAGTTTGACAAAATGAATGAGCATGACAGAACTAGTATACACGAGGCGATGGAGCAACAGTCGATCTCGATTTCGAAGGCAGGAATTGTTGCAACATTGCATGCAAGATGTAGCGTGATAGCAGCGGCAAATCCAATAAGGGGGCGATACAATGGGTCTCTGACGTTCTCGCAGAATGTAAATCTGAGCGACCCTATAATATCGAGGTTTGATATTCTCTGTGTTACAAAAGATAATATCGACTCTGGAGAGGACGAGAAGACTGCAAGGTTTATCATAGAGTCTCATGGAGGAGGAGAGAAGACCGATGGGTTTGATTCCAAAAAGATGATGATGGGCCAGGATTTGCTAAAGAAATACATACTGTACGCAAGGACCAATGTGGTGCCTGTCTTCAATGATGTTGATATCGAGAAAATCTCAAGCTTGTATCTGGAGCTCCGTAAGGAGAGCTTGCCTTCTGGGCTTCCAGTGACTGTCAGACATGTTGAGAGTATTGTCCGGATCAGCGAAGCATTTGCAAAGATGAGACTGAGTACAGCAGTCTCTGCCGAGGATATTGACGAAGCCATTTCTGTTGTCCTCGACTCTTTCATGGGAGCTCAGAAATACTCTATGTCGAAGAGCCTGAGGAAGAAGTTTATAAAGTACTTCAACAGAAGCAACACAGATGTTTTGATTTTCCTTCTGAAAGAGATGTTTAATGAGAAGATGAAGGCCTTCCATTCCCAATCTGTGTCTTTAGATGAGTTCGAAAGGAGAATTTCCTCCTTTGGGTTTTCAATTCCATCCAGCTTCTACTCTTGCGGCCTGTTCAAGAACAGCGGGTTCAAGCTTGACAGAGGGACAAGGCTAATATCAAGAAATGCCTGCTAAGTTGGCTTTGAATAAAAGTGATGTTCTCTTAAGTTCTATATCTTCCCTTCCATCTTGAAGATTCCACTCCCATATTGCATTGCCTTCTTCGGAACTCCAGACACACATTCAAGTCCGTTTCTTCTCAAGGTCTCTCTCAAGATAAACTTCTTTTCTCCATCCATTGCAACTACATTATTCCCTATCTTCAGGGAATATCCCACCAACTCCGAGTCCAGAAATGGGAACCTACACTCAACCTGGCAGTCAGAAACAGCCCTGTCATCTCTACAGAGGTTGTGGTGCGAGATTGTGAAAAGATCAAAGAGCATCTCCTCTCTAAAGCCTTCTCCCCTGTACCTGTGGTATCCTCCAAACATTTCATCTGCCCCTGATCCCAAATATGCAATCCTACTGTACTTTCTCGACTCTTTTGCTGAGAAAAACAATGTTGCTCCTATGTTGAAATCCATGCGTCCGTCTTTTGGATGGATCAGTCTGTAGATATGTTCTTTTGCAGCCCTAACCTCCTCTACTCCGATGTTGTTGGCAACAAAGACAAAAGACCTTTCCTTGAACATTGTGCAAAGGCTTTCAAACCCTTTCTTCCCAGCCTCTCTGTCCCATGATTTCCCAAACGATGTGTTTATCAAATAAATCTTCTGGCGAAGATCTGCTGCATAGTGGAGGAAAACAGCCACAAGCATCGAGTCCACTCCCCCACTAAAGAATACACAGATGTTTCCACCACTAATTCTTCTTTCTATAGACCTTCTGAAGATCTTGTTAAACTCTTCAACTGCACTATCGACATCCTCAAGCTTTGCCTCATGATTTCCTACATTCTGCAAGGACAGATGCTTTGCTAAGTATCGATACTTCTTCGAGTACTTCTCGTTGCTGAGACGCTTTAATATTGCATCTCCCATTGTCATGTACCTTTTAACAATTTGGCTGTCTTTTAGCCATTCGCTCAGCTTTCTTGTAGACCTGTCGTAGGAGTATATAGCCATGGGGTTGATCTCCTCATCATACTCCACGGATGAGACACAGAACGGATCCAGTGTGTATCCCAAGCTCCTTCTCCCTATGTCGTCCTTAAAGAAGTACACATGGCTTCCAATCATCAATATCATTGCCATTTCGTTTTCATGTCTGTTGATTTCTGCATAAATCTTATCTACTATACATCTACCATCCAAAACTGCTTTCCCACTCTCGCACAAGACCTTATCTATTATATTTTTGATAGACAGTGTGTCGCTTCTTTCATTGTTATAGATTTCACCGTTGTAAAGAAACAGATACCCGTTTCCTTCCACAGGCTGGCAAACAGAATCCCTTATCGAAAGAACCGAGGCGATTGCCACCATACCATCGATATAGACCTTGTTGTAATAGTCTCCTCCTCTGTTTCTTATAAGAGAGGCCACCCTCTCGTATGCAGTGTTTTCTTCTTCTGAGAGAAGTATTCCGCACATGAAGGATTGAAGATATATCTGGAAATACAAGCCAGAAGCAATAGGCCTGGGTGTTGGATTAGTATGACAATATGCCCCTGCATGGAGTCATTTGTAAAAAGCACAGGATATAAGAGAATAGAACATCTATCTACAGGAATATCCGGGTTTGACACAGTACTAGGAGAGTGCTTTACAAGAGGAACATCCATTCTCTTGCTTGAGGATGAAAATTCTCAGATTCATTCGACAATACTGAAGGTTTTTCTTTCAGAAGGAGCTTCCAACCAAGAGAACATGATGGCAGTTATGAAGGAAGGCCGGAATGTGGAGATATACGGTACTGGATCATTTACCGAGAAGGAGGATGAAGACAAAATGGTAATTGCATGGAGATACACCAAGCTATCTCTAGCAAGACCTTTGTTCAAGTTCAACCTCTCGAAAAAAAGGAGATTCGAAGGAATCTTGCTTTCTGGAGAGGATGCAACGTTGAAAAGCATTCTGGACATAGCAAGAAAGGAAAAGGAATTGAGGATAGCCATATTCTCGTTGGGATCTCCTGTTTGGAAACTTTCTGGACTGGGTGAAGAGGAGATGGCAAAGTTTCTCTTTGAGCTCAAGAGAGCTGTAAGGGCTAATGGCCATGTATGCATGGTTTCGATTCCTGGGTTCTTCATGGCAAACACAAGCTTAAGCCTGTATTTTGATACGGTTGGGATGTTTGACTCGAACATGTTCAGCTGCTTCTGTCCAAACTACAATGGGGTTCTGGAGCTTAGGAAGATAGGAGGGTACGGAAGTCTCCGAGTCAACACTCTTGGAAGCTTGAAGTACGGAGTGAAGATTAGGAAGGAAAACATCTCTATGGAGAAGATAGACATGCCACCTGAGGACATCAAGGCAGATAGCAGAGCCTGTGACATGGACAAATCTTTTTAAGATCTGGAAATGGATTTCTATTTTTTCTATTTTTTTCGACCGTTTGAAATGATTTACTTGGTGGAGACTGTTGTTGGGTATGGACTTTTCGACAAGACAGATCTGTCTGAAGAGCCACGACTTGTCGAGACGTACAAATTTGAGAGTATTGACGAAGCACTAGAGTCTTCTGGACTGCTGATCAAGGGGGAAGTTCCGAGCAATCTGGAGAGGTTTATGAAGCTTGCAGAGGTTAAGGACAAAGAGGTCTTGGCTGTGGATGACCAGAAACTGGTGGAGCCTTTATCGAAGAAGTTTTTGAGAAAGGTTGTATACTTGAATGATGATGTCCAGAGGCTGATAAGATCCAATGTCCACAAGTATTTTGGGATGAGTGGGAGGGAATATTCGGAAAGGATCCTGTGCATAGCACACAAGATATCAATGGAAAAGGTTAAGATTGTGCCCGAGAAGATTGACACCATGGTGATTCAGTCTGTCTCACTTCTGGAGGATATGGACAGAGACATCAACCTCCATTGCATGAGACTCAAGGAATGGTATGGGTTCCACTTCCCCGAACTGTCTTCTGTGACAGACAATAACAGGAAATATTTAAGACTTGTTGTGGCGATTGGGAGAAAGGAGAGTATTGAGGAGAAGAAGGAAGAGCTCAAGGAAATAGCCAAAGATGAGTGGGAAAGGATTGTAAGTCTTGCAAAGACAAGCATGGGGATTGCAATGGACTCATCGGATGTTCTGAATATATTGGAGGATGCAAAAAGCGTATTAAAGAGCTTTGAATTCCGAGATGAGCTTGTGGAATACATACGGGTGAAGATGGAGGATCTTGCCCCAAACATAACGTCTCTGATTGGGGAAGTGATAGGAGCAAAGATGATAAGCAAAGCAGGGTCTCTTTCAAATCTTGCTAAGATGCCTGGGTCATCGATCCAGATCATGGGGGCAGAGAAAGCCTTGTTCCAAGCATTGAAGTCAAAGACAAATACTCCGAAGTATGGTATGATCTACGGATGTTCTCTCCTAGGACAAGTGGATTCTCAACATAAAGGAAAGATAGCTAGGAGCTTGGCGTCTAAGATTGCAATAGCAGCCAGAATCGATTCCTATGGGGAGAAGGTAACGAACGAGGCTGGCATAAGGATGCAGGAGGCGATCAAGAGAAGAATTAAGGACTTGGAGGCCAGAAGCAGATCGGAGAAGAAGCCGGTGAAAAAACTTAAGTACGAGGTGAAGCCGGACTTCTATGACGACTCAAAGGACTCCAAGAAGATCAAACTGAAATAATTACATTAAAGCACATTGCATTGGTATAATATATTTAGTAATGGATTGGTGGTCTTATTTCTCTGTTATTCGGAGAATGGGGTTAGCATCTTAAATAGCTTTTCATTCTTTGTTGAAAGTGCCTTGAAGTCCTCGAAGGTAAGGAAGCTCTTGGAACCTCCAACAGAAGTGAATATCTCCTCTACTATTCCTTCTGAATCTATGGAGACATCGAGGGTGTGCGATGTCATATCTGCTAGATACTGGACAACCTCGACCATTTCTTCCTTAGATACAAGACCATCATTGTCCTTGTCATAAAACCTAAATATCCACCGTAGTTTTTCATGGTCGCTTCCCTTTATCAGTATACTGTATGCAATCAGAAGTTCGTGAAAATCGATGGCTGTGGTCTGGCCTATGTTGATTGTTTCGAAAAGCCTCCTAGAGAAGTTTGTGGGAGATCCAAAGGGGAAAAAACTCCTGAAGATTTCCTCCAAATCCTTCGGTGTCATAAGCCCGCCAGGATATTCTGATCTGAACGAGGAAGACCATTCCTGGATATCTTTTGAGGGGAAGTGGGAGAATTGTCTGGCATCTTCTTCTGTATCGCCTGGGATTGTGCTGGCACCTGATCCCATGGGGTGTTTTGTTTTAGCCAACTAGAGGCTTGGTTTGAAAAAGCAAAGAGAAGACCTAACCCATGCTATTCTTCTGGATTGTTTCTTTTGCAATGTGTTCTAGGATCCAGAAGATCCTAAGGCCTGGAGACAAGGAGGTGTACTGGGCAATTCTTGATAGCAAGGATGTGGAACTTACAATCCAGTTGAACCAATATTCCGACGCGCTTGTGTACTACAAGATAATCAAGCCTGGAGAGGTTGACGATGACAGTGAGTTCAAGGAAGAGCTTATAGAGAGTGTTAATGCCAAGTACACAACTCCTGGGGCCTATCGAATTGAAGTCTTCAATGATGGGTTTGAGAAGGCTTCTATAAGCATATACACAGATGTCATGTCGTCTGGAGATGTTGACAATGACAACCTGGCAATTAAGAATTTGTTTCTTGATTTGGAGGCCAAACTCATGTCTTTGTACAGGACGAATACACGTCTGAAAACAATCCAAGAAAACAATATTGCAGAGGCAAAAAGAATTCGGAATGGTCTATACATTATGTTTGCAATTCCGATTATGTATGTCATCATAGGACTTGCCAAGTTGCATACAACCAAAGCCATGTTTGCTCCGAAGAAAGGATCTCGAATCTAATGTTTCCTGATTAAACTCTCTGTGGAAAAGTTGTCTAATAAATGAGTTTTGTAAGGATCTAGTACGATGTTTATTCAAATCCCTGAGGACCCTACAAGATGGAAGAGTCCTATGGCGGAAAGCCTTCCAGGGAGAATCCGAAGCAATTTCTTCACAGGATAAGAGACAAGAATGTTTCTGTTACGTTAAAGTGGGGGCAGGTCTATGAAGGGGTTCTTGTCACGTCGGACAACTACTTCAATATACTTCTGGACAAATGCATAGAGAAGGATGGAGAGAGCGAAGCAATGGTTGGGGAGGTTACAATTAGATGTAACAACATTAAAAGTATAGCCGAAAGCTGACAAGAGGTAGACTCTGGAAGAAGTTATCTGGAGAGTGGAAAATGAAAAATTCTCAGGGGCCCATGTCGTACAGAATAGATTTTGAAGGAAGCTCTGAGATAGGAGCATACATATCACTTACCAACACATACTGTGTGGTTGGAAGAAGTCAGTCAAACAATGTACTCAAGTTTCTGCAGGAGACTGTTGCAATCCCGATTGTGGAAACAACGATCAATAGCATTAGAAGTGTAGGGTCGCAATGCAGGGGAAACAGACATGGATTACTTGTGCCACACACGATAACAGACCAGGAGATTATGCACATAAGAAACACATTGCCGGAGAATGTTGTAGTGAGGCGGATTGAAGAGAGACTGAATGCCCTTGGAAATGTAGTTCTCTGCAACGACCATGTTGCAATCATACATGGAGATCTGGATGGAGAGTCGGAAGACATTATCAAAGATGTTCTACAGGTTCCTGTCTACCGACACAATATAGGCCAAGAGCCACTTGTGGGAACCTTTGGTGCATTGAACAACCAAGGAATGCTTGTTCATCCCCTCACGAGTCAAGAGTGCCAAAAGGAGCTTAGTGAGCTTCTCGAGGTGAATGTGATTGCAGGGACAGTCAATGGAGGAAGCCCTTGCATTGGGGGAGGGGTTGCCATCAATGATTGGATGTGTGTTGCAGGAGTGAAAACGACCAATGTCGAGATGACTGTGATTGAAAGCGTGTTTGACCTCAGTGGAGACCAGGACTTGGAGGCTCGAAGAAGAGCCATAGTGGATACCATAGTCAAATGAGAAGCAACGAATAAAGTTTAGGCTTTCAATGGAATTTTTAATTGGTAAGTGTCTGTCCAGGATACGAAAGCTGATCATTTTCTGTAGTAATTACCAAACATAAGAATATCCTTTTTGAAAAATAGGTAGTCCTGGACCAGCTCTTGGTTTCTTGGCCTTTCGACCAGCTCCTGGAGAAGCATCAAGATGTTCATTAGCGTGTGTGACATAGTGCTACTGTCTATCAATGCATTCACCTTTTCAATCTCGTTAACCATTCCTATTCTTCTCATGTGATATTGCACGATAATTCGGAGTTCCTGTCTCCATTGCCTATCATTACTCCCATGCATGGTTTTTCCCAGGATTTTCTTTACAACTGCTCTGTACTGGTTTTCTAGAGAAACATCAGATCCTTCCATTCGGAATCCCGGATATCCGCTTCCTATTGGAGAAGCCTTTAGGATGGGATATTTTTCTCTTAGTCTGTTTGGGGCAACACCACTTTGTGGCATGTTGTAGTGTTCTTCTTCTATTCTGTCCAAGAAATCGTCAAGTTCCTTCTCTTCATTAGACATTCTATGATAAAATCTTCTTCTTTCTTTGTCCTCTATCCCATACTCTTTTTTCTTTTCCTCGGCCTTGCCTACTCCATTTCGACTTTCTTCAGCTCTACTCTGCCACTTACTCATGGCCTCCACATGCTGCTTTATGATTCGCGGGTCTACAGTAGGATACAGGAGTCTCTTGTCAAGAATGTCCTCAGACCCTTTGGAAAGCTCATCTATTTTCTCGATGTCTCCAATGTTCCAGTCGTGTTCCATGTGCTGTTCAGGCCATTCCACCTCCTCTCCCTCCAAAAGCCTGTTATAGAGCAATGCCTTCTCCATGTACATCTTCCTTGCAACATCAAGTCTCAGGTCCTCACAGAAATCAACAGGAGACGAGTATCCATGTTTTGCACATGTGTCAAGCACCTCCTGGTAGATTGTCTTCCATCTGTTTGGGTGGATGTACCCATACATTGCTGTGATGTACTTTGTTACCGAATCCTCGTCTGCTACTCCATATATATCTATTGCTCTGGAGACAACCAGCTTTTCTGTTGTTGTCGACAATGACCTGGCCTCCATGCCCCTCTACTGAGGGAAGACGAAGAACCAATTCAAAATCCCAAATGCCTTTTTGCAGGGAGTATTTGGACATCGAGTATTTGCCCTAGGATGCCTTCTAGTGTTAGAAAGGAAAGGATGCCGCCAGAACATCTTCGAAGAATAATAAGGACATCAAAAGACATGCATCCTTCCTTCATGGGAGCAATGAGGTACATGCCGTATGCACTTCATAATCTTGTGAGGTCGATGCCAATGCCATGGGAGTCGATCAGATATGTGGATGTTGTATACCATGTTTCTGGGCTGGTGACCTTTGTCACAGAGAAGAGGAGAGTAGATGTAGAAGAGTACAAGAATAGATGGAGCCATGCAAGTATGTTGTTTTCTTCAGAGGAAAGAAAAAGAGGACTTGTACGTGTTCTGAGATACCCTGTGTTTGATGACGACGAACCAGTAGTGGACTATGGAAGTATAATTGGCCTCCCTGTTCCAACTGCTATTGGGAGTCAAGACAACATAAAGTGGAAGGAAGACTTTAGAGATGTGGACGAGGGATATCTGTTTAATTGCAAAGCATTCTTGATAAGCAGGCATGTAGGTGTGCAGCTTGAGAATGGGCCTTATGTTACTGAGAGGAGTGGAAATGATGTGAATATAATGGAGAGGGAGCCTGGGCTCGAAAGGATAGCTTATCCTTATCTTTACAACAGAAGTACAAGGGTACAAGTTTTGGAAAAAACTCATTTGGATGCTATAAGTCCATTTAGAAGGGAGAAGAGAGAGGATGGCAGGAGAAAAAAGGAAAGACATCCGGCCGACATCCCATTGCTGAAAGGGGAGTGCTTGAGAGAAAGGACGGACGAGGGTCCCAAGGTCCGAAACCTTCTCAGGAACTATGCAAGGATCACAGAGAAGAAGACAAAGAAGAGGCCTCCTAGCCACATTCTTAAGAAGCTGAAAAATACAAGATATTTCCAAAGGACAGAGATAGACTGGGTTGAGGCGGGGCTCCAATTGGTGTATCAAGGGCACAGGATGCTTAGCGAAGTGTTGAGAAGGAAGAAGCTTAGCTATCTCATTCTTGACTGGAACTTCAATTTGAAGCCTATTCGGCAACTGACGACAAAAGAAAGAAAGAAGTCCCGAGTCGGAACATCTTATCATCTAACAAGAGAAATGCTTAAGCTTGTGAAGCATCTTGTGGATATCCACGTTCTGTTTAGACAAGGAAACATTGACGGATATGAACTGATGGCGAATGTAGATCATGTGCTTAACAATGTTGGGGTTCTGACAGGAATATACAGGTACAAGTATAAGCTTATGAAGCAGATCAAGCAATGCAAGTCATGGAAGAGGCTTTCGGATTACATAGGATTTAAAGGATGGGGAGAGCAGTGGAGGACGTGGTGCTTTATGTTCCGGGGACACATTCCGTTGCTTGGAAGATATATTTCTGGGCTGGTTACAAGGATTGCGGAAGGAAGGGACTATAATCCAAAGCCTCTATCGAAGCAACGAAGCGAGAGTGGATATGATGTTGCACTAAAGAGGCAGATTATGGCCGAAGTTTCGTCTGTGCTCCATCCGACACAAGTAAGGAGGCTTCTCCAGCATTTTAGTGAAGCGTGGAGATGTTGGAAGGCAAATGTTCCCTACCATATTGTACATGAGCACATCAAGGAACTAGGAATAAGAAGAAGTGCTTCTTTATCTCTTGAGCAAGAGGGCCTGAAAGGAACTTCAGAGACTACGATTGTAAACCTGGAGGCTATCAGGCCTATGGTTGATACTCTCCAAGAGGGGGAGGGAAATACAACGATATCTTCTAAGCAGAGTGTGGTTACATTTTCAGATAACTTTGTGTTGAATATACAGGAGCAGGGGAAAATGGCAGGAGTCAAGCATCAGAAGGAACTTTTTGAATTGCAGGGGATAATAGACAGATACGTTCGGCTGAGGTCTGGATGGTATATTGAGAGTGCGATTAACGGGGGAGAGAAGAGTAAAAAGGGAGAGAAGAAGCGTCTTGGAAAGATTACAAGGCTATATATGAAGGAACGGATGGCTGAGCAAGCGGAGTATTTGAGCCAGCCGTTTCTCAAAGCAGCAGAGGCTGTTGCTATCTACAAGCTTTCTGCGGAATACTTCAGGAGCAAAGGAACAGGGAAGATATTGTTTCCTGAGAAGAATGAGGAGAAGTTCTTGAGCATTGCAGTGGACAGGCTTAAGAAGAATGCAACGGCCGAGGAATGCGAGTTTTTCGACAAGGCGCTGGAGGACTCTGCCGACACCATTTTCAAGATAAAAAAGTCATTGCTTACTCAAAGATCGTTCAAAGAGGTTTCTGTTACTCTAAAGAGATATGGAAGCGGGGGAATTGAATACTACCATGTATCGTACATGGAGAGGCTTGTGGATGCATTTCTTTGTGCATACCTGTTCTACGAATCCGAGAGGCTCAACATCTTCCCTGAGTTTATCAAGCCTGGAGACGAGATGGACTTAAAGGCCCTGATGGACTTATGCGAGAAAATTTCATCATTCAGTGGAGTAGATGGGGAAAGAGTTGTACTTTACGAGGGAAAATACTCGGGGATTATGAAGATGATAGATAACAACCTCCTTTCGAAGCTGCTGAAGCTTGTTTTGGACCCTACTTTGGCGGATTACATCATAAGCAGAAACAACTGCTTAGTTTTCTACAAGGATATGAGGTACACCAACCATGTTGGGTTTATCAAAGGATTTCAGCTTTCTGCGTTTGTATATAAGTTTTATTCGTTTATCATCGACCTGTGTGTTTTAGGAGAAGATGTTTTCATGGACGAGAAAAGTAGCATAAAGCTGTACTTTAGGCATATGGACGATGTCTACATCCTTTTTAAACTAAAGAAAGAGGAAGAAAGCGCCTTACTCTCTGACTATGGAAAGGGAACTGAATGGTTTGAAGATGTGATGAAAGATCGAAGAGGAAACTACTTCGATGGGATTTGTGGGAATCTTTATGATGAAGAGACTGAGGAATTTGATAGTAGCAATGGCAGGGAGAGACTGAAACTTTTAGAGAAGTGTGTTCATGCCGAGGTTGCGACGAGACTATTACCTTCTTTAGGGAGAATCAGATTCCGAGGATGTAGTATATTCCCAGGTGTTAAGTTCTCGATGGGGGGAATTGATGTGATGATTTCTTCAAAGAAGATCCATGAAAGAAGCTCATGGAAGCTTGAGAATGGGATGTATGCAAACTTGGCTGTGAGTGACAAGAGTGTAGAAATGTTTGAAAGTAATATAATGCATATTGTGAACACGAGTGGATCTGCCACATTTCTCAAGGTGGCAACAAGATGGAATACACAGATTCTTTCGTTTACAATGTACTACAGAGAGTGCATCTGTGACACTCAGGGGCTGGAGGAGAGGCTTAGAAAAGCTGAATGTATGATACAGAATGTTGTGAAGAAAGGAATAAACTCGAAGATGCCGGTGAGGTTTCCACCTGTTATGTTCTATGCACCTAAGGAGATGGGAGGACTAGGGATGCTAAGTGCTGGAGGAGTCCGGCTTTTTCAGGAAGATGTTTCGGACATGGAGGAAGAGAAGCATAAGACCATTCCAGGGATTCTGGACTATACATCCCGATGGGACGATGAGTTTTCTGAGTCAAGCAGAGTGTGGACGGAGTATGGGAGGAGTGGAAAGATAGAACCTGAAAAGGGGATTCCACGAATGAGTACTCTTCTTCAAAGAAGTAGATGGCTACTGTATGACAGGGGATTTAGGATTATTAGCATGTTTAAGAAATATTCAAGCAATCCCGAATGGTTTTGGTTTACAGATGCAAGGCATGATGGGAAGCTATGGAGTATGGAGGGATTCACAGCAGATGTTTTAAAAGTCCTTGGAGGGCTTGAAGGGATTGCAGACCACACGCTGTTTGGGGCGACGTATTTCAGAAGCTTCAGCAAGGTGTTTTGGGAGGACAGTGTTGCTGGAGGGTATAGACGTCTGACAAACGCCCAGAAGATGGGGTTGAGCCAAGTTCCCAACAGAAGATTCATCTTGTGGTGGTCACCAACTATCAACAGGGGAAATGTATATGTTGGATATCAGGTTCAATTGGACCAAACGGGAGTGTTTATGCACGGAAAGCTACCGACGTTGAAGATTTCGTTTGTTCAGATATTCCGAAACCATCTGTGGAAGAGAATCCATGAGAGTGTTGTTAAGGACTTGTGTGATATGTTTAAGAAGTACTGTGATACTAAGAGGCTGGAAGTACACGGGAAGAAAAGTTACAGGTTTGGAAGCAGCTGTGCAGACATCCTTCTGTCGGGGGATTTCTATGTTCAGTCTCCTATGTGTATTTCTGAAGAGACGGAGGGAGATGGAGAGAGATGTGATGGATTGTGGATTGATGTTCAGCTGAGATGGGGAGACTATGACAAAAGGAATTCCCGTAAATATGCAAGGGTAAGGTTTGCTGAGTGTGTTAGAGATCCTCAGACTCGATATCCGGTCCAGAATGGATTTATCATAGTTCTCGATCTTTGTTACAATACATGGAGTGCATATGGAAATCTGAATGGAGAGCTAAATACTGTGATAAGAGACTCGATGGAGAAGATCTTGATGGAGAATTCGATGCTTCATGTGCTTCGGGAGAGGCTTAGGAAGGCACTTCAGCTGTACACTTCCGATGTTGAGGTGGTTAATAACAGTGGGGAGATGTTTAACTCCGGGCTTCTGGTTGACGTCAAGGCATTGCTTAAGAAGGAAAAGATGCTGTTTATCTTTGATCCTGGAAGTGGAAATCTGTATTTCAAAAGTTACTCTGGAGAGAGCAAAAAGATCCGGCAGATAAGGTTTCTTGCAGCCCAAGATATATTTTTGATGGGTGAGGAGCTTAAGAAGAGAAGTGTTGTTGTCTCTGAAGACATGGTGGATGCAATGGAGAACTTTAGTATAGACCACCCATCTATATCGGTGAAAACATGTCTATCAATACCACCATTTTCTAATTTGGTGAAACTCAAAGGGTTCGAAAAAGAAAAATGTGTTCGAAGCATTAATCTATATGAGAAGTGGCGTGAAACAAGCAGGTTTACGAATTTCTGCAGGCTTCTCCTTGTGGTGCACGGAATGGATGTTGATGAAACAAGAGTCAAGGATCTTGGAATTAATGAGATATGGCCTGAGATAAGTGACTCTGAATGGATAAAAAAGGAGATTGAGCTGAAGGATCTCATAGTTGAAAGTTACTGTACTATTTATGGAATAGAGCCTTCTAGTTTGTCTCAGAATGAGATAAGAGACATAGTGTTTGGGTTTAAAGCGGGTTTGGGACGAGAGGAAGAGGGAAAGGTTATAGACACAGAGATAAAGAATAGTAAAATGGTGTTCAACAGGCCAGGACATGTGTCTTTTGGAGGTAGTGATGGATGGAGAAGCAGATATGTGAAACTGGACAGAATGAGCAAAAGTGGGGATCTTGAAAGATGGATTTTGGAGATGCTGGAGAAAGGAAACTGTAAAACAGAATTCTTAGACCAAGTTGATGAAAGAAAAATCCTGAAGATTCCTTTGAACCTCGTCAGGAAGTTCATGGAGATAATGGATCCCCACGTCTTAGTCTTTGGATTGGTGGTTGGGGGAGATCCGATCTCCTTTGGGCTTGTTCCTCAATTTTCGTCATTATCTGTGATTCACTCCTCGTTATTTACTCCTGAGTCCAATATTGTTGGAGTGGTAATGAATGGAAACAACCTCCAAACTGTAGATCTCCTGCATGAAAGGTACAAAATAATTGACGGACTAGCCATACTCATCGATGATAGGATAAAGGTGATGAAAAAAGAGGAATGTGGTTGGAAAGAGATGGAATTTGTGCTGACTGGAGACATGGGGGTTTTTCTTATTCCCGAGATGTGGAACTACAACTTTGCAAGACCATTCTACGATGACAGCTTGAAATACACATGGAGAATAGGGGCTCCTCAGGGATTCTATGATGGATCTTGCAGAGTTGGGCATTTTTCGAAGTTCTGGAAAGACCGGGATCGAGAGGAAGAGTGGGAAGAGAATTAAAAAGATGTTTTGATTTACTTTCTTCGATAAAATGTTTGGATGGATCCCCAGGAATGATCGACATCGGTCTAATTAGAGATGAAAAGAGCCGTGAAAAGGTGGTTGAGAGCGAGAAGAAGCGGTTTCGAGATGGAACAGGTGTTGAAAGGGCCTATGAATTGGACAGAAGAAAGATAGAAACCAACTTCCGGCTCGACCAAATCAATACTCGAGTTAACCAACTGGACAGAGAGATAAAGTCGGGATACAAGCAGGGAAAGAATAAAGAGGATGCAGATCTTGGAGAAAAAGTTAAAGAGATGAAAGACATTCAGGGGGAAGCAAAAAGACTCAAAGAAGATGTAAAGGTTATCGAAGATGAGCTTAGTAAGGTGATGAAAGGGATAGGAAACATTATTTCTCCCAAAGTTGTGGTCAGTAATGACGAAAAGGACAATGAGATTATAAGGTCCTATAGAAGTGGAAGAAGCATAAAGAAAGATCCAAAGCCTTTTTGTGTGCTAATGAAAGACTTCACTCATCCGGAAGCAGGGGCAAAGGTGGTAGGGCATCGAGGATACTATCTATCTGGAAAGATGGCCAGGCTAGCACAGGCTCTTTCGAGATATGCTATTGACTTTCTTGAGAACAAGGGCTATGTCTATATCCAAACACCGGTGATGCTCAAAAGAGACGTGATGGGAAAGACATCACAGCTAAGTGATTTTGACGATCAGCTCTACAAGGTTGAGGACGACCTGTATCTTGTTGCAACGTCTGAGCAGTCTCTCGCAGCACTGTACATGGACGAAAGAATTGTTCCTCAGGAGACTCCCAAAAAGTTCTGTGGGCAGTCTCTCTGCTTCAGAAAGGAAGCTGGAGCCCATGGAAAAGATAATGCAGGGCTATTCCGGGTCCATCAGTTTGAGAAGATTGAACAGTTTGTAATATGCAGCCCTGAGGAGTCTGAAAGACATCATGAAGAGATGATAAAAATATGTGAAGAGTTCTACCAGTCATTAGACATAAGTTATAATGTTGTAAGCATTGTATCTGGGGAGTTGAATGATGCAGCAGTCATGAAGTACGATCTTGAGGCGTATTTCCCGAATGCAGAGAAATACAGAGAGTTGGTTTCTTGCTCAAACTGCACGGATTACCAGTCGAGAGAGCTTGAGATCAGGTATGGAATTGCCAAGGAGAACAACCGCAAGGTTTACGTCCATTTACTGAATGGAACCATGTGTGCAATTCAACGGACACTATGCTGCATTGTGGAAAACTATCAAAATGAGAGAGGGATTAGCATCCCCGATGTTTTGCAAGGCTATTTTGGTGGAGACTCCATTGAGCTAGGCCTCTAAAATCCAAAGCTCAGTTTTGTGTTCTTCTGGAGCCAAAATTTTTCACCCCAATAAGACAAATGGCAACGGCATCGGAGAAGACCACAAGGAAGTTTACTGTTGACTGTACAAAGCCGGCATCCGACAGTCTCGTCTCTCCTTCGGACCTGGGGGCATTTCTTCAACAGAAGATCAAATGCCACATGGGAAAGAAGGAAAAGCTTCTCCAGATCGAGGTGAGCGGGAACATTGTTGAAGTGAATGTCACAGGAGGATTTATACCAAAGCGGGGAATAAAGTGGCAGATAGCAAGGTTTCTACATATGAAGAAGCTTAGGGCTTTCATCAAGATTTTTGCACAAGGGCCAGATGGATTTGAACTCAAGTATATTAATGTTGAGGAAGGTAAGGAAGAATAAAATATGGGTTTTTTCTAAACAGCCATTAATCCTGTTTCTAGATCTTTGTCCGATTAGTCTTAAACCCCTAATGGATGTTTTGTTTACAGAAGACTTCAGCACAGAGATATATCGAATCTTAAAAGAATACTCTGGAAGAAGCTTAGCACTGATGATCTCTGGAGGGTCTCTACTTCAATGCCTTGAGGACAAAAGATACCTGACTATGGACACCTCGGGGTGGAGAATATTCTATTCTGATGAGAGAGCAGACCAAAACCATTTGAACTACACTGGATCAATAGGATTTATAAGCAAGACCAACGCAGACGTGCATCGAATATGGACTTCAAGACCTTTGGATGAGGCAGCCAAGATGTATTCTGCAGAGCTCCCGGACATCGATGTATGTCTTCTCGGGATAGGCGGAGATGGGCACATTTGCTCTCTTCCCCCTGGATGCAAGGAGCTGGAGTCTGATGATTATGTAGTGGCTTTAGAAGGAGATTTTCCTATATCTCCAAGAAGAGTGACTGTCACACCCAAGTTTATCAATGAGAAGATTAGGGATTTGTACTTTGTAGTTCCTTCCAGTAGGAAGAAAGGAGTTTCAGCTCCCGACAGGAGCATAACCGAGAAGATCGAAAGAAGTTTTATGGTAATTCTGGAAAAGTAAGAAACATGAAACCACGGCCATGTACTTAAAAACCATTCTGTTTATCTATCCGGCCAAGTAGATATCTTTGAACAAACATCCATAGAATACAACTCCCACCAAAGAAACAATCTCTGCAACCAAATGTGATAAGTAAAAAAGTTTATGGTTTCTATAGATATAATAAAGGCCATAGGCATCAGTTGCCTGAGCCCGAAGTGTATCTCGATCACAGGTCCAAAGAATCAAAATATCAGCAAACGTCAGGAGAAGTAGTAAAGCCAAATGGAACCATAGAAAATAATCTCCAACCTTCTCAGAATCATCCTCTGTGCCGAAGACAGCAAGGATGACTAGCTTGATTGTCAACGGAAACACCAAAATCCATGTACATATAACACCACTCAAGAATGCGTAAAAGTTTATGTATCGGATATCCTTGTTGTAATCCATTCCCAGAATGTCTGGAAAATTGTGAACTTGGTACACCTTGGCATTAACAAAAGCATGTTCAAGAGCATCGATCACGCCCACCTCTACTACTTGGAAGATCCAAAAGATAATGACTACCAAAAACATTTTAGAATTCATAACTTCTCTTGGGAGGGAATAATAAAGAAGAAAGTGATCCGGATTATATTTTTAGTCTTTTTAATTAGCATTTGGAGGATTAAAGGGGTAGCCCAAATAGCATTACCGCCTTGATCCAACCAACGAACACAGCTTGCTTATTATATATCAAGACAGTTCCATGGATTTGGACGGTTGGAATGGGTAGGCGGTCTAATACAGTTTCAAATGGCCAGAAATGGACAAAAGCTTATATCTCAGTGCTGGGCCAAGCATAAGTACCGTGTTTGCACCAGAAGGGACCTGTGTCCTACCGGCATCGTGTATTTTGTGGTAGTAAACACCGTTCTTTTTGGCCAGTCTTATAATCTCCTCAATCTCCCCTCCAGAGGCCTTCAGAACTATCTTAGGCTCTTGGTTTCTCTTCCATTCAAGAAATAGTTCTTTGTTTCTAAACAGATGCTCCATCACAGAGGCCATCCCATGACAGATCTGGGAAATAACTTTACCCTTGGTCATATTATAATCCTTGTTGATTATAATGTTCATTCCATATTCTCCTTTCTCGACAGGCTTTTTGGTTCTAATCCTGGGTCTCTTCTCTAGAACTACGTAAAGAACCAGAAGAAAGAAGGCTATCTTCCAGAAGTTACTGGCTATTTCCACCGGGATCTCCATTGGAGGGTATTACTAAAATTCTCTATAGAAGTTTGGGGTGGCGGTTAGTGAAATTCAGCAAATGGGACTTTAGAATAAGGAGTTATTATTGAGAGAAAACTAAGTTAAAAGATCATATCTATACGAAAACTTCCCTGGCTTACTTTTGCAAAGGTTATCAGCACATCCTGTCTTCTCGGAGTTGCAGTCGTTTCCAGAGCATTTGCTGGAGTACCTAACAATTCCTTCCTTATTTCTTCCAGCTTGTATATTTTTCTCTACATACTCATCGAAATCCAGGCTCCAGTTCTCGAGCACGTTGTTTACTGCTGTCCCTGGCTCTGGAGATATTGCTCTACATGCTCTCAAAGCTAATAGGATCCAGTTTTTCATTTAGCCTTGGAGATATGTTTCTTTTATCTGTTTTCTGAGAACACGTTTAGAATTCTAGAGGAGAATTGGTTCGAGAAGGTTGAAACAGTAATAAACTCTGCTTGTGTTATTTCTTAAGGACAATGGATTGCGGAAGTTTTATACAAAGATGAGCAATTAGTATCGTTTATTTGATCTAAATTTGTTTTTTTTATACAGATCTCTATAGCCAAGACTGCCCATTGTTATGTATCCTTTTGGATCACATAGGCTTGGATACTTGCTGTAAAACTTCCTGTATCCCCCTTCCATGACATACACCTCAGGAATGGTCAGGAGAGGATATGGGTTCTTCATCCTGTCCATGTTCCGAAGATACTGAGCAAGTTTCGGGGCTCTTATGGATGAGAATTCGCAGTGGAAGATTAAAACCTTAGGCTTCCGAAAGAGGATCCCCAACTCCCTGGCGGAGCTTATGTTTACCGCGTTTCTTATGTGTCCTCCTTGATACTCGTATGGGAATCTGCAATCGATCACCAAGTAATCTATGTTATACATCCCTTCGACAACCTGTTTAGCAACATCAACGGAAATCCTCTGGATGCTGTCACTTTTTCCAGGTCCAAGAGTGGGAAGAGAAAAAACCTCACCATTGCTGAAGTCTTTCCAAAAATCTATGAGATGCCTTCCCGCAACGGGTGCAGGGGAGGCTCTGTTTTGATTCCGGACCCCATGCAGAGACGTCCACATGCCTTTCTCCTTGCACTTTCCTTCCTTCCCTGATGGTCTTAGGTGGGAGATTCCAATCGAATCAAAGACACTATTATCCACAAAAGGGTCGTTTCCCAAGTCCTCAAGCTCGATGTTGTCACTGGAAGACCAGAGTATTTCATAAAAAGGCTTGATATGCATTTTATCTACTGCTGTAGAGTATTGTTCGTTGTCGCTTGAAGTGAAGGCTGAGCTATTTGTCATACGATGCAGGTTCCTGAGGGTGTGTTTAGCAAAGGTTGAATATTAAAAAGTCATTTACAGAATTTAAATTAATGAAGCCAATCATAGCAAAAGGATTGCATTTTTGAATTACCTTTGATATGGCTTATGGTTCAGATGCTACCTCCGGGTTTCTGTGGATGTGGAGAAAGTTGCTGTTTGAACCTTAGCAGGCATCGGAGGCCGAAGTGCGAAGATGAAACAGAAAAAATATTTAGACCCTGAAGGGGAAAGAAATGATCGAGAGCTATCTTGAGAAGCTATTCAAATGTAATTTACTAACGGAGGCAGAGGTAAAGGACCTGTGTGAAAAGGCAACTGAAATGTTGATGAAGGAAGAAAATGTTGTTAGTGTCAAGGCACCGGTAACAATATGCGGAGATGTCCACGGGCAGTTCTACGATCTTATGGAATTGTTCAAGGTTGGAGGCCTTCCGCCATATACAAATTACTTATTTATGGGAGACTATGTAGATAGAGGATACCATTCGGTTGAAACAATCTCCATTTTGCTATGTTTAAAGGTGAAATATCCTGATAGGGTATGGCTACTTAGGGGAAACCATGAAAGTAGGCAAATAACTCAAGTGTATGGGTTCTATGATGAATGTGTCAGAAAGTATGGAACATCTCTTGTGTGGAGATACTTTACAGACCTCTTTGATTTCCTGCCTGTTGCAGCTGTTGTTGGGAACGACACGTTCTGCTGCCATGGGGGATTGAGTCCATCGTTTGACACACTGGACCAGTTGAAGGCTATCGATAGGAAGGTTGAGATTCCACACGAAGGCCCTATGTGTGATCTCCTCTGGTCCGACCCAGATGAAAAACTTGGATGGGGGCCTTCTCCTCGAGGTGCAGGATTTACATTTGGAAAGGATATAACAGATGCATTTAATGAGAGAAATGGATTGAAGATGATATGCAGGGCACATCAGCTTGTGATGAATGGATTCAATTGGAGCCATGAAAAGGGATGCGTCACCATATTTAGTGCCCCAAATTACTGCTATAGGTGTGGGAATTTAGCCACGCTCATGGAAATGGATGAATATGGAACATACAGCTTTACTCAGTTTGAGCCCTCACCTACAAAGATCGAAACCCTTGTCTCCACCAGAATCCCTGACTATTTCTTGTAGAAGACATCATGGCAGAGCCATATGCATTTATTAATGATAAAATTTTATTAGATCTTTGGTTTTTTACACTGCATATCTGATGTCTGTCAACATCTTTCAATTATTGACTTCACGGAAGCAACAAATGAGGGCCTTTCGATGGACATGATGAACTCTCCGATTTTTAACTTTCGATCGTCTCCTTCAACAACTATACTTCCTAAGCACACGTCAAGAATAGTGGTAGTATCTGATATTAGTAGTCTTCTTGTTGTCAAAACCAGCTGGCATCTTCCGTTAAAATCCCCAAATGTCCCATCCACAAACCTTTCTTCTTCATGAACTTTCCCGGCCATAGACATAAATATATAGAAGCCTTGGCTCAATCCCTCATCGTACCATCCAAGGAATCCTGCGGGCCTTGGATATTGGATCCTTTTGACTCTTCCATTCATGGACGTCTTTATGGTGTCAGAAATATTAGTTACAAGGTCGGCAACTTCTGCGATCGGTCCGGCAAAGGCACCAAGGACTCCTTTTCCCAATCCCTTCACAACACCAGCAACACCATTTGAGGCTCCTTCCACAGGAGAAGTTGCTATCCCCACCATTCCACGCGTTATCGAGTCAAAAAGATTTCCTGTTCCTTTGAGTATAGATGTCATTGGACCTTTTGAATGTCTAGCCCGGGGTATAAGAAGATGCATATCACGTGCATAGGAATGGCGGAATTTTTCGTGTTTAGGATCCGCACTGCATCCAATGAACTTAGCACTTGTTCCTATGCTTTTAGAGAATTTTCCAACTGTGTTAGAAACACCATAAATGGTGTTCTTCAAGAAACTCTTTCCTCCCTTGAAGATTCCACAAGCTACATTGGAGTTCAAGGAAGGCTCGGTAAGAAGATCCTTAATTCCTATGGATACAGACTCGGTGAAACTTCCTATGTTTCCCATAAAGTCCAAGTGCGTAAGAACCTTGTAGAGATTTTTCTGAAGCTGAGATAAGTAGAAAGAAGCCAGAAGATCTTCAAGCTCTTGGAAAGTCGTATACAAGCATGTTTCCTTCATCCCATCTATTTCCAAAGAGAAGTCACTTATGTTGTTGATAAATAATCCCACAACATTGGAAACAAAACCAGATTCTATATCCTTGAGGAAATTCACCTTTGCACCCATTCTCTCCATCTTTAGATTCTGGATTCTTAGGTTTTTTTCGTAGCTTTTTACCTCTCTCTCTTTTTTCCTAAGAAACATCTCCCTAATGCTCTTGGCCAGGTTTTCTTCAATGTTCAGTGCAAAGGCCTCTGTTTTGAAGTACAGATTTGATACGGAGACATTCTGTGCCGAACTCCCAAATGTAAAATCAAATACAAGAAGTTTCTTTCTATTTCTTCTTTCGGTTTCTATCCTCAAATACTTGTCAAGAGGATGGAAAACCACTGGAAATGCACAGAATAAGCTCTGATTATCCACCTGAATGCTTTCAGCTGTTCCTTGAATTACAAATTCCACATATTTTGGATGAGCCATCAACTCTGGAATTCCAGCTTCTCTTGAAATACATTCTGCTCCAATCTCCAGGCCTTCTATATGGCTGCATAAAACCTCATTCCCTTCCTTATTCACCAACGATATAGATAAGCTGTCAATTACTATTCCTAAACAAATCCTACACTCACTACTAGAGATCTCCCCTCTGGAAACCCGAACAACCCTTGTAGTACTTCCCTGGGATATGGACACTGTAATTCCATGAACAAGTAAGACCTGATCCTCGTTAAGGTTTACCTGAATTATTTGATCTTCAATGCACAATAGTATCTCTGGATCAAGCATCAGACTGTCTGGCGCATATCTATAAACAGATCCCTTTTCCACATAATGCTCAATAGTATCATATTTCTGGCTGAATCTCAGACCAACATCTATCCCATTGTGTATCGTATAAGGCCAATATTTTTCAGTTCTTATCCCAAATACATGCTGTCCAGAGTCCGTGACTTTGCTCACGCTGAACAAAATGGCATCGGAACCTTGAAGCTTAAAGTATTTCCTTATCTTAATGTCCAATGGAATAAACACTCCAGAAAGCCTTGGGGATCTAATATTCACTGAATCTGCAATGAACAGATAGAATCCATTTGTGGATGTATTGAGAGGTACCTCTTCATGGGGTTCCACATAGTAACATACATGCTCCGATACAGCCAGAAGTCTCATTTGGGATTGATTTCTAATCAGGTAGGTGTACTTGCACTCAATTATTCTTCTACCTTGATCCTCCCCAAACTCTAGTAGAAGACGGATGCAACTTGGTTGTATTCCCGTTTTAGGCCCAAATCCTCCAAATATGGCTTCATTGGACCATTCCTGGCCTTCATGAGATTTCCAGGTCTTGTGGCCTTTAAAACCCCTTTTCTTCAGAATAAAGGCTTTGGTAAACTTCTTTCCGACCTCCACGGATTCCTCAATACTATATTCCCCAACAGCCAAGCTGTGTATATCCTTCAGCCGGTTGGAGCATGAAGGTCCTGGCCCAAACCGGGCTCCATTTATCCAGATATCATTTCCAAGGTGGTTTATAATCACCATAGGGGAATATATTACCATTCTGATCCGATGTGCAAGAGTATGCCTTCCGAAAAAAGATATTATCTCAGCCTGCTCCTTTCTTATTTCTCCAGAGTAATGGGAGTTGATTTCGATGGATGCCTTATTTTCAAACGCCCTGGCAGTAGCTCGACTTCCAAGACTCTGCACATAGAGAAGAGGAAGCTCAGAAAAGCTAATCCCATATATGTCTTCTTTACAATCTCTATCGACCGAAAGCGGAATGTTCTTTTTTTGAGTTTCACTTTCCCCACCAGGAGTATTGTCTTTTCCAACAGAGAGGATTAAGTTCAATACGGATGCTGTTCTATTCATCACTTCAAAAATTGGATAGAGAATTATCACAACACAAGAAACAGACCCTGCATTTCTAACAACCGTGTCGATCCCTATTTCTACTAAGCCCAGCTTGCATATCATTCCAAAGGTGGAGGTTGCATCCTTCGGAGCCGAACTGACATTTATCTTTCCGGCAGAAACATACTTTCCATGCATGCCTATCTCCAGAAAGAAGTCTTTCTCTTGTGGAATTGTATGGTGGAACTCAGGGAGCATATGCAGCTCCAAAGCAGACCCATCAAGGTAGTCCATCTTCCCCATCAACTCAATATCACAGAGATTAAGGAACGACAAGACATGTGTAATTGTTATGCCCCTTAGTTTTCCATCGTATGTCACTTCTATAACAAAACTCTTCCCTTCAGAAACAAAGGAGGTAGAACAGCTGTTGACAATATAAACCAAGGCACATGCTTCATCCTTTCCAATTTGAATTCTATGCTCGTCATAGTCTACATCAAACTCGTGGAATTGTCCTTTCCCGACTCTCCCAGCATATCTTTTAGTCTTGACCCATAGCACTGTGTCCGTGATGTTTCTTATGCTAACTTTGTTACGGAAAGGCTTCCCAAACATCGTTATTCCTGTTTCTTCCGATGCAAAGAGACTCCAGATTGTGCTTGTGATTTCGTCCAAATACAGAATCCTTAATTTTGTAAGCGTTCTTACATCCAAGAAGGTTCCGTATTTCCTTGCTAGAAGCACATTTTCTTCAATAAAGGGAATAAATTCCATAGAATTTGAATCATAGACGTCTAGTGAGCAAAGAGCCCTTCCTTTAAAGGAGTTTAGATCTTCCATATCGAAATATACAATAGGAAGATTGATCCGAAGGGCAAACAGAGCATCGCCTAGTAACACCTTAAGGTCCATACACAACACATGGAGCCGAGCCCTGGAAACCTGAATTCCAAACTTCGAGTATATCTGCATATATTCAGATGAACAGAAGGAAACAAGAGCAGCCAAAGAACTCAACTCGTAACTTCCTCCGATCACAGAAAGAAGATAGCTCTCCGATCCATTCACTCTTTTGTATGCTACCTTACTCCCGGGCTCATCTAAAACAGAAAACTGTAGAAGTAGTTCATCTCTATATCTGACATTCCTCATTCTTATGCCATCTATGCTTTTGGTCTTCGCAAATATCTCTTCTATATCCACTTCTACCTTTTTCACAAAGTCCGTGTCCCCAGTCCCGTGAACAAGAGGATAAAGTATTGAAGCAAGCCTGAAAGGTTCAATGTGGATTTCCATCTTGCTTACCGATAGTCTTAATACCCCATCTGCTCCCTTGGCGTGGACTTCAAATAGATTTGTGTTTTGTCCGTCTCCCGATGCAATCTCTATCTGTTGCAAAGTGATTTCGTATTCATCCGCTTTTTGCCAAAGAGTCAAAGGACATGCTATTTTCAGTGGATTTCCAGATATCACCATACTAAGAGATATATCAAGTAAGACAACCGTCTCTAAGGATCCCCCCGATGGGATTGGAATCTCTTTTATCCCATCCTTTATTTTGATAAGGGTTTCCTCATTTATCTCTCCTTTGATACTTCCCTCAATAGTTGCTTTAGTATCTGATATCTCAATTTTGCTAATACACATCTCCACTTCTCTTTTCCTACTGTCTGCTGAGGTTGAGGAATCACCTGTGTTGAAGACCTTAACTTCAAAAGGATAGATAATCATACCTCCCTCGTCTCGGAAAATCCGAAGACTCTCTATTTCTATCTCCCCTCCATTAAGCAGCTTAATCACCAGACCTCCAGCAGAGGCTTTGAAGGCACTCGACCTACTTCCTATTTTCTTGAATATCCTTCCAAATCCATCCAAGTTCTTGAGATCCTCCTTTCTTATTGTTAGCACTGCAGACTTCCATCCAAATTCTTCTCCGGCTTCAAAGTTCTCGATATTTATAATACTCTCATTCAAAACAGCTCGGACACTTTTCGCAAGGCCTTGGAAATACTCATCTACAATAATTCTTAAGATAGATCCTTTGCACCTTATGTCCCCTTCTATTCTTTTAATTCTTGCAATAACTTTCGTAGACACTTCTCCATTTGCCATCCACGTCATTCCCCGTGCCAATCTTGCAATCCTTCTAGCTCTCCCGCATATCTTTAGATACACAACATCCAAAAGAAGAGCCCTTCCAATTCTGGCCTCGATCTTCATCCTGGGAATCCGGCACATTGTCTTTCCATTGGAGTCCAATACTTTTCCTTTAAAAATCTCCATATCAAATATACTTCCTCCATTTCCCGACATCTTGATCCGTTGGAGTTCTGCTCTTCCGTCAGGCCCATTGATCCTTATTGCATCAGAACATACCTCGAAGTTTGGGACAACAAAACCAACAGGAAACACTACTCCGTTTCCTCTAAAGTCATTAGGATATACTCCATGTGCATAGAGATCCACCATCGACGTCTTCACATAAAACACATTGTCAACAAGCAGAACCGTTGTCTCAATCTTGTTTGAAAGAGCCTCTCTTTCTTTGGACACAGAATTAACCCGGTAAACAAAGGAAGACGATATCGTTAGTGATGCAGCCCTCTTTGTATTGATCTCATCGTTTACATATGAAAGAACCATCCCTGCACATTCGATCCCATACCTACTAGACGGCTCGATCTTAACAAATCTCTCCAGATCAGACTCCATAGAAACTATATCTACCTTAAAATCTGCTCGGGTTTTCCCTCTAGGAGCCGCCAATCCATAGGAAGGAACATAAGACCTTTTCACTAACCTCATAAAGCCTTCGAAGCAGTGAGGAAGCTCTCTTCTATACCCAAGCACCTTCCATTCCTTAGCTATTCCCTTTACATACAGCCCGGCCCCATCCTGGATAAGCGTGCCTCTTACATCTAATAGAAGAGAAATCAACTCGCTATGAGGATCACGTTCGTTGAGTCTAGCATCAATAAAATACAGCCTCCATTTGTCTCCCTTAAAATCCAGCCTGGACGGAGAAAGTAGATCTTTAACTCCTACTCTTGTCTTGGGAACGACTATTTTGAATCCTTGGTGCTTTTCGTCAATAATCACAACCGTAGCTTCCCCTACACTAAATGTTGCTGGAATGATCATTGATGTTCTTTTATTGTTCGCTTCTTCTTTCATAAACGACAGGATGTTCTTCCACGACTTCTTTTCCGAGACCTCGCTCAAACTTCTCTTTACTTTCAATAACCGTTCCAAGCAAATCTCCCTTTCACATCTCTTCTTTCTTTCTACTTCCTTGAAGGATAGGCCCGAACGGCCTAAGATTTCCCTGTATTCCTTTATCTTTGATATTATCCCAGGTATCTCCTCCAGAACAACGCCTTTGGACTCCATAGCTTTTTTCTGCAGTCTTATCAATCTCTTCCATATCTCCATTGCAACACTTCTGTCCGAGCTTGCCGGATCTTCCTGGTCCTTCCATAGGTTCATCTCTCTAGCCGTCCTTAGTATCTCTCTGTATTCTAGATAGCTTCTGAACAATGTCCATCGTACCCTGTCCTCGGCATATTCTCTGGCCCCCCTAAGAATCTCCTCAGCAATCTGCTGCTTCACCTCCACGTGAAAGTCATTAAGAGATACTTCAATTCTTGGGTTTATATCTTTAGGTAACATCTTTATCTTGCTGTAGATGTCGAATGGGCCTAGAACCTTCGATGCCCCAACCACTTCTATCCCCACAGCATCGAAGATCTTCATGTTCTTCACTTCTCCTTTGGTTTTCTTATTGAACTCCACTTTCTGCACCCGAAGAGCAATTGATGCTCCACTTACATATTCTACATTTACATTCTCAATCAAGACCCTGAATCCATCTCCAGCAATCAGATCCTTAAAAAGCGTAGAGTTGTCCTCTCGAGCATCAGACAGAACACTAAGCTTGTCAAGCTTGGTCATAAACTCATATTTCTCGTACTCAACACACTCTGTACACAGCTTCTCATCAAGAAAGCACCAGCAGAACCCAGCCTTCCCAAGCTTGATGTCAACATCCTTTACATATATTTCAATAGGTTTTCTAGAAAAGCTCTTCCAAGGCACAAGAACTCGCAGTGTCCCTATCGAGTTCGACACAACCCTTCCCTCAAACAGCCTCGAAATGACAGAAGATTTGATTCTCAGGTTGGATACAGACACATATCCCTTGAATATTCCAAGCTCAAACTGATGTTTGTCTATGTTCTCTACATAGTTCCCAAGAAACTTGTTTAGTGCCCTCAGAAGGATCTTCTTGAGCATCGGGGATCCAAACAAACTCCCCATTTATCCTTAGGAATGATAGATGATGGAGTGTTTTGGATATGGTTTTAGATATTCTGCTCTTATAAGTCCTATATGTTTATTTGGAATGCCTGGCATCACAAAGAGTGAAAACTTCGACTATCTCTTCAAGATAGTCTTGATAGGAGATTCGGCTGTCGGAAAGACAAACCTTCTTTCGAAGTTGACAAGAAACGAGTTCCATAAGGATTCAAAGGCAACAATCGGCGTCGAGTTTGGTACAATCACCTTCAAGATAGGCGAGGACATTGTCAAGGCCCAGATATGGGACACAGCTGGGCAAGAGAGATACCAGGCCATTGTTCAGGCATATTATAGGGGAACATCTGGTGCTGCCATCGTCTACGACATTACAAACAAAGACAGTCTAAAGAAGGCCACTAGTCTGTGGTTGAAGCAGCTTCGAGACTTCTCACCGAGCGAGATTCCAATTGTGCTCATTGGAAACAAAAAGGATCTAGAGGACGACAGAGATGTGGACACACAGAAGGGAAAGGATGAAGCAGTTACAAACGAGTTGTCGTTTTTTGAGACTTCGGCACTGACTGGAGAAAATGTCCGAGAAGCATTTCTTGAACTTGTTAAGACGATTCACAAGAAGGTAAAGACCCAGAAAGCCTCAATAGGAAAGAGGAAACTTAAAAGCGTTGAGTTCAGTAAGGAAAACCTGAAAGAGGTCAAACCACAGCCCAAGAAGGGATGCTGCTCATAATCTTCTTCGATAACCAGGAGTATGAAATTGCAGAAAGCGGAATGGCAATGTTGTCATTGATGGGAATAAGATATTCCACTATGCCTGCAACTATGAAGAACAGTACCATGTCGACTTTTCTGTAAAGAGCAAAATAAATTGCTATTCCGGATACTACTCCTCCTATTGCACCCTGTATGGATTTCTCTGTCTTCCCAAACCATTCTCCAACAACTGAGGCCATTGAGTCTTGAAAGCATATAGAAATCAGTGCCGAAACATATTCTTTATGTCTCATGAACATCCTTGGGTATGTGCAAGCCAGCAAAAGATAGACATGCGATAATACACTGTGTTCCCTATCGTGTCTGCTGAGGTAAGGTGTAAGGAGAGAATTGACATGTCTACACGGCGACAACAGACCCAAAATCAGAAAGAAGCCTTCGCTAAGTAGAAATGAGAGGCGATGTCCTTTGTAGAACACAAGAAACGCAAAGACATGGAAGGTTTTTCTCTTCAGGTTGGTGGAAGATGATCTGAACAGAAAGGCTTGGACTACAAAGCAAGCCAGAGAAATACTCATGATCTCTGCAAAAGCACCAGGCTCTCTCTTTATCTCGCCTAAGGTCTCTGAAATGTATCTAGGCAAATCAACAATTCCTAGACATTCCAATCCTCTTGTAAGGAGTGGTTTGGAGGAGTCGCAAGCAATCAAATGTCTTGCTCCTATGAGAGGAGATCTGCTCTGCATCTCTCGCTCCATACATTTGAGCATTACTATGACTATGAATCTTTCCAAGACTCCATCCATCCTTTTTTGTGTTCCTAGCTGGATGGCTCCTACTGCAAGATCAATAATGTCTAAAAGGATGATCCATGGCGAAACGCTTTCCATAATCTTCAAGGGAGGTTAGAGATGAAACAGCTATAAACAAAAGACTGTTTGGAGGTAAGCTTCTTTATAATGCTTTTGTATCTTCTACAAACCTCTTTATATGACATGGACTATAGGATTTGGAATACTTCCCATCCTTCCGGAGATGGAGCGGAAAACAGTCCCAAGGTAAATACAGCCTTATTTCAAGAACACACCCTAAACTTCCTGGAGAGGATTTATCTCTTAGAATTCATTTGGATGGCTTCAAATGCATACAGTAGCCATGATCTAGACACGGTGCAAGCCAGGTTTGGATACGATGGAGACGGGTTAAGAGCAAAGGTCTTTAGACATGATGAGAAGATAGTTATTGCGTTCAAAGGAACAACACTTTCTGTGATGGGGATGGGAATAGGAAAAACATCCAAGAAAGACAAGTTTTTGGACAAGATCTTGTACTCTATATGCAAAAGCAGAAGATGCGAAGAAGAAAAGAGAATGGAGTTTGGTAGAATAGGCTATTTTGATGACGCCTTGAAGATAATTGACTCTGTGAAAGAAGCATATCCGGAAAGCAGATTGGTTCTCACTGGACACTCGCTTGGAGGAACAATTGCATCCCTGGCAGGAATTCGATATGGTCTCCCTGTAATGGCCTTCTCTTCTCCCGGGGATGCATACATGGCAAATATCCTTGGACTCTATACCATAGGAAGAGCCTACGACAATATTGTGCACATTGGAATGTGCAACGACGTTGTGTTCAAGGGAGAGTGCAACAAGCCATATAGTCCATGTAGTATTCTTGGATATAGTATTGAAACAAAATGCCACATAGGAAGATCCTTATGCATAAAGGATGGAGGAAAAGACAGCCTAGCTTACCATCCAATAGATGTTATGAAAGAAAAGATTATGATGCCAGAAGAAATAGTTTTAATAGAAGGCAGCCAAAACACAGACTGTATTTACTAGTTTCCATGCCTTCTGAGAATCTACAGTTCAGTCTCCATCCCTAGTTCCTCATGAATATCTCGAGCAGTGGTCTGTCTTAGGCTGGCTATTCTACCAATGAGTTCCTGTCCTATGTCTTTGATTTCATTATATCTGTTCAGAAGAAATATGAATCTTTTGATCTCTTTATCTATGTCCTTTATATCTAAGTGGTCTGCTAACTCATCGTTGGCCTTCTTCCATAGTTCGGTCTCAACCGCCTTGATATCCTTGGAGAGATAATAGAATCCGTCTTTAACCTCGCTGATGAAGTCTTTTTTTTCTAGGAAGTCGAAATTTACTATTTTGCTTTTATGGATTATCTCTTCTTTCTCCCAATCGTTCAATAGCTTCATCGGGAAGCCCTTGGACACAAGGATTTATAAGGACGTGTTGTTCTTGAATTCTATGGTGCAGATACTTTTAAAGGATAACGTAGCTTTATTAGATGCTTTCAAGAAGCTTGAACGAACCAGGCGTAGCTTTCTTGGTATATCCCAAGACCACCGACGACTTTGTCTTGGAAAGAGGCCTGGTTTCTCCACAGATAACAGTGTCTCCCACATTAATCATTCCTTCAAAGCAAGGAGACATGTGAACAGAGAAGTTGGTGTGTCTTCTTGAATATCTCTTATACTTCTTGCTGTAATGAACATAGTTGACAACAACAACAATGGTTTTCTCAGCCTTCATCTTCTTAACAATTCCCTTGAAAGTCCTTCCTCGGACATTGATATCACCTGTAAACGGACACTTCTTATCGATGTACTGCCGTGTGTAAGCAGTTTCCGGAGCCTTGAACCCACAGACCTCTGCCCTGACTCTCCTCTCTGGCTGCTCCCCATCTGCTGCGTATGGCTTGAGATACACGCCTGTCTGTCTTGGAAAGACCTTCAGCTTCTTTACTTCCTCCATTCAGGGTGAAAATTTTGGAAAATATTTGTCAAAGCCTCTTGAACAATGCAGATGGTTGATCTGGATGTTTACATCTGTCTGGCATGGCCGACAGGTTTCATCTGTTCTTCGAGCCAAATGGCTTTCTGCTACCTATTCGAAACTATATATAAACCATTAAGATTTCAAACCCAAGAAAACAATATGGGAAAGAAGGGAGGCTTTTCAAGAGGACTTCTTTTAAAAGACTACAAGAGAATCCAAGAAAACCCCAACGAGTATTACAGTGTCGGCCTTGTCGATGGAGACATATACACGTGGGAAATTCTAATCTTCGGGCCTAGGATGACGCCATACGAAAATGGGATCTTCAAAGGACGGATGCTCTTCCCCCTCGACTATCCGGATTCACCGCCGAGTTTTCGTTTCTGTTCGAAGATGTGGCATCCAAATATAGATGAAAACGGAAATGTTTGCATATCTATATTGCACAATCCCGGGGAGGATGAGTATGGATACGAATCTCTGGGAGATAGATGGCTTCCGGTAAGAACACCTGAAAGCGTGATACTCAGCATAATAACGCTTCTTACATCTCCTAACTGCGAAAGCCCAGCAAACGTGGATGCAGCACAGCATCTGAGGGAAAACGAAAAGGAGTACAAGAAGAAGGTAATGGAGCTGGCAGCTATAACCCTGGATCTTTATGATAAAGAAAGTTCAAACTGAAAAAGACAATAAATGTTTCTATTTGATAAGATTTCCTTTCCGTTTTCGGTGGTATGGCAGAAAAGAAGAAGCCCTTCATAAATGGATTTTAGGAATGAAGTGAGATCAGTACTTTGTCTGAAGGCACTGGGAACAAGTGAAGAAGAAGTTCCGAATTGCATCCAAAAAATCAAGGAATCCATCAGAAAAATTCCTCGCATTCCATCGGTAATCCGAACTAGAAAGAAGTATGACACGTTCAAGATTCTAACTGAAACCGACCACGACCTCCTAGTCCTAATCAACGAAGACTTTTTGAGCCAGGAAGATGTCCTAATCCATATAGAACTGGAGTTGTGCTATGAATATTTTACTTACAGCGAGGCTCTTCAAAGAATATTGCCGAAAGAAGTTCAAACACCTTCATCCTTTGAAATTGTCGGATCCATAATTCACTTGAATCTAGATGAGGAGCAGATGAAATATAAGAATGTAATTGGACAAGTTGTTCACGATAAAACAGGTAGAACAGTGATAACAAAGATTGGTCAAATATCGAATGAGTATCGATCCTTTGATCTGGAGGTTATAGGAGGAGATCCTGTGCTGGAGACTATTCACAGGGAAGGAGACATTCTCTTTTGCATAGACTATAGAAATGTCTATTGGTGTTCCAAGCTCCAAAGCGAAAGAATGATTCTTGTGAAGAAGTTCCAGGTTGGGGATGTGGTGTGCGATCCCTTCTGTGGAGTGGGGCCTGTTTCGTTGGCAGCACTTAAGAAGGGCTGCAGAGTATACTCAAACGACTTGAACTCTCACGCCATTGAATGCTTAAGGAAATCCATTAAGATCAATAAGCTCGATCCAAAAAAGATTGAAATCTTCAATCTCCCTGCAGCCGAATTCCTCGAGAAAATGGCAGGAAGAGAAGTAGACCATTTCTTCTTGAATCTACCCGAGTATAGCTTGGACTATCTTCAAAAAATTAGTGCCTGGGGGAATAAGTCGTTGGTTCACTGCTATTTCTTCTGCAAAAGCAATGAAGACGTCATTCAATACATCTTCTCAAGAGTGGGTCTTCGGGCAGATCCAGCCATGATAAAGATAGTGAGGAAGGTATCCCCATCCAAGTACATGTACAAGCTCGAGGCACGGTGTCTCTCTCTTCAAAGAGGATTTGAGCAATCCCACTAGTCCAGAACCGTAGCAATCGAAAAATTCCCATTCTGGACTCCCATTTATACAGAGGGTTTTAGGATTTACCAATGGAGACAGACAGCCCCTTTGAAAAAAATAAAAAGAAAAATAGAAAAAAGGATGTGAATGGATGTGAGGGATGGCGAGCCGGATTTTATAAATTCCCAAGCTCAGGAAAGAACCAACGCATTGAAGTTTCTGAAGGCATTAATCATTGTAGAAGGGTTTCTAAAGGTCCTCAAGATCGTTACCAGCTTCATTATACTCTTTCTTACGAGAAACGAAAAGTGTGAAGTTCCCTTAAAACTTTTTCTGCTTGTATACATGGTAATAACAATAGCCAAGTTCGGGATATTCATGTCGAAAAACCTCCCATTCTTTAGAATCAGTAGAATACCAGAGTACAGGGAGAACACAGACATAACCCTGTTTTCCAACTTCATAGAAGCTCTTCTTTTGTTCTGGTACCTCATCGGGTTCAACTGGATTCAAGAATGCGAAAATTGTAATGTTGCAAATCCATTGCTGTACTATACGACGGTTGTGTTTGTAGGACTTGGATTTGTGGCCTTCATTGCCCCTCTCCTGGCCATTGTTTTGCTTCTGTTCCTCATAACATTTGTGAAGCCAAAGCTCCAGGAGGTTATGTATAAGGACCAAAATGATGTTTCCGATGACACATACCATTGTGCAATATGCTTTGATAACTACATTCCGGGAATCAAGCTGAAGCTCCTCCCGTGTGGCCATCATTTCCATCAAGAGTGCATAGACGAATGGCTAGATTTGAAGGATACCTGCCCTCTTTGCAAAAGAAACATCAATCTGTTGTACGACTTGATTGATCCTCCCGAGTACGATGTTTGATTAGTGCTATCTCTGAACTAATTGTTGTATTTTCTCACAAAAGGAATGGAGAAGTTCGCCAGTGCAATATTGTTAAATAAATCTTTAGAGAACAATCAAAAAACAGTATAGAGGCCTTTATTTACTGATAGGTTCTGTATTTTCCATAAGATACCTGTATCCAGGTCTTCCTTTCATGAGGGGTTTCAAGATGAGTCTTATCTCTTCGGAGATTCTGTTCAAATGATCTACCTCTTCCTGGGACATCATGGCGGTATCTACAAGCTTGAGGTGATATGGGACAAAGGTCAAGTTTTGGATCTTGTAGAACTTCTGATTGATTTCTTTCAGATATACAAGATTTTCAATTCTTATCCCATATTCTCCCTCCTTGTAAAACCCCGGCTCAATCGAAAACACCTGCCCAGGTTTTAGAGTCTGTTCACCTCCAAAGGAGATGGTTGGGGGATGTTCGTGAACACACAGAAAGTGCCCCACTCCGTGCCCTGTAGCATGCCCGTAGTCAAGCATCTCGCTCCACAAGTCTATTCTTGACATTGAATCCAGCACAGATGCATTCATAGAGAGCGGAAATTTCATCCTCATTGATCTTAGTTGTCCTTTGAGAACACGGGTGTAGCTCTTTCTTTCCTCGTCTTTTGGATTTCCAAAATGCAAGGTCCGTGTGGTGTCTGTGGTTCCAAACATGTATTGAGACCCGCTATCAATAAGGATAACTTCATCTCGAGATACAGGCCTATCACTTGCCTTGTGGTGAACAATTGCTCCATTTGGCCCTCCTCCAACTATTGATTCAAAGCTGGGCTGGACATATCCAGAAAACCTTTTCTTGATCTCTTCCAGCTTCTCTTTGATATTCTTTTCAGATATCCCCTTATCAAGACTTAGATCTATCCACTCAAATAGCTCTACAAGTGCCATTCCATCAAACATATAAGACAAACGGAATCCTTCGATTTCTACCTCTCTCTTCTGCGACTGGAGAAGCCTCACCTTGTCGCAATACTGCACGTTCTTGAACAGATCCTTTATATATGCATTACACTCCCCGGAAATAATAATATCACCCTCGAGCTCTGCTGCATGTTTGGAGAAGTCGTCGTAAGGATAAACTTCCACTCCATCCATCTTTATATTCCCTTCATTGGTAAATAGCTTTGCTGAATCCTTGGATAAAAGGGCGTAAGAGTAAAAAACAGGGTTGTAGGAAACATCCGATCCTCTGAGATTAAACATCCAGGCTATTGTGTCAAGCTCCGTAAAGACCATTGTTTGGCCTACCTCAAGAAATGATCTTATCTCTTCTATCTTTTCCTTATATGTTCTTCCAACAACGCTAACATCCCTATCAAGGACTTTCCCTTCTAATATATTCTTGTCCTCAGGATCTTGGCACAATTCCATAAGCTCCTCTTTGTACTTCGAAATCCTCTCTTCTTCAATACTATACACCTTATTAAATGTCCTTTTCGGCTTGTCTTTCCACAAGATATCCACAAGATCCTCATCAATAGGCTTCAAAGATATTCCTTTGGACTCCAACCTCTTCTTTAGATCCTCGTATCTCTTAGATCTCATGAACTTCTTGCATATTCCAATCTGTTTACATTTGCATGCTTCCAAATACTCTTCAATTCTCTCGTCTTCTTCCATCTTCTTAAGCTTGTACTTCTTCGACTCGTTTGCTGCTTGAATGTAATACCTCGAATCCGTATACAAAGCAGGATAGGCACATGTTACAGCCATTCCGTTCGATCCAGAAAACCCCGTCAGGAACCTAACCCTTTGATCTCCCTCTCCTATATACTCATTTAGGTGTTCGTCCGAAGTAAGTGTAAGATATCCATCCACCCCATACATCTCCATTAGGTTTAGCATTCCATCCAGGATTTCTCCAGAGTCCGAGCAAGAGACTCCATCCCCAGAATCAAGTCTTATTTTTTTAGCTCCACCCAACGCCATAAGAATGTTTAGAACTTTTGTAAGGGCCAACCCTCTTCGCATTATTTCCATCCCTAAATCTGGCAAAATATTTATTCAGGCTTCATAGTGGGAAAGAAAATAACATCCCGGATATTAGCTGCATTCGTCAGATACATCACAAATCTGTCAATCCCCAGGCCCCATCCGGCAGTGGGCGGAAGCCCATACTCAAGAGCCGTGCAAAAGTCTTCGTCGTTCATCATGGCCTCGTCATCTCCAGCATTTATGTCCTGTGCCTGCTGAAGGAATCTCTCCCTCTGTTCAAAAGGGTTGTTTAGCTCCGTATAGGCATTGCACACTTCCTTACAGTTGATAAAAAGTTCGAATCTTTCAGTCAAGCCAGGCTTTGATCGATGGTTCTTAGCCAAGGGAGACATTGCTATTGGATAATCTTTTATAAAGGTCGGATTAACACACTGAGGCTCAATCACATGTCCAATAAGCTTGTCAAGCACTCTTGTAAGTGTACGAGGTTTCTCAACATGGATTCCTTCTTTTTCACAAACCCCAAGAAGTTTTTCCAAGGTCTCCTCGTTATCAAGAGTCTCTCCACTAAGATCTAACCCAAGACGAGTGTTAAGCTCCTCGATTATGCTAATCACTCGGAAGGGCCTCTTGAATGATAGAGACACCGGCTTGATCTCCTCTCCTCTCTTCCTTGGATTGTAAACTATCGTGTCTGTTCCAAACATCTCCTGAACTATTCCGCTCATAAGCTCTTCAGTCATCTTCATAAGATCATTGTAGTCCCCATAGGCCATGTAGAATTCACAGGATGTAAACTCGGGATTGTGGGTAAGATCAATTCCTTCATTTCTAAACTGCTTTCCTATCTCATACACTCTGTCAAGGCCCCCGACAACAAGCTTCTTCAGGTACAGCTCGGGAGATACTCTCATGTAAAGATTCAAGTTAAGCTCATTGTGATGAGTTATAAAAGGCTTTGCTGCTGCTCCTCCAGGAATCAGATTCATCATAGGCGTCTCAACTTCTAGAAACCCCCGCGAGTCCAAGAAGCTCCTAATATACCTGATGATCTGTGTTCTCTTTTCAAACCTTTCCTTCGACTCCCGGTTGATGAGAAGATCCATGTATCTCCTCCTGTATATCGTCTCAGGATCCTTCAATCCAAAGTGCTCCGTCGGAATGGTCCTAAGGCATGGAGTAAGGACCTTCACATCAGTGGCGAACACAGAGGGTTCTAGAGTCCTTGTTCTTCCAACGTTCCCTATAAACCCAACAATGTCTCCCCTCTTCAGAAACTTGATTATCTGCTCACTTCCCTCTTTCTTGGCATCTACAACGAGTTGGATACTCTCTCCACAAGAAGAAATTATGAAAAAGCAGAATCGGGAGTGGAGCCTGATACTCATTATCCTTCCTGCAGATTGAACCACGTCTTCTGCAACAAACTGCTCCTTTACCTCTCCTATCTTTCTAAGGATCTCCCCAAAGCTGTGAGTCACCTCAAACTTGTGGGGATACATGTTTTTTCCTTGGCTCATCTCCCCTTTCACCATACTTGATCTTTGGACATAGAAGTCCTCTTCAGAAAGTTCAACTTCGTTATTGTTTTTAACCATTGTGGGTCTTTTTTTCCAGGAATTTAACCCACAGGCAATGGATGCAAAAATAAACAGAAACAGTAAAAAAATAGTGAAGCTGCTGCCGAAAATTGGATACAGAATCCCCTACCAAATTATTGTGGAGTGTAACTTCGTTTCAGCACTGAACAGATACTTCTTAGGCCTAAGACACATAAACGACTTGTTTAAGTCCCAGCCAAAGCTTTTCATAACTAAGTGTGTCTACAAGAAGCTTAAAGAGATTGGAAAGGACCACAAGAGAGGAATTTCAAAGTATTTAGAGATATTACATTGTAATCACAAAGAGGTGAGAGATCCACTGAGCTGTTTGAGAAGAGTTATGAGGAAGTCGAACAAAAACCATTACATACTAGCAAGCAACTGTCCGGAAATTACAGATCTCATTGGCGTGGAGCGAAAAATCCCTGCTGTCACTTGCAAAGGAGGAAGGCTATGCATAAGTGCGGATCTTCAAAAGGTTCCCATGTATAGCGAGTTTAGAACAGAGGCTGATGAGAACGAGCTCAACCGTCTCGAAGCCTTGTTTTCCGGGGAATCATGAGGTCCTAGAAAAGAAAGTACATCTGCCATGGAACATAAAAATATTAAATTCAATTTATTTTGGAAATACTGCATAGGACCTTCTACCCCACTTCCTTCCTGCCTCCAAGCTTTTTGCACATCTCTATGCTTTCGACAGACAGCTTGAACCTTGACAACAACGAGTTGAGTGATTTGGAAAGATCTTTTATCTTGGCTGCAGAAACATTCACAACTAAGTACCCATCTTCATGAGAATATGTTTCCTCCGGCATGTCGCAATCGCTATCCTCGCATCGTATAGCTGTTGCAACAATCTCAGGGCTCTCGCATGGCAGTCTCAAAGAAGCCTTGAACTCCATGGGTAGATAAACAAATTTTAATGGAATGCTTTTTGATTTGTGAAGATTCGATCTTAAGCCCATGGGATCTCTGAACAAGCACGTCAGCTTAATGCTTCATGTTGTAGGGATATATGCATTCTTCCTTGTGTTTGGAATCTATGGAGAAAAGCTAACAACTACAACATACCATGGCCGGAGGTACGAATCGGTCCTGTTTCCATTGGTACTGCAGAGTCTAGGAGGGATTGTGATAGGAAGAGTGATGATGAGTTGCAAAGGAGTTGAAGGAGGACTTGGGAGAGCTATACTATTCCATTATGCTTATCTAGCGTCTCTAAGTCTAATATCTGCCCAACTAGGGTTTCTCTCACTTAGGTACATTAGCTATCCGACATTGATAATAGCAAAGTCCTGCAAGCTTCTCCCCATTGCCCTGATGAACTTTCTCATATACAGAAGAACACTAACCCGTAGGAAGTATTTTTCCTTGTGTCTGATATCCATATCTGTTCTTTCTTTTTCGTACTTCGATGGAAAGAATTCCTCGGGATCTAGACTCAGCCTCATTGGAATTTTAGTTCTCACTACAAGTCTTCTTGCCGATGGAATCATCAATTCGACCCAGGACCACATCTTTAGGAAGTTCCAGGCCTCATCCTTTCATATGATGTACTACACCAATCTATTCAGATTCCTAATCTCTTTCACGGTAATCCTCCTTACAGATAACCTTAGATATTCCATTGCATTCATAAAGGCAACACCAGAGGTTGCACCAGATCTTCTTCTGTACTCCACATTCAACATCTTTGGCCAGATTGTAATCTACTCAATGATACAATCCCATGGTTCTCTAACCCTTACTAAAGTCAACCTTACAAGAAAGATGTTTTCGATCCTTTTGTCATTAATTGTGTTTGGCCACAAGATCAAAAAGATACAAGCCCTCTCAATACTTGGGGTGCTAGGATCTATAGCGCTGGAAGCATTTGACACAAAAACACAAAAGCAAACAGGGGAGAAAAAGCATCTTTAATACCCAAACCATCCAAAGTAAAGCTTTTAGTCTACCCAAGGTTTCCTAAAAGAAACTGATCTTCTTTTCTTTATTTTCCAACACCTTTGTGTGGCCCTCCTCTGAGGAGGACGAAAATGCTTCTATATCGGATTCTTCCGGAGTTGCTCCCTCGCTGAATGTATCCATGGACTCCGACTCATCATATTTCATTAGTGAATCAACAAGTCCATTTATTTCTTGGAGATCAACTCCTGAGACTTCTGCTCCTTTGTTAAATACATCCCGTATTGCTCCCATGGATCTTTCAAGAGCACCATCTATATTATCCAGTCTGTCCCATACATCGTCCAGAATCTCTTCAAGATCTAAATACTTTTTCCGCAGATCTTCCAAGGCTTCTTCAAAACGCAAAAGATCCTTTTCTTCAGGCCTCTTAAGAAGTATACTAGGGGCTCGGCCTTCCTTTTCTCCTCCCTTCATGAACATACATCTATTGATATGCGAATATCCACAAAGATACATTAGTCTCTTAAACTCCCAATATTTATTGCAAGAAAAGACCGGTTCCATCACTAGCTCGTCGAAGATTTTAGGATTTGTTATCATAAAAAAAAAGTCATCTCTTATGCTTTCCATGCCTATGCACTTCCTGCTCGACAGCAGTGTCCTCAATCTGTTTCTTATGTCCTCCAAAACCCTCTCTCTGCTTTTCATCCCTTCACTCTTCACAAAGGGTTAAATCCCCCACCATCGTCAAAACTCACTGTTCCAGTTACTCACATGATTTAGACTTAGCCATATTAAAAAGAAGCTGAATATGCGAATTCAAATCTAAACAACTGTTCCGGAGATTGAACAATGTTCTTCCCAAATCAAACAACCCTAGCTTCAATGAGTCCAGTGGGTCATCAGGTTCTCCATGGCTTCCCATCTGTATCCCCTGTGACCAACAGAAGGAGTTTTTGAGCGTGAAGTTCTTCAGGAGATCTTTCTGCCCTCTTACAAACCATGGATGGGAGAAAACCGATTTCTGGTTCATTGTCTTTCCCCGAATAAAGCCATTTCTTTTCAGGTAGTCTAGCTTCGAGCCTTTTTTTTTTCTTGACAATTTCTCGAGGAACCGTTGGAACTTGGCAGAGTCTGTAATTATAACTTCTCTCCCGCAAGGACTCCATGCTGCTCCATCCTTTCCCTTGGAAATTATTCTATGAAAGTTACGGATAATATATGTAAAACTGAATGGCTTGTTCTCTATGGACATGGGCTTGCCAAGAGAAAATTACTTTTATTAAATAGGTCTTTCCATAGCCCCTAGCAGAGGATATCCTCCGAGTACCAGTTTCCTCGGGAGCTTGGCGGAGGAATCTTCTGACAATGCTTAATGATGAGGCACTAACCAGCATTTTGTAATGCCAGTTGTCATAGTTACTCTGAAAGCATCGATTTGTTAATGTCTTATTTAATCCCTTCTTCTAAAACCCATTTCATGAAGCCGAACACACATTTGAAGAAGCTCCTAAAGATAGATATTTCTCCAGATTCCTCTTATTCTGATATCGAGGTAGGTCTGTCGAATTTGAAGAGGATCATAAAGTCCACCTCGCAAAAAGAGGTCATAAGGGGTGGAATCAGGAAGATGGGGCAGTTATTCCATGCAAAGAATCGGATTGCCAAATCCCTAGCACTGAAGTATCTCGAGAAGGTTAGTAAGCATGTGGAGGAGGTGGACACAAACATCCTCCATATGTTCTACTCTACAGACCCAAGAATCAGTGATCTTGCAGTAAGATATGTGTGTGTGTTTTCGAGATTCTTTAAGAACAACGATATTGTATTTTACCACGTATACAGGACAAAGAGTAAATATCGCAGGGATGCCCTACAAGCGCTTATCTTACAATCTCCAAGGTACAGGGCCTATGAAAAGGATTTCGGGGTTGGGGATCTGGATCTATTTGAAAATGTGCGAAGGAATGCACCAGAAGAGTATTTTGGGAGACTGGCGTTGCCCAAGCTTGTGGAACTATCCTCCATGTATCCTTGTCTTGTACGATACTTCAAGTTTACAAGGAAGTTTCTTGGAGAAGAATTAGAAAAGAGAGACCGGTATTCCCAAGGTGTTCTGCATCGCCTTGGAAAGATCCTAGGAGTTGAAGAAAGGAGAGAGACCATGTGGGATGAGTTTCTTGTGTGCTTGGCATGGATGAAGCACGGGAGATTTGACAAGTCGATTAGAGTGCTGGAGAGGCTTTGCAGTCTGGAGATAAGCAAGGAATACAAAATAATCTTTGAAGTGTTTATAAGGAAGATGTCGAGACGGCTAGATTCCAGAGATGGGACGGCCAGGAAGAGAGCCCAGATTACCATCTCGAGCAGTTTTGAAATTGAGCTGTGTGGGCTGTCTCAGAACAGTGTGTATAAGATGCTTTTCCGCCTTTTTAAGGATGGAGTGAAGTATGTAGATTCAAAGTCCAGGAAAGCCAAAAATGTTTAGTCTGAAAAGTCCTTGAAAGAATGGTTGGGAAATCAAAGTCCGTAGAAAAGGAAATAGAGATACTATATGAGATGGTGGACAGTACTCGTTTCACAGCAATTGAATGGAGTAAAAGCGGACGATGCATTGTTATAAGGAACCCCGGGATGTTTAGATTTATTACCGGGCCGTTTTTTGGATTTTGTACTGGAATAGAAGAATTTAAAAGGCTTCTGGAGAGCTATGGATTCAAGAAGATTGGAAGATCTGGACTGAAGTATTATAACAAATTTTTCCAAAGGCAGAAGAAGAATTTCCTTGGTATGATATACAAGGTGAACCATAAAAGCGACAGGGAGATACCTAAGGAAGAGATCGATTCGATGAATGAGAACATCCGCATCATGATGAGCGAGGTTCCTCAAATGATTGGAAGACTTAGAGAAAACGAGAAAAAGATTTCAAAACTTCGGGATTCTCTGTTTTCTTTGTGCTCGCACATGAAGACATTGAAGCCGTATCATGAATTTAAAAGCATAAATTACGATCCAAGTAACAAGATTGAGTTTGAGGAATCGATGTTAGAATGGGCAAAGAGATATTTCCAAGACAATGCAAACTGCTCGTTTGGATTCCTCGATGAGGTTGGAGATTTGGAGGTTCCCAAGGTTCCCCAAAAGTCCCCTCCGAAGAAAAAGGAGAAGGAGAAAGTCAAGAAGACTTCGGGAATAACTGTGAACCTGAAGGTGAAAAGGCATAAGTTCAATGATATTGTCCAAGACTTTCAATAAATCTACAAATGCTACATGGATTTTCTGTTTTCAGGAGAAAAGATAGACATTGATATCCCTTCTGAGGATTTTTGGATGAGGAAGGATATTGATGGGAGGAGAGAAAAGTACATCTATTATCTATCTGTAGTAAGATTTATCCATGGGAAACTCGAGAACGACAGGAACAAGGTGCTGAAATGGGTTGAAGATGGACGAGCATTTGAAGTGTGCGGAAAAGTAGGAGTTCCAGATGCCTTGGACGGTTCTAAGATGGTGAAGATGAAAAGAAGAGATCTCGAAGATATTTTATTTACTTTTGGATTCCAGAAAAGAGAGTACGTGAACTCACACATCTACTTCCATAGATACTTCCGGAAGGGAGAAGATTTCGACGAAGATAAGATGTATTTCTCATATATTTTTGGATATGAATACACGGGAGGTTTTTTATGTCCTGATGCATGGGAAAGGGGGGATATAGATGTTCAAAAGTGGTACAAACACATGTGCAATGTCTACGAATCTATCGATGAGATGTTAAACCTCCAGAGCGAAATCATTAAAAAATTATGGGAAGAAATTGCAAAGCTGGTGAGGGTGGGAATTGAGAGGACTAGGATACTCCCAGAGCCCAGAAGGTGTATTGTTCGGGGGCCCAGAAGAGTTTGGAAGGGTGTGGAGGCGTCACAAGGAGAAAAGACAGTAGAAGATAGCTTTGTCGAGGTGGTTGGAAGAAAGAAGAGGGAGAGGATACAGAAATTTGTATAGGTGAAAAGCTAAGAATTGGGGCCCTGGATGGAGGATGGAGTCAAGTTTTGTGAGGACGACTTCAAGCATGAGTTTGCCGAGATGAGTTCAGAAACCGTGATGTTTCCGAAGTACAGGGAAAAATACATTGAACAGACACAGAAATACATAGAAAAGGCATTAGAGGCGAAGAAGATATCTTGTAAGATCGACATGGGAGAAAGAACGATCGACGTAATGACAAACAGAAGTACAAGAGACCCGTTTATATTTGTTAAGGCGGTTAACTTTGTTAAGCTTGTGAGCCGGGGAGTTGGAATTGAGGAAGCAATGAAGGTGTTGGAAGACGAGTACTTCTGCGAGGTGGTTGACATTAAGAAGATGGCAAGCTCAGAAAAGGTATTTGAAAAGCGGAGGGATAGGCTGATAGGGCCAAAAGAAATGACTTTGAAAGCTATCCAGATACTAACAAAATGCCATGTTCTTGTTCATGGAAAGACAGTAAGCATTATAGGTAGTTTCAAGGGAATTGAAGAGGTGAAGAAGATTGTTGTTGATTGTATGAACAACATTCATCCGATGTATCAGATTAGGAGTCTTATTGAAAAAAGAAAGCTGGAAGAAGACAAAAGCAAAGAAGGAGAGGATTGGAGCCGTTTTCTTCCAAAGATCAAGAAGAGCAACAAGAAGTCAAAGAAGAAAGTTGTTGGAAGACCCAGTGGAAATATGCCCCTGGATGTTCCCAAGAGAAAAGAGGACATTGAGATGGAGACTGGGGAATACTTTGTTGATGGAGACTTTGATTTTGAAGAAAGAGAAAGCAGCAGAGAAAGAAAGAAAAAAAGAGAGGAAAAGAAAAAAAGGGATGTGGAGAAGTATGTTCCCCCAGACGAGTGACCAAGGGATTTGCATCCCGATTTAATGGATTTGAAGTTTATTTTGGTGTAGGAGTTTGGAATCAGAATGAAAAACAAAGTCCTTTACTCCAAGAAGATGAGTAATTCTGGTACCAAAGGATCGAAGATGGTGTTTGTGAGGATCTCGAAGAGAAGCGAATTATGGGAGAATAATAATAAACATCTTTATGAGTACAGTGTGGGAAGCGACAAGGTGACTTTGTCTTTATACGGGGGCCGTCGTGGAGTGTTCTACGAATGTAAAGGAGTTTCGAGAATAGGTGTTGAAGAAGAAGAGGGGTTTGGAATAAGTCTAGGAGAAGACGAGGCTGCATTCCTTGAAGAATTCCGGTGTAGTGGGCTTCGAAGGAATATAAAGGAGAATCTATATGCAGGTAGAAAGATACATAGACCAATTGATCCTGCAATCAATCTCGACTTTAGCAGTGATGGAGGGGAGGAAACCTTGTTCCTTGGGAAGCGGAGATGATATGATAATTTATTTTCAGAGAAGGAAGAATCCTGCAGTGAGCTCTAGTGCAGTTTCAAGTTTTTTCTCCAACTTCCTTTTGGATGAATACTCGGGGAGTAGAAGTGTGTTGAAACATGTTTGCGAGGAGGGGAGTCTGTCCGTATCGCATCCGTTTTTCATTATGATGAGCTTCAGCGATGCAGAGCCGGAGACAGGTATCCTGTCGTTTCCCGTAATGAACTGAAGAAGCTTTTTCTTTTTCTTCCTGTTCAGAGCCTCGAATATTTCCCAGAAGTATGTGATGATTGGGGAATCTTCCTGGAATCCGGAGTATGTGGTGGTGGATCTTATTGCTTTGATGTCAAATGTATTCGACCCCATCATTATCTTCTCCAATTCCTTTGGATCCAAGTATACCATTTTGTCCCTGTCTATTATGGAGTAGAATCCTCTCCTAATGGCTTCGAACTGAGGCTTTATAAGAGTGTCTGTATGGAACTCGATATATTTTTCAATAAACAGTTTCATGTTTTCCGATGTCAGCTTTATGTTTTTTCCATTCTTCACAAGAGGATATATTCTTGTAGTTCCATCGACTATATGCTCCGCAACAAATCGGAGATCTAGTCCGTTTATTTCATCCTTTGAAAGTCTTTTGAGGTTCCTCAGCGATGTGGCTATACCAGAAGATATCTCTCTAAGATCATCGAGGGTTGGCTTTCTATCAAGAAGCTTCTTGAAGAATAGGCTTGGAAATGGAATGTTTAAGACAATGTTGTTGTAAAATGCAATGGCAATTATTCTTCCAATAGCTTCGTATTCCTCTTCATCCCCTTTATGGGGCCTGATCCAGATTCGGTTCTCTGTGTGTTCAAACAGCCTTTCGTCTTCCTTGATTTCCTGGCTCAGTAGCTGGAAATACTCTTTTCTTATTCCTCCGGAGTCAACTCCTTCCTCGTTTTTGAATGTGGTTCTAAGCTGCTTCTTAGCATCCAGGACATTCATCTTCTTGAATATTTCTATGCTATCTCTATACACGGTTTCTCTATTGACGGTAATGAACAGATATGGATCTACATGCCCCTCAAATAGAGACTTAAAAAAGGAATCTTGTAAAGATGTCTTCATCTTGTCGTTATTTTCATACTTAATCAGCTCTGCCTTGATGTGGACAGGAAGGATAAAGGGAAAATTAAGAGGTGTCTTCGACCTTGTTCTGAAGTGCTTGAATTCCTCACGGAAGTTCATCCGGGAACAAAAGGCAGATAGATAGAATTTTTTGTAGCTGAGGAAACCACACTCCTCATTTATAAGATATAGCATATGGAGCATTCCTAGGAGATTATCAACTCTCTTACTTTCTCGGCTGTCAATCACCTCCTCAGAATTAAGAGTAGTAGTTATGTTGTCTACAAGCATCGAAAGATCAAGCCTTGTAAACCTGGGGAGGTAAAGGCAAATAGCCCGGCCTTCTCTCATGTCTATCTTTCCTCCTTCGCAACCTATGCCTTCACTGAGCGAAGTCTTCTTAAGCATTTCACTGTACAAACTACGTATATTACAGAACACCTTGTACAATATTGGATAATATATCTCTTCAATATCATCATATCTACTTATCGAGTAATAAATTCTGATAATCATCATTCCAAGAGTTAGATGAAGAGAGTTTTCATACTTCTTGAGAAGTAGATGGAGCACACCAATAAGAATGTATCTTTTCTCCTCTGAGATTTCTTCTTTTCTGGATATAAGAGTACAAATACTGTGGTCGAGCCGACCTGCTCCATCAAACTCATCCTTCATCTCGTTGATTTTCAAGCATCCAAATCTATTCCCGGTCTTATTTTTGAACAAAGGAACACCTTTCTTCTTAAACTTTCTCTTGGCCCATTCCATTGACTCCATTCCTCCCTCAAGCCTTAAGACGCCTTTGTCTTCTTCGTTTTTCGTTCGGGGCTTCCTTGCACCATCGTCATCTTCGCAAGTCCTGATTTCCGAAGCAGGTCCTCTTTTGGGGCCCATTCCATTTATGCAAAAGAAAAAGTCTAGGATTATGTCTCCATCTTCTCCTAAGCTTCTTCCAGAAGCTTCATCAATGGTTTTGCATATGTTTCTGCATAGAAACACATCTCCATACCTTGAAAGCAGTTCTGATAATGCCTCAACCACCTCGTCCTTTAGACCTCCTCTGCAGAACACCTTATGGCAAGGCATCTGATTGCAATCTCCCATCAACTGCCGCCTGTATTCATCCTTGAGACATGAGTTCATTACTCCAGGGGATTTGTTTTTGCCCTAAAATAGAGCCATTCCAATGTCCCTTTCTTTATCGTAAAAGGAGCCTCTAAGGAGATAAATAAGGGAGACTCCTCAGGTTGTAATCAACGGAATAGCCCAAACCTTGCTAAATAATCAACAACATCAGGTATATGGCTTCTTTTGTACGGCCTGAGAGATATGCATGTTGGTATTCTTTCCGGATCTTCAATCCAAACAGTATGGTCTATGCCTTTCGAAGTAAGATATCCGGCTATCTCTTCCACATCCTTTTCCTTAATCTAAAATTAATCCATCCACTTACCTTCAGAATTATCTTTGCCATAGATTCTATGTTTTCTAGATACTCTATTGTGTCTGGGTGGTTTCTGTATTTTTCGATGGAATAGACGCTTGAATGGCAGGCCTGGGCAATTACTGCGCCTCTTGAAAAGCTCAAGTCACTCCTGAGTAGGATGTATTGCACGACTGTCATTCCAAGGGGCAGAAAATCCTGTAAACACCACTACAGGCCATCTCCAAGTTCAAGCCTGCCCTTCACCCCTTTTCTGCCAATCCAAACATTGCGTTTGTGAAGCTCACCCAATAATCCATTTCGAATGGGATTTTAGACCTCCCAAGCTACTAGAGACTCAATAGACGAAAAGGAGAGGAAAATTCTACCCCAGAAATGAAAGAGGTTATGAAGAGATCCAGCAAACTCTCGGCAGTAAGGGATATCCTTTTCAAATATATTCTTGGATCTCCGGTTGTTAGGGTCATTATTCTTCCTGTGATTGCAATATTACTAGTAGCAGGATATGGAGAAATATTCATTACAGAAATTCTGAATGAAATCCAGGAGAAGGCTGATGAGACAGAGGCTGTGAACGGAAAAATCAAGGTATATTTAGCAGTAGCTCTTTCTTCCTATGTGTTTGGATTTGTTTCTCTGTTTGTGATGTCTAGCTACATAGAAACTATATGTAGAGACTACATTATAGATCTGTATAGGGAGCATATATCCATGTCGTTTTTAGATTTCAAAAAGATAGGGGTGGGAGACATGATTTCATTCATGAATAGGAAGGTCTTGTCTCTACGAGATGTCTTGGAATCGATTATAAAGTGCTTTATAATGAGTCTGTTCTGTGTACTGATAACGGTGATTAAAATCCGAAGTGGGATTGAGAATCGCTATGGGTTGCTCATGGCAGGAGTTGTGATTGTCTATGGAGTATGTGTCATCGTCTTAAACCACTATCGAAACATCATCAGACTGAAGATGAACAAGGAGATTGACCTGTCGAATAGGAAAATCTACAACAGCATATTGAATTATGACATTATAAAATCATACAATAACGAAGAGCTAGAGGCAAACGAGCTGTACAAATGTATGAAGGGCCAAACAAAATATGCCAAGATATATTGGAGCTGGTTGCAGGTTGGAAACTTTATTGGAGAGAATATGTTTGTCATAGCAATGTTTATAATGACTGTTCGATTTTCAAATGGAGATACGAAGAATATTGGCTTTCGAGACTATACCTTGATATTCTCACTAAGTAACCAGCTTCGAATGTATTGTGTCGACATAAGCAACAGCTTTGGAATGATTCTATTGAATCTTACAAACATAGCACAGAATAGAAGCGAGCCGAGTAGGGAGGACATACAGGAAATCGGGTACTACAAGGAGAACTTAGAAAGAGAGATAAAAATTGAGGGGTTGGAGATATCGATAGAAGGCAAGAAGCTGATAAGGAATGTGAGCATGTGCATAAGAAAGGGGGAGAAGATAGGTATATCTGGAGACAACGGAGGGGGGAAGACTTCTTTTGCTAGAGCTCTGCTTGGGTTTCTTGACTATTCTGGGAGCATTCAAATCGACGGTATGGAGCTCAATGGTTTGAGCAAAGAGGGGCTCCGTAAGATGATAGCGTACTCGCCTCAAGAATCGCAGCTGTTTAACAAATCTGTCATTGGCAACATAAGGGATGGGAACTCACGTTTGAGCGATGAGGAGATTGTGGAATTCTGTAAAAGGTATGAGCTGGATGGGGTATTTAAAAACCTTGATGGAGGGTATCAAACCCTTGTTGGAAATGGAGGTAACAGACTGAGTGGGGGACAGAAACAAAAGGTCAGTATGATGAGGACAGTTGTCAAAGATGCATCTATATATATATTTGACCAGGTGACTTCTCACATGGATAAAGAGTCTGAGAATAGATTAGTTGACATGATTATGAAGAACCTCTCGGACAAAACTATTATAATGATAATGCGGAATTCGGACCTGTTAAATAAGTTCGACAAGGTGTATCATTTCTCAGACGGAGTATTGTTTAGTTGAAAATAAAATATAATGACGCTCTACCATCATGATTTTTTCCCACTGGACGGCCCTCAAGAATTGTTTTGAACTACCCCAAAAGAAGGTGAGTTTGGATGGAAGGTATAAAGCTCTTTGCAGAGGTTCCTAATGTTTCTTTCAGGCTAATAAGGGGAATATCAGACTGTAAGGAATTTGTGGTGTATGATGGAAATGTATTTTGCCTGACGAACAGAAGCACATTGATTGCTTTATCCTCGGGCGAGGAGTATACATTCTATGGAGACATATTGAAGATGGGGATCTACGAGCATTACATATATCTTGTGTTCAAAACATCGAAGATTATTGTTTTTGATGCAATTTCTAGGGAGGTTGTGGTCAATTTACCTGAGATGAGGAGAGGCGTCAAAAAGGTAATAATGGGCAGAACACGAATGCATTTTCTTGGAGGGGATGGGGTTCTGTATGGGTCGGCATTTGAGGACATCAAGTACTTCAAGAATCAAAGTATATGCAGAGAAAAAGATGGATACTCAATTATTCAGGACTTCTGGGTCAGTGGAGATTCTATATTTCATGCCACACCCCTTGGGCATGTCTACAAAGATTCCTCTCTGGTGCTGAAGGTCTTTGACACTGTAAAGCTGTTAGTACCTCGCGAGGGATATTTGTACATTGTAACCAGTGGAGATCTACTTTTGAAGTACGATACTTGTAGAGCAAAGATCCTCTTCAAGAAAGACATTGGAAGCTCTAGGGTTGTCGGGGACAATCTTATAGCATTTGGTGGAATGGTGACAGATCTTTTTGGAGAAGTCTCTGTGGAAGTCCCAAGAGACGCAAGCTGGGTTGTCCGTGGGGAAAAGTCTTTGTATGTTCTAACGCCATCGGGGGTTTTCTTTGGAGACCTCAGCGATTAAATCCATCTACAATGTTAAATTTTTATGCATGGTGGGGTGTGTTCAAATGGTAAATCCAAAGTTCAATAAACAGCATGGACAGCATATACTGAAGAACATGGGAGTAATCGACACAATAATAGAGAGGGCAAAGATTAAGCCAACGGACACGGTGCTAGAAATAGGGGGAGGGACGGGAAACTTGACAATGAAGTTACTTCAGAAGGCAAAGAAGGTGATATGCTATGAAATTGACCCTAGGCTGGCAGCTGAGCTGGCAAAGAAAGTTAACGGCACTCCTGGAATGGCTCAGAAGTTCCAGTTGTTTGTAGGGGATGCATTGAAGCATGACTTCCCCCATTTTGATCTTTGCATCAGTAACTTGCCATATCAAATCAGCAGCCCGTTTATGTTCAAGCTTCTAAAATATGACTTCAAATGTGCATTCATAATGTTCCAGAGGGAGTTTTCAGACAGGCTGGTGGCAAAGCCTGGAAGTTCAGAGTACTGTAGGCTATCTGTTGGAGCACAGATGCTTGCACAGGTGGATCATGTTCTAAAGGTGTCCAAGAACAGCTTTGTGCCTCCACCAAAGATCGAGTCGAGTTTTGTAAGGATAGAGCCTCGGATTCCCAGGCCCCCAATAGACCTCGAGGAGTTTGACAGATTTCTGAAGATATGCTTTCTTAGAAAAAACAAGACTCTCAAGGCCAACTTTAGGAATTCGTCTTTGGTCAGCAAGGTAAAAGGAAACCCTAGCTTTGAAAACACCACGCCAGAGGAAGTGTTTGAAAAGGTTTTGTCCAGGGCAGAGCTTGACGGGGCTCGGGCTGCCAAGATGAGCATTGACGACTTCCTTGCTCTTCTGTTGGAGTTCAGGAAGGTAGGAATCTACTTCTAGGAAGAAAGCCAAAGGAATTAAAAGAAACTATAGAATATTAGAAGAAAAGAACTGCCCCCAGCGGGACTCGAACCCGCGGCCTTGGCATATCTTAGCAGTATAAACCAAGTATTGCACAGCTTTCCAGCATATAAGTACCACGCTCTAACCGACTGAGCTACGGGGGCTATAAATTCGTCCTAAAAGAATTGATTTCAACACCTGCAATCTGGCCCCAATATCTTACAGGAATTTTTTGTAAAAGAAGGTTGGAATACATCACATGAAAAGAGAATTCCTTCCTAATAATCCCTGGGCTTCTGTTTCTACTTTGCTCCGTGCTAAATGCATAATCCTGAAAAAATTTGTACCCTTGAAATGCCGCAAGATAACACCAGAATCTCGGATAGTATCAAAATTCCAGAGGAGTTTGTTAAGTTGCTTATACTTAGCCAGGCACATCTTGGAGGAACCTCCGCAAACAAGAACTTTGCTAGATACCTTTACGGCACAAGGCCTCATGATAAGATTAGTATTATTGACATCAATGCAATGTGGGAGAAACTCATCATTGCAGCTCGGGCCTTTTGTGGAATAAAGCATCCCTCTAGCATTGCCGTGGTATCTACAAAGACATTCGGAAGAAAGCCCGTTGTCAAGTTCTGCGAGGCTGTCGGTGCAACACCAATAACCGGAAGGTTTATTCCCGGATCGTTTACAAACTCGGAAGTTAGAAGAATGTATGACCCGAGGATTCTGATTGTTTCCGATACATATGCCGATAAGCAGGCGATTTTGGAATCACAATACTGCAATCTTCCAACCATTGCATTTGTCAATGCAGACAACTCTCTGGTGGGAGTAGACATTGCCATCCCCATGAACAACAGGTCGCCATCTGCTATTGCTGCCGGGTTTTTTATCTTATCCAGACTAATCAGTTACATGAAGACCGGGGCGGAACTTGCTCGAGACATGAAGGAAGTCGAGCTTTTCCTCTTTAGAGACAGTGTCGAGCTTGAGCAGCTTATTGAAGAGCAGCTCCTTGAAACAACAAATACGGTTCTTAACGTTGGGAAAGAAGAGATTTTGGGTGGAATAACTGCAGAGAATACCGAGGAGTGGAATGGTTTCTAATCGCCATCATTAAATTATCTTGAACTAACTCTTCTTTCTTTTGGGACTCGAGGTCGGTCCTCTCAGGTCTCTTTGATTACGTGATTTGTTGTCTCCCCTGATGAAAAGCGTCCATGTAAGCCAGTTGAGAGCTGGGTCATTCAATCTGACAAGTCTTGTTGAGGAATCTGTTGATATCAAAGAAGACAATGTTTTTCAGACACATACCAATCTTGTAGAGCTTGTTGGAGACCTTGAGAACATAAGAGAGGGTTTGTTTTTCAAGAGGGAAAAGCTCAACACAAAGCTTCGTACCGTCCAGGAGGGACTGAAGCTTGACAAGATTGACGATCTGAGCAAAGAGATAGGCCAGATAGTTCTGGAGCCGCTTGGGCCGTCAAGAGACGTGCTAGAAAAAAACAAGAAGATCAACCATCTCAAAAGAATGGAAAAAGCCGTAAAGTATCTGATGGAGGTTGAGAAGGGGAATTTCAATGTGATTGACAGTCTTATCTCAAGTGATAGCGAGGAGGACTGGAGATTTCTATGTTTTCTTTTGTATAGCATCTCAAAGGTGACCGAAGACTGCGAGAAGCTCCGAGAATACAATAAGGCAATGGAAGACAAGATGCTTGATGTGTTTGAAATAGGAAATAAGCAGAACAACAAGACAATGATGAGGTCCGCATATAACTCATTACTTGAAATGGGAAAGGAAAGTTTTCTCGTTCATTCCTACATATATTCCTTGGACCTGTTTAAGGAGCCGGTTAGAATGGAGAACAAGGAAGAAAAGATCATAGACCTTGACTTCCACGCAGTTGAGCATAGCACGTTTGTGGAGTTGATAAGCAAGATTAGAGATGCATATGACGACAAGTTCAGGGATCTTGGGGATATCTTTGTAAATACAAAGGATGTATATAAGATGATACACAAGAAGGTATATGACGACATTATTTCTACAGCATTGGGCGACTATCTCAAGGGAACAAGTCCCTGCACGTTTCTTCTAGGGCTTGAAAGTTGCCACCGGAATCTTCAGATTCTCGGATCGTTCATCGAGACAATAGACCCAGATTTCGATGAATCTCATGCCACCGAAGATCTTATTTCGCAGTATACCAGAATTGCTGTTGATAAGGAGAAAGCCTTTTTCGACCAGATCTATGAAATTCTTGTTCTTCGGAAGCCTTGCAACACCAAGTACATCATTCTTGGAGAGGAAGTTGGGAACGATTCCAGTAACATCTTCATGTATAAGCAGCTCCTTAACACCATAAACTTTGCCCTGGAGAGATGTAACAAGTTCTACAACGAGGAAGAGGAAGATGAGCTTATAGACTTTTTCTCCTGGAAGATTAATGGATTTGTTACTAGCGTTTATGATTCGATGCAAAGCAAGTTTGAAGTGATAAAGTTGCTTCAATTCATTTACTTGGTGACAAGGAAATACTTTGGAGATAAATTCCAGAAGCTTGGGGTCTTCAGAAATAAGATCAATAAGAAGCTCAAGGATGCATTTGAGGATCAAATAGAAACATGTGCCATGAGAATCGGAGTCCGAGTCAAACAGGAGAATTTTGTGAATCTGGAGGGATGTGAAAGAGTTCTGGAAGTTATAGAGAAGGAAATTAGTGAGGCATCTGAAATGTCGATAAGAGGAGAAAACTCCAAGATCCTGATAAACAGAATTCTTTGTGATCTCTATTCTGCTTTATACAGTAGAATATTGCACCTTACATTTGATGAGCAACAGTCAAGAAACATGGTAGAGTATGTTTCTAGGGTCCTGGAATTTGCCAAGAACTTTGGGAGCGCAGAGGCGGTCCAGAAGCTTACTCACCTCCTGAATCTGGGCCTTTTGATATCGATTTCAGAAGGAGATTTTGAGTCGTTCTATGCCTCTCTAGCGGGAAAAGTATCGGACGACGAAATCTTAAAGGCAATACACTGCAGGAAAGATGGGGAGAAGATGCAACAAAGAATATTTGTTCCATAATAAAAGCTTTATTTTTGATTTCGGATATCTTGGAATGGAGAAATATGAAAAAGGACTACTTTATTTCAAGCAGATATTTAGCTAGAACAGTGTCTTTGAGCGTCTTTGAAGAGAGAAGACTTGCTTGAATTGCAAATTTGATTTTGTGGTAGATAGAGACCTTGGTGTATTTGAGCTTGATTTGGCGGTGTTTGGTGTGATCTGTTGAAAGAGTGTATGTATGGAATTTCGAGATGTCTATTAGCACGAAATCTATAAAATCGCTAAAAGTTGTCAAGGCTATTAGACATAGGTTCATAAAGATATAAAGAACATAGAAATGCACAACATTGAATGTGATCAAAAGAAGAAATGAGAAAATCAGTACAGACATGAATATTTGGTCTGTGTTAAGGACAACTGAGTCTCTCCGCTTTTTTAAGGGATTGTAGCTACTGTTGTTTAGTAGATGAATGGACTCTACCAGCAGCTTTGCTAAGAAGAGACCTAGGCGAGAAAATATTGATAAACAAGCTGCTGTTGGAATCATATAAATTCCATCAATAAATACTACTGGAAACCCCAACCTCAAAAATAGACTCTGGATGGTGGTGAAGAATTTTACATAGGCGCCCAAGGTTGTCTTTATCGTTATGATTTGCTTTTCCTCGACTGAGGAGTTCATTATATAGTCGACGATGCGACTAGGAATATTGACAAGGAAATACTCCAAAGGCTTTCTTAGTATACACAGAATTACCGGCATGATAAAACATCCTATTCTCCTCTTCTTTGGATATGTTACTTCCTTCTCCATTGGTCTGGGACATACTCCTGTTAGCTTGGAAAGAAAGTGCTTTCTCAGGAGAAAGAAATCATATGGATTGGGTGGGGATATAAGCTCCACAAACTCAACACCGGTACTTACAGGATAAACAGTCTCCAAGTAAACAATTTTTCCACTGGCAACCTTGAGGATTATCTCTTTAGACTCTATGTCCAATGTTCTTCCATCTCTTTTTATTTTAGTGTCTGCTTGAGAATCATCCCAAGGAGAGTTGAATACAAGATACTTACCACACACCACCTGTTGGTTAACTTTGCTTGTATCCCCATTATCCAGAAAAACAATGTGGCTAATCTCCATGCTGCATACCCCAAAGAAAAATTTACAAAAAAACCTAGCCCGATTTGAAGACATTTCTGCCAGAAATGTGACACGTTTTATTAAAGTTATGGCGTACCCATCTCGATTCCATTCTCAAGTCTATTCCTTCTCAAATCATTCAATGCAATCACAGTCTTTGCAAGCACAGAAACATAGCAGTCGGAAAGGTTCTCATCAAGAGGCTTCTCCAGCTTCGGAATTGAGTTGATGATCTCCTGGCAGAGATCAATTATTTCCTGATTTGGATGGATGTCCTTGCTTATCACGTCTTCAAGATAGGATCTTATCTCCGAAAGAACCCCCTTGTAAACCAATAGCGACTCCTTTATTCCATTGATCCTGGATGCAATCGACCCACTTGCCTCCTCTCTGATGTCCCTGATCAGATGCTCAACTCCCACCTCTTCAGCCTCTTCGGCTTCTATGCTGCATCCGACATGTACAAATTCGTCCTGTTCGTCTAACCTGAATGTCTGGACTGGAAGATCATTTTCTCCAAGATGGACATTGATGATGGCAAGAAATGGATTTTCGACAAAGTTTGACAGAGACCTTGTTATGTCCAGGTCATCCCCATACATCTTTGGTCCTGTGTGGTACCATCCTATTATTTTGAGCTTGTGGTTAACTTTGTAGAACAGATCAAACATACTTCTTATGTATGAAGTGTCTATAAACCATCCATCCTCGTCCTCCTCAAATATGCAAGCAAAGCTTTCCGTAATGTGAACTTCTCCATCGTCACTCCCAAGTAGTATCCCAACGACTCTCTTGGTCCCTTTTCTTTTGTAGTGGTCGACTGCAGAAAGTAGCACCAATGGGTGAACTATCACTGAGGCCTCACTCATTTGGGGTGTTCTTGCAGATCTAAAAAAGACAGAAATAAACAAATTTAAATCGAAAACCTAGGTGTATGGCTTAAAACCCTATAGTCATGGAAACAAGACTCCTGGTAGAATTTATTTGACTTTAATTTTTCTTTCTCTTCTATTCCTTTTCTCTTGCTCCCTGTCGATCACGAGCTTGCATATTGCCCCCATCGATCCCAAGACTAAGAATAATGATATAAACGAGATCGCCGGAGGATTGGATTCAAACCATTTTCCAATCACATGGACTGCTATCGGCGATACAAACATAAGGACTATAAACACCGTGAGTTTCTGATAGAACCTTCTTCTTTCAATCCCCATAAAAACTTTGGGGTTGAGGTTTTTATGCATATGAGCCTGCATGAGTACCTTGTCATTCTTCATAGGATGCCGTCTCCGGCACCAAGCTCCTCTCAAGCTCAAGAGAGAGGCCCTCATGTCCATCGGGATCGGATCGAAGATACTCCACAATCGCCTTGCCAACAAGATTAACTAGTCGGAATTTCTTATTCCCAAAATAACATTCAATTTTCTTGTACTTTCGAGGAAATCGGAACAAAATCGACTTGAATAATTTCTCATCTTTCGGCTTTGGACGAATATTTCCCATAAAGAAAACATCATTCCCCAAAATCCTTTCGATCATGCTGGCAGCATGAGAGGGAACTCTCTTTCCACCTTGGTCAAAGATGTTCATTGTGATTCGAAAGGCCTTCAGGAAAAACTCATCAATATTTCTTATCTTCCAATCCAGATAGTACTTGATTATACTAGATCCAGGCTCATCGTCAAATATTGCCTTTCTCAAAAGATGTTCCAACTCATAGCAAAACGCCTTTCTAAACATACTTCTTACCATAACAAAGTATTCCGTTCCCACAGGTCTACCGTCCTCGTATCTTATGGAGAGTGCTTCATTCACATTCCTGAAAACATTAGAGTCTGAATCCTCTTTTTCTTTGTTGTATTTACCATACTCCTTGAGATATTTCGAAATCACACTCACGGCATAACTCCCAAGAGATACCTCAGTTCCATTCAAATTACACTTTGTAGAAAAGACATTATTTCTGCTAGAAATACATAGTTCCTCATTTTCAAATATATAACTGTGCTCAGGCTCTATATCTTCTGTATTAATGCTTTCTATCTCTCCTTTTCCCAAAAGCCTAAGCACTGCTCGGGAAGGAGGGTCGAGATGATCTATCCTTCTACCGTGTATCAACAGTTCGATGTAAAGTATAAAGTTCTCTCTTAACTTTCTTAATCCATTGCTGAGTTCTTTGTTGGAAGCACTGTTACTTAAAGATTCGGCTCTGTGCATAAGTCTAACCAAAAACCACAGATAGCGCCTCATCTCAATAGATCTGCCGTTTATCTTCACCAAAGAAACATTCTTTTTCTCAATTTCCCCAGCCAGCTTGTATATTTTGTCCTTATAGTTCCTGAGTAGTAGGACTGCCATATAATCCTTTACTTTAATGGCTTTTTTTGCGTCTAGAATGTGATAATAGACCTTCTCATCAACCATCTCGGAGAGAAAATTCTGGTAGTGTTCAAGAATAGATATGTCTTTTTCCTTTATCTGTCTTAGTTCCCCATCTCGAAAGTCCTCAGATACCCCAAGAAAACCTGCTAGGGAATTATCAACCTTACAATTCTGGCCGTTTTCAGCCTCCAGATTACCCCGAGGCTTACTATCAAGAATTCGGTCGAACTTATAAGACAAATTCCTATTAAAGCTGTTCTTACATTTCTGTAGAAGAAACCATAACTCGTCAGCACACAGGGGATTCTCTTTTGCTTCACTCAGGCTAGAAATGATATTTTTGTATTTGGCAAGAAAGAGAATTTCTCGTACAATATTCATGTATGTTTCCGGGCTCATACACTCCCCATCATTCAGTATCACAAATTCGCTTGGCTTAGTGTTTTCCACCTCTCCACTGGTTTCAATTCTCATGAGAATGTTTGCATCTCTTGCCATCCTCTTCTGCTTTTCTATTTTGCACTCAAGGAGATAGTTAGCAAGGATAGATGCCACATAGCCTTTCAATGGAAGAGTCTTTCCAAAAACCTTGCATTCCACATCTTCTAAACGGAAAGGCCAGTGTCCCTGAATAACCTTTAACATCTTTTTCGTCTCCTCTGTCTCAAGATCACAGTGGCTAAGGAAGTTCCTATCAAGTCCCAAAAACCTCCTTAGCGCTACTGAAGAGGGATCCGAGCTTGTCTTTCCCTTGATACCTGCAAGCTTCGAGTTTTTACAGATATTGTATCTGATCTCACAAACTAAGATCCGCAAGTTCTCTTTCTCTCTAGATAGATCTTTTTTCTCAGATATTCCTTCATCGTCTTTTTGAAGAGAGATTTGGCCTAGAGTGTTTATAATAAACTCAAGATACAGTCTCTCTTTCTCTTCTCGTCCCTCTTTCTCGCCTATGCTAAAATAGTCTTCCTTTATGTCTGAAAATCTGAGAGAGATACATCCAAATTCTTCGACTGAGACCTCAAGAGATGATCGGTGGAAACCAAATTCATCCAACCGACCGTCGTTTTCAGGCGAGAACTTGATGTAGTTTTGCAGCTTAGCTATAGAGGCAATGATAGTAACAGCTCCAGATGTCAAGGCAAGCAAGGCTACCAGCGCACGAACAATCCTACTTCTCTTTCTAATCTCCATTAAGGATAATCGTTTCAGTGCAAAATGAAGAAAATTGACAGGTTGATTACACATCATCTTTATTTCTAATATGTTCTCTCCACCCATAGCCATCTATGAGAAAGGCTATAACCTACTCGAAACAAATGTCTAGAAGAAAGCATCATACCTGTCGTTCTTAGAGTCGGAATCTACTTGAAAATTTTCTCCTGGCTTAAAGGACAGTTCAGGGATGCCTTTCCCTTGCACATCAGGAGAAGGCGGCTCATACCCTTCTTTGAGAGGCCCTGAAAGCTCTCCAAGAAAAAGGTCCATTTCGTCGTGGAGATTATGAGCATTGGGTTTAATCCGAGCCCCGAAGTCCTGGGAATTTGTTCTAAAGACCCTTGAAAGAATTTCTATAAGACCATTGAGGGCTCTCTCCTGCCTCTCTATGCGCTCCTTGCAAGCAGACAATTCTGTATATAACTCCTGGTTTTGTACGTATAAATACTCCACTACGTCCTTCAAAGATCCATCTCCAATTCTCATTCGAATATCATTGGACTTCTTCCTTTTAATCATTCGGAGTGTATCATCAAACCCCAGCAGGTCCTCTCTTCCCTTTCTGAAGTTCTTATTGTAATATATGTCCTCCTCTTCAATGTCCTTGGACTTAACAAACCCGTAACTGTTCAACATCCGGACAAACGTTCCAAACTCCCTTGTCTTCGATATGAGGGGAAGTGTCTCCTTAACAAACACGTCTCGGTCATATATGTGAATCTTAAGCCCATCGGGTGTCCAGGAGATTCCTTTGTACTTCTCGTTATTGGTGGCCTTATAGAGCTTCATTATGAACTTCGGTATTTTGTCGAAATTAAAGCTCGCATTTGATTTTTCCATGCTCTGGATTGATTATATGGGTGTTGTTTTCAAAAGGTTTCAACCTAAAAGAAATTCCACAAGCCTGTTGAAATTCCAGGTCCTACGAACACAAGGCCTCCTTATGTTTGAAAATGAAACAAGGGTTTCCTCTCCACTCTTCATAGGATTCTCCTACTTTCTTTCATCACGTCCATCAATGATTTCAAAGCATTTGAAACCCCATGGAATGGAGCGTTGGACCCTTCCATAAAGCATTATTGGTGCTTGCGAAACTTTTTCTTCTTAACAAACTCAGAGGCCCGAATTGATGTTTGGGGACTTGTTCAATATGTCACTGTATGATTCCTCCCTGCTAATACAATCAATTCCAGGATTACTTATATCGCTGAGTGGCTTGATCCTCATGGGATCCGTACTGATAGATGCCACCGATGATCCCCGCTTAGCAGGCGTCCCTGTGATTCTCGAAGCAAACTGCATTTTGGCATTCAAGGGCAACATAGAACTAACATTTGCGATGTATCTTTCGTCGATGAGTCAATCTCCTTTGTTCATATATAGGAGGTACTTCAGATATGTCTTTGACAACTCTAGCATGGTTTTGGCACAGTCTGTAGCAATAGGACTTGTAATAGGACTAATAGGGATGGCAGGAGGCATTTTATCAGGAGGATTGAGCGAAGGACTAGGACTTTCCATACTTGCAGGTGCACTTGTATCGTGCATATTGACTTCGATCTTGTTCATTATACTGCTTGTAATATCTATAGAGCTGTCAAAATTTATGGACATCAATCCAGACAATATCATTCTCCCTACCATATCATCTTTTGGAGATTACACGAATGTAAGGTCTTTGGTATACTTTACCAAATGGTTTAGGGACTCCTCCCCGTCATCCTGTCTTTCATACATTTTCCTCTCAATCTCCTTGATGCCTTTGTGTCTCTGCTTTGTACTAGTCAGTAAAAAGAGAATTCCTCTTCAGCCGGTGGAGGTTCTTCTTGCAACATATGGAATTAGTACTGCTAGTGGATACGTACTTGAGACATTTTCCACTAGATTCCCAGTTCTTGCGCCGTCGTTTCCTGTGTTTGGTGGAATGTCTGTATCAATAGCATTCATTTATCTTCACAGGATATTTACATCGATCAATAATCGGACAATTCATAACAGTAGAAAGTCATATATAACATTGGTATTAGCTTCCATACTCATGTCTCTATGCTATCTTGGAATGGCAGCACTAATGGGGATTCTATACTCACGTGAGTTCTGTGTATTGTTTATAATATCTTTTGTTTTCCAGGTTACAATTTTGCTGAGTGGGATTTCCCTCCTTGTTGAGTATTTAGATAAGAAAGAAGAAGACACAGGAGTCTTGGCACTTCCACTTATTTCATCGATTTCTGATCTTCTTTCTACGGGATTCCTTATAACTATATGTGTTATTCTAGACCTGTTTGATATAAAGAATGGTTTTTAATTATATTTTCCATGTAATTCTTTTCTCTAAGTAAAGTACAACTACTTGGAGATATGGAAAAGCAGCTAGTGGGGACAATTTCTTCTTAAGAGACTAATGTAAAATACAGGTCTCTTTCATTCATAAAAACAGAAAGTTAAAACATCTAGAATGGTATTCAGGCTTCTCTGGGGATTCTGACGGAAATTACAAGCTTTATACCTGGGATAACAAATAAAACACTGGAGATTCTACCAATCTCACTTTTTAGACTGTCTCGGTAAGATACTTTAGTCTCTCCAGAAGAGAGTTGCTAAATAAATGAGAGCAGGCTTGGAATCTTTTGACATTACTCTTGGTCGGATACTTTTTAAGTAATTCTTCAACCAGCTCCTCATAGAAGCTATCCGAAGGATCATTGGAAAGAATCTTGAGAGACAACTCGTATGCAAGGTGAAAGGATGGGATATACTCGACCATCTTCTTAATGAGGTTTGGGGGAAATCTCCTCATTACAATAACTTTTACAAGAATAGGTGTGTCAAGAATCAGCTGATGTATCACTTTCTTTAAAAGGTACCTCCTAGGGGAAACAGAAAGGATCTTTTCGATGTAAATAGTCTTAATCAGGACATCCAGGTTCTTTACAAGGCTTAGAGATTTGGATTTCCTTCTTATAAAGTATATGCATGCAGGGATATAAACACATAATAACCTCGGCTTGAGCGGTATCGAAAGAGGGTCTGCAAATATTTGCATTCTATTACTGTAAGGCTTTCTTATTCCAAACATCATTTCTGGGAAAAAGTCCACCAGAATGTGAAAGTATTTCTGTATCTGTGAAAAGGTGGACTTCAAGAATGTTCTCTTCAAAAGCTTAAAATCCACGTTGGATTCATGAACATATCTAAATCCTTCTTCATATGGCATGGTCTTGGCCTTCAGAAGGTTGATGACTGCCAGATGGGTGTCTGTTAGATTCTCAGTTCTTATTGTTCTCATTATTGATATAGAAAGAGGAGAGACCTCTAGGAATCTAATGATTCTTGCCTTTTCTGCTTCCGATATTTTCGATATCACGTTCCGGATAAAAGGCTGATCAACAAACAGCAACCTCTTATTTGTCCTTTCGATATTCAAAAGAAATTTCATAATATCGGCATAGTCACTTTCGTTCCATTTGTTGCTGTAAAGTTCCTCCGACTCGCTCTTGGCCTCCAATACCACCTTCCTTCCCATAAGACGCCTGACTATATAGCTGATTGTCTTTCCGCTCTTCATGAGAATACCAAACGGCGCCGGGCATGGTATTCCTGGAAGAACATCTCGGAACATAGCATGGAGTATGAAGGTTAGGTATGGGTTTCCTATGGCCACAAGTCTAGTGAGAGAAGAACGAAAATAGGGATCTTTTGGGTCTTTCCTTAAGTATAGCTTTCTGATCGATCTCTTATCCATTTTATCAACCATATCTGTGCTCAGGGCTTTGGTTCGGAAGGGGAATAATAAAAGTTCGGATTGGAGGGGTTTATATGAGTATCCTACAGAACGACATAGATGCAATTATAAGACGATACAAAGGCCTCCAAATAAGAGAGAAGGAGTACAAGGACATAGTCGGAACTCTAGTAGGTGGAACTTTAGAAAAAGCTCCTCATCCCAAGATCATAGAACTAATAGAGATATTTGTTTCGGCCAAGACCAAACCGATTTACTTGAACGAAGTAAAAAACTATCTGTTTGAAAATGACAAGGATCTTTATAGACGTTATGCTGGGATGTTTGAAAGGAACCCTGGAGTTTTTGAAGCATTTGGAATTCAAGGAGAAGAAAGAGTACTGCCTCTACCCCAAGACGAGCCGGTGGTATTCAAGAGTCTAAAGCCAAAATTAGCTGATTTTGCCAAGAGGAAATCAAAGACTTTGAGAAAGACAATTCGTAAGGAAAGCAAGATGTCCGCGTACCACAAGGTTATGAAAGAGAAATCGGCCTCTATTGAGTACCAAAAGAAGATAGATGCAATGTATAGAAAGGCACGCAAAGAATAATAAAATTTACTCGATCTCAATTTTCTTAAGAGTCACAGTAAACTACCACAGAAGATGAGACTTAAGATGTGATTCATTCAGAATTTATATGAGGCTGTACTTCTTCCAAGGTTTTTCCTCTAAGGAATTGTCGTCACTGGAGTTCTCCGTTACTTGGGGGGATTTGGGCTTTTTTGCCTTCTTTGGCCTGTAAGTGGTTTCTTTTCGAGACTTTGGCTTTTTCCCTTTCTTTCGAACACATCCATTTAGCTCGTCATCATATTCTTTAGTTTCTCTCTCAACAATCTTCAGATACTCTCTTTCAAAGACCTCTAAGTCATCCAACCACAGTTCTTTGGGAGTTTTACTTTCCAGTTTGTTATATTCCTCAAGCTTCTTTGCATGTTCGTTGTTTAATTTCTCAATCCTCTCTACAGTAAGACTTAATATTGACATGCTCAGAAGATATTCATAATCGTCAACTCTTGCATATCTTCTCGACTCAAGATCAAATATAACTTCCCCTTTTCTCCTTCTGCTAATTACAAGCTCACCCGTTGAAACCTCTTTTATAAACCTAACCTTATTTTCCAACTTCACCAACTCTTCTTTCATTACCTTCAACATGTTTTCCTTCCTTATTGAATAATATCTAAGTCTAACATCATAGAATTCCTTCAGAATCTCCTGAGGCGTCGAATACTTCTTAATTCCAAGGTTTTCATCAAAGCAAACCATGTTGTTGATGGTGATGGTTGTGCTTAGCTTTAGGTTGCTGATGCTCTTTGAAAGCTTGACCGAAAAGCTTACTGTCTTTTCTGTATGGTATTCCTTGAAGTCCTTTACAACTCCAGCCTGCACAAGAGACTCCAAAAACTCCTTGTAATTTAGAGTCCATGTCCCAACAGGAAGTTCGGAGATTTCAAGGTCCATGTCTCCCTCATATATTCCTGAAACCTGGTATTTTCCTTCTCCCACCTTTTCAATCGTCCCTCTAAAATTCCTGTAATAGGGAATCATCTCCACAGGATCTTCGCCTCTGATCAACCTCCGGATATTCTCTACCACATCCACTGGATTGAAGTTCGGAATAGAGGTGCTCCATCCAGTCCCTATCCCCTCGGCTCCATTAACTAATACCATAGGAATAATGGGAACATAGAACTCCGGCTCTATTGAGAGATTGTCATCGTTGAGATAGCTGAGGATTGCGTCATCATTCTCATTGAATATAAGCCTTGTTAAAGGAGATAGAGATGTGAAGATATAACGAGGACTTGCTGCATCCTTTCCTCCTTGAAGCCTACTCCCAAATTGCCCAATCGGGAGCAGAAGATTTATGTTATTCGACCCAACAAAGTCCTGTGCCAAGTTCACAATTGTGGAACAAAGAGATTGTTCTCCATGATGATACGCAGATTGCTCGGATACATACCCTACCAGTTGTGCCACCTTTATCTCAGACCTAAGGTTCCTTTTGAAGCAGCTGAACATCACCTTCCTTTGTCCCGGCTTGAGTCCGTCCACCAAGCTCGGAATAGAGCGAATGTTGTCTGCCATGGAGAACAAGATCAACTCTTTATTAACAAAGTCTGAGATCGATATCTGTGGCTGCGACTGATCTAAAAATGTTCCGGGCTCAAAGTTTAGAAGCCATGTCTTTCTTGCATCTGCCTTCTTTTTGTTGAACGCAAGGTCAATAAGCTCCTTGTCCTCTTCAATCAATGGGGTAAAGTACTTTACATGGATCGGAAGATTGCTAAAATATTGCTTAGCATCTGCACTTGTAGATGTTCCCAATCCCTTGTAGTACTTGATATTCCATCCATCGGAATTCTTCTTGAATTCCTCGTACTCCGGTAATGTGAAGAAGTCTTTGACCTCGCCCTTCTTTGAGGCTCTTACAATTGGCGTGATAAACTCCTGAAGGAAACCCGGTATCTTCAGCAAAGAAGGATAGAAGTGATCCAGAAAATTGATTATAAGGCCTTTTATGTGACTACCGTCGTGATCTTGATCGGTCATTATCATAATATGCCCATACCTAAGGCTTGACACATCTTCATAGATCTTGTTGTGCTGCAAGCCCAGGATCTTCTTTATGTTTGAAATCTCTGCATTGTCCATTATCTGCTTGTGAGATGCCTCTCGAACATTCAGCAGCTTTCCTCGAAGAGGGAAGACCCCATAGATGTCTCTTCCAACCACACTGAGTCCCGAAACAGCTAATGTCTTGGCAGAATCCCCCTCGGTTAATATCAGAGTGCAATCCTTCGACTTGCTTGTTCCTGCAAAGTTGGCATCTTCAAGCTTGGGAATTCCAGAAAGCCTACTTGTTTTAGCTCCATCCGTCTTCTTTAGCTGCTGGCTTTGCCTAGCCTTTGCAAACGAAGTCACCTTTTGAACCAGTGATGTGTTCTTTATAACATTTTTCACAAAGTCCGATATCGGTTCACATTTCGAGCCAAAAGCTGATACTCTCAAGGTAAGGTTTTCCTTCGTCTGTGAATCAAATGCTGGGTTCTCAATGAGACAATTTACAAATATAAACATGCACGACTTGATCTGGAATGGCCTTACAGAAAGTCCTTTTTCTTTTTTCTGTATTGCTTCCAACAACGGATCCACAATACGCTCAACAACATGGTTGACATGGCTTCCTCCTTTCGAGGTACAGATTGCATTGACAAATGATACTTGCTGGAATTGCTCTTCACTCGTAGTAAGAGCCAGTTCCCATCTGTCATTAATAACCTGATGCACAATATTAACCCCGGATGGAATGTACAACTTTACATATTCCTTGAAGCCCTTGACAGGAATTTTCTTCTCGTTCAGAAATATCTTTACATCCTTGACAATTCCTCCAAGGTCATAAACCCTCTTCTTCAACAACGATACCGTGTCATCGTCCAGCTTGTTCATTTTGAACCTCCGGAGGTCGGGTTTAAATGTTATTCTTGTAAAGTCCTCCTTGGTATATCTACTAATTTCAGGCTCTTCTTTGATTCCCATATTGTCTCTATATCTCTGTTTGTAGTATTTCTTGACCTCGCAATCCGCTGTCTCCACTATAAATTCCTTGCTGAATATATTACATAATTTGGCTCCATATCCATTTCTTCCTCCTGTGACTTTCTTCTCGTCGTCATTGTAGTTCGACGATGTCAATAGATTTCCAAAAATAAGTTCGGGAACATACACGTTTTCCTCTTTATGGATTCTGACAGGAATCCCCCTCCCATTGTTGTACACAGATATCTCATTTTTCTCGGGGTCGATGGAAACTTTGATGACATTCATCTTAGGATCCCGTATCTTATTGTCTGCCGCATTTACAATTATCTCGTCAAATATCTTGTACAATCCAGGCACATATTCTATATTTTTGAACACCATTTTGCTATTATCCTCATCCCATACATACATCTGTTGCATTTCTTTCTCTACAGATCCTATATAGGAGTCAGGTCTAAGAAGAATATGCTCCACAGGTGTCTTTTTTTGGTATGTCTCTTCAATAGTCTTCATTTATCAAAGGATATCGAAGGATCTATTTTTTAACTTTTTGGGATATAAAATAGATCTCCGTAGAAGGTGGCATTTGTAGAAAAGAAATATTTCGGCTGTTTCCTACAAAGGAGCTTTTATTCAACAGAAGTTAAATTCCCAGACGGGTATTCAAATCTTCAAAAAGGTCCTCAAGGATCCCGCTTTCGTCTTCTTTCTTCAGTGGTACCAGTCTCGAGACATCGGACGTAAGGTATTTTAACCTTATGAGATAATGATATATTTCCAAGGAAGAGTCGATAAGATCCACTGTTCTTCGGCTTGCAAAGAGTAGATTCTGGACCTCGTCGCACTTATCGGAGCCCTCAGATCTCAGATACTGGAGGATTTCTATAAAGTCCTCTAGAATCCTTTCGGCATTTGCTTCTATGCCCTTTATAAGCTCGATCTTCTCCATAATGGCCTGCAAGATTTGTTGGCGTAAAAAATTTGCCCTGGGAAATGCTTTTTGTACCGAATATGATCGTTGTTGTGACCAATGGAAAGAATGCAGGTAAGAAAGCCGTTGTGATAAAACAGCTCGATGAGAGATGTGTTCTGACTGCGTGTGTTGTCCGGGTTCCTAAGGAATCAGAGGACCACCAGCCTAAGTGGATCCAACGTAGAAATGCCAAGTTCTACATCATACTCAAGAAGTATAACATCAGCCATCTCATCGCCACAAGATACAAGGCAGATCTGGGATTGGCTGCAATCGACTACAACGGAATTGAGGAGAATGCCGAAACTAAGAAAGTGCTTACAGATAAGACCAAAGACGCCATGATGAAAACGTGGAAGGAAGGCAAGGCAAAATTCCTTTTTTCTTCTCTTAGCTTTTGATCATTAAAATTTTATGATATTGCTTGCATCATTGGATGTTCTGAGCTGTTTTACTTTGCGAGGAGAGGCGACTGTTTTCTATCGAGTTTGCCAATCCATTTGCAGAAGGGGATGTTTATATTCCATAAGGCAGAAGGAGAAATCCAAAAGTCAATACTACCCTATCTCGCCCGGGGTAAGAATGGAAGTTGATATAAAGATTAGAAAGGTTGAAGTTCCTGAGAATACTTATGATACCCTAGTTCTGTGCTACGACGGAGAAGAAGTTATCTTTAAGGACAGAGCTGTCATGACCTTCAAGACATTCCACCATACGGTTATAGGCGACAGCAGGATTCTTCTAATGAAAAACTCATTCCCTTGGGATTTATGCATGGGCTTTGTACTCTTAAACCATTGCTTTTTTAGAAACGGAGATGAAAAGCAAGAGCATACTCTGGACATTTATCACGGAAGATATCGCGATAAGGCGAGTAGCTACGACTTCGAGCCAAAGGAAGTTATAGGGAAGCTCCATTATACGTTTGGAAGAAAGATATATGATGAAAGAGATATGCGAGAGGAGGATGAGATAAGTGGATTTGTTCAGAAGGTTTTTGGGTTCTTCTTTAGCAATGAAAAAGCAGGGACCATTCTAAGCATAAAGAAGCTAGTGGATTACGTTAATCGCGGAAGCCACGGATGCAGACTGAACATACTGTTTGGAGGTCTTCTGGTCGAAAAGACCATAGCGGAGATCAATGCCCGGTTCACCAAAAACATAGACTTGGTCTTGGAAGTAAGCCATGAGGAACTTCCAAGGGTTTTTGATGAAGCAAACGGCAGAAGGAGCTTTTCTCCATCCGAGGGGGGCATAAAAGAAGATAAAGAGAATGAAAAAAGGCTGTTTAGGTTGAAACTTCCTACTCACTGTTCTTTATGTGAAAAGGATGGTAGAGATGAGAGTTCAATATGCATCCCAAGTATACTATCAAGCAATGGATATTTGTTGTGCAATTTGGAAATGCTTCGGAAGATAAAGAGATTATTTTACTTTGCTATGGGATCGTATGCAAACAGCTGGCCTAGTATGTTTCTTAGGCCTCAGGCTTCTGTTGGTGAATCGGTCTCAGATGAAAGGAGAGCAGTACTCAAGCTCCTAGGGATAGAAAACAAAGACCTACTTTGCATGCATTTAGAGCCCTCAGAGGTTGTTCAGCACATAATCTTCCACGATAGAGAAAATGAAAGGGTTGTAATTTCATTTAAGGGAACCACAAACTCCGAAGAAACAATTCAGGACATAAACTGTGAATATGCTGAATTTAGCAATGGATTTGTGCATAACGGATTCAAAAGGCTGTCAACTCATTTTATAAATAATCACATAAATTCTGTTGAAAAGATCTTAGGAGATATTGGATCCAAGAAGCTTCTACTTCTGGGGCATTCTCTTGGAGGGGCGATTTCTATCTTGGTTAAGATAATGGTGGAGGAGATGGGGTTGCTAGAAAATGTAGATGTAGAAGCAATTGTTTTCTCAAGTCCGCCAGTAGTCTCCGAAGAAATAGCATCTAGATTTGCCAAAGGGATAACTGTGATAATCTATGGAAACGATATAATACCAAGAATGAGTTATGGGAGTGTGCTGGACCTTAAATTCCTGTGTTGCTCGATTGGGGAGAAACATGGGCCAATGGACTCGTGTGGAGAGATGGAAAAGGACATGGATCTAATTTTGACCCATCTTAGGCGCACAAATCTGTATCCAAAGCTTTACCTACCTGGAGAACTAGTGCATATGAAAAGAATACGGTGCTCTCTTAATAAGAATGAGAATCCCATGGTTACCTTTAAGCTTGTGGAGAGGAGGTTTTTTGAGCAGATTATTCTTGTAAAACATGCACCAAAGCATCACATGGTGGGGCACATAGCATCTGTTATTGACCATGGGATTTCAATGCTCGAGAAGAGAGAATATATAAACAGTAACTGGGTGTAGGAATATTAAAATATCTTCTGTAAATTTACAACCGGATTGCAAGGAAGAGAGAGTTCTGTCCTGTGGTTTGAAGCTTTTTTAGGAGGAACGTGTTAAGTCTTCAGGTTTAATTTGGGAAAAACAAACCCCCTTAATGGAGGAAGACGAGCTGAAAATAATAGTTGAGAGGATAAGAGATCCCGATGCCGATATCCAAAACAATGCACTGAATATGCTGTTTAACATAACAAAGTCGTCGCATTCAAAATCCATTGATACAATCAATTTCCAATATCTTGCAGACAACCTTCCGATGCTGGAAGAGGTGTGTAAGGATCTGTCGGAAGACAAAAGAAAATGGCTATGCGACATAATAAGTGCAATATGTGTTATTGATGATGAGAAGAAGCTTTTGGAATATAGGATTGAAGGAAACGTGATTGACCTCAAGGAGTGGGGACATCTGTATGTCAAGAAGCTGACGGGATGTATTGCCGATGTTAAGAACGGCAAGATGGATCTTCCATTTGAGAGAACCAGAGAGGTTTCAAGAAAATGTATTGACTTTTTATTCAAGCATAATGCCGAATTTGAAGCAATAGACTTCTTACTAGAAATTAGGGGAATAGAAAGTATTTTGGAATATGTTGACACTCACAACTACAACAGAATAGTGTTATATTTGGAGGACATGAATTCGTTTGTTGAGCTTTCGGAAGTGATTCTTGGAATCTATCTTAAAATGAATGATCACTCGAGATATGTTGTAGGGCTTATAAAGAGACAGAAAACCAAAGAAGCCATCGAATATGTGAAAAAAATAGAAGACAGGGACTACAAGAAGCAATGTTTGTATATACTTGCAAGGTGCAATCTGTATTATGAGGTCTCTGATCCTGAAGAAAAGTACATTCTGTCTAATAGTTATATTAAGGAAGTCTATAGAAGTGTTGGAACGGAACTTGAGATAGATAAGCCGAGTAAGATGGATGGAATTTTCCGAGGATTTAAGTACGACAAGGATACAAAGCAGCTTGCATCTGTTGCAATCGCTAATGGATTTGTCCACATGGGGTATGGACGGGACCCGATATTTGTGCCACAAGAGGGAGATTCTAGAGTTCCGCTGGATTATGAGGCCATTCTTGGATGTGATGTGCCGGACCTTATTTCAGTCTTTGGGTCAATTGGAGTGATTGAATCATGGAATTCGGAAAAGGTGATGGAAACTCTTCAGGAGCACATATTTTCAGATTCTTCACATAGAAAAACAGGAAGCTTGCTAGGCCTTGCATTATCTGGGTTGAGGAACTTTGAAGAAAGACCAGCTATTCTGGCGCTTCTATCGAACAATTTGCAATCAAACAACAGCATCCATGTTATAGGAACTCTCCTAGGAATCGAGGCCATGTTTTCGGGAACTCAATCGGAGGAGGTTCGGGAGCTTCTTCAGCCACTGATGTTTTCCGACTGCAATGAAGTTGTATTCTTCACTGCTTTTACATTGGGAAGCGTATTTTGTGGAAGTGCAGACGAAGATCTCACATCTCTTATGCTTCAAACATTTCTAGAAAAGGAGAAGGAGTCTGAAACCCAGTTCTTCAGGTTTTTGATGCTAGGATTAGCTAGTCTGTTTTACCGCAGGAAGGATGTTGAGTGTGGGATAATGGAGATTGGAGGCTCCCTTGGGAAGCATCAAAACATATTGATAAAAGGGTTCCAGCACGCCGGAAGTGGAGATTCCAATATCATTGAATCTATTTTAACTGATTCGTTCACAGGAGACACCGATGCACTTCTGGAATCTCTTGGACTTCTCAGCTGTGCCCTGGTGTCAATGGGTGACGAAACATCAAGCCAGATGGTTGGAAGAATTGTCTCCTCCTCATTGCTACTGGATTCCTCGCATCTAAGAAGTGTATTGCCTCTATGCTACAGTATACTGTACCCGTCGAATCCACAAGTAAATGTTCTAGATATTTTGGAAAAGTCCTTAAATATCGGAGAAACAAACTGTATCATATCCACAATTGTGTCATTAGGATTCATTGGAGCCGGTACATTGAATTCCCGTATAACCAAGATCTTGGACCAGCAATACTCCTACTATTACAAGGATTTAAAGGTCCTTCCCGTACTCAAGATTGCACAAGGGCTTGTGTCTCTAGGAAAGGGATTGCTGAGCATCTCGCCCTTGTGTTTTGACAAGACAACATTTATGCCAAAAAACACCATAGGTCTTTTCTCTACGGTGTTCATGTTGCTAGACTCCTCCATCAGTCCTCTGATCACCTCTCATTCATACATGTTCTTTTTGCTCTGCCAAGCATGTACTCCAAAGTATGTTACATGTTCGGAAAAGATAAATATAAGAGTAGGACATCCGATAAATACGGTTGGAATGGTTGGAGAGCCAAAGAAACTTTCTTCTGTTCAGATGCATACGTCTCCGGTTGTTTTGAGCGAAAAGACAAGAGCAGAGACAGATGAGAACGTTTGTTCTTCGTATATCGAAGACGTGCTGATCCTCAAAAAGAATTAAAAAGAGTACTAAGACCAAGCCACCGTTCTTCTTTATTGTATTTCTAGTTTCCTAGAAAAATGCTTTTTAAGAATTCAAGCTGAACTTTGTTTGTTACAAGATGTGCTCTCTTACTTCTAAGGTTTAAAAAGACGTCTACAAACATATCCAATGTAACATTTTCCATTTTCTTGAGAATATCATACATAATGAATGTGCCCGTTCTCCCAACCCCAGCAATGCAGTGTACAACCACTGTGTCTGTACGCACCTTATTGAAGTGAGAATGGAACTGCTCCATTTCTTCACGAGTGATTACTGAGAAGTCCACCCAGTTGATATATCGAAGTCTCCTTATGTCCCTTCCTTGGACATCATATGTCTCATCGATAAACAAATCCTTCCCCATATACTTTATGATTTTTCTGTCCTTAAGCCACTCCTCTTCAAAATACTTTGGATCGTTTATGAGTGAAACGATTAGACTTGTGTTTGACTTAACCAGAAGATCAATGAAGACATCTTTCTTTTCGTCTTTTGGATTTTGGGCTGCTATGAACAGTGTCCCGAGCGCTGGGACGAAAGATGCATTTATATATTCTCCAATTCCGTATTTTTCGGAAACCTCGTTACTGTATGGAGTGCAAGACGATCGGTCATAGGGGCTGGATGGAGACTTAAATGTTGCACACAACGAGTCGACCAGATAGATGGCTTCGTCGAGCTTGTTTTCGCATATCTTCGACTTTATCCTATCATGGTAACCAGATAGAATATCCCTTAGTTCTTTATTCACAGTCATTGGGGTACTTAGGAATATTTTATGAGAAGCTTATTCATGCCAGTGTACGAAAAAAGATTTGAAACAACCGAATACGATGTGTTTGCCTATACAACTGTCTCCCAGGGTATTTTGACCAGCGGAGACTGTATAGAACTGGTGTCTCCTGTTTATATAAACTTTCCTAAAGAGTTTGTTCTAAAAGGGAGCAAGATATTCTGTAAAGTAAAGACCAGAGGATCGTACGGAGAGCTCAGGCTTATTAAGATTAAAAGAATCTCTCGGCCTTCCAATGGATATGCAGTGCTGAAGAAGCTGATCCCAAGTGTTTTCGATGTTGGATTTATAAGAAGAATCAATTTCCAGAGTTATTTGTATTCAAACAGAGACACCATTATGAGATCGTCTGTGAGAGTGTTAGGAAAGGAAGTTGTAAACCAAATAAATCTTTGGAAAAGAATTAATTGGAATTACGAACAGGATCCTGAAAGCCCTGAGGATGAGATTAGAGATGTTTCCAGCGACATTTTATTATCAGACTATTGGTAAGGTGTCATATATTCTAGTTGTACGGTAATTCACAGTAAATGCAGAAGCTCAAGGTGTTATGAACAAATCCGTTGCAACTGTTGCAAAAAATACTTTTACAGAGCTCGCATTGGTATCCTCCCTTGCTTTGGCATATTCGGCACATCTTCCCCTCCTTTTCGATGAATGGCTTTAGTGGATAGAGAAATCGCAATGACTTTGAAAGATTCAGGGTAGACACAAGTTGAGTGTTGCATATTGGACATGAGACTGGAAGGGAACAAACCATAGTCTTACACACTGGGCATTCATATCCAGCACTCTTCATTTCTAAGTGGCAAGCACATACAGATGGCTCTATTACCGGTAAAGGAAATCCAATCTTAACTAGGCTGAGAGTTGTCCCGTTGAAATCTGTGGGATGGGATAATTCTTTCATTATAATAGATAAGTGGCCTACATCGACTGGAACATAAAATCTCCCCTCGGTAGCCTTGGATATTGACTTGTATAAGGTGACCTCTCCACAGAGGCTGATAAAGTGGACCTTTATGTTGTGTACTTTGAGCTTGGTAAGCACTTCGGTATATCCATGAGGATCTCGGGTCGATGTGCTTGCAACAATGACTAGGATTTCTTTAACATGTGTAGTATTCTTAATGATTTCCACCGATCCCTCGAGCCCGTTAAGCAAGGAAAACCACTTAGATCCTGTCTGGCCTAGGAAAGCATGTATATCCATGTCCATACTACTTATATATTTCACACACACATCTCTAACGCTGAGGAACGATAGGGTGGACAAAGGATTCTCGCTGTAGAACGAAGGAATAAACCCCTCAAGAATCTTTGCCACGTTTGTCCTGAATGTGGGAAGGAAATCCGATTTGTCTATCGCCTCGGAGACATCTATTATTACATGTAGATGTCTTACTATTCCCTTTCTATTGTTACTGTAGAAAATTCCTGTCTCTGTGTTGAATTCATTTACCTTTCTGTCACTTCTGTCTTCCCATGTTCTCTTATACTCCTGTTCCCAGGAAAACTGTTTGGCCATGAAGGCCATAGCCTCTAGCATTCTTACAAAGAAACGATTTTATTGGGACCAGCTTTTTACTCTGAAGCTAATGAATAAACTTAAAAAATGGATTATTTGGGGCCGATGAAAATGGAGAACTTCGTGAGGAGAATGGAAGAAGAGATCCGAGGCGAGGACGACGTCAAGAAAGAAGAACTAAGCTGTCCCGAGCCTATCAGCAATACACCCCTCCATAAGAAAAGAAAGATGGTGATTTCTCCATGCAATTTGCAGAGGAGAAAGTGTGTTGCCGAGAATAGTACTATAGAGAAAAAGGAGTCCACTTTTATGTCTTGCAGAAAGTGTGGGAAAAAGCTAAAATTAACAAATAACTACAACTGTAGATGTGGAAACACATATTGTATCATGCACAGATTTCATGACCAACATGGCTGTACATTCGACTATAAAACAATAGCAATGGCAAAGCTCTCGGCACAAAATCCAAGGGTTATGGGAAAGAAGATAGGAGAACCATAGCCGGAAGCAGGTATCGGCTGTATAGGCTACTACATCAGTGTTTCTTTATCTTTTTCCATGCTTGATTTATAATTCAAATAAAGTTACTAATTCCTTACTTTATCAGAAAAATAAATATATTACGATAACTAAATTACAAATGATTTCTACTGTCAGTCTCGCTTTTTATTGTTGATTTAGTTTAGATTAAATAGCTATTCCTGTACCAGGAACCCATAAAACAATAAAGATGGGATGGAAAGAATTCCGAAATGAAGTGCTAAGGGTTGCAGCTTTTACTATATATCCCACACTGGAGCTCTATGTATATTTTGTTTTCGTTGGGATCCTGTGCCTGGAAGATACAGAATTTGATTCCTGGATGATCTTTGTCCTATTTGTTGCTTATCACGTAATAGTAACATACAAGGCAATGTTTTACATGAAGCTCTTCATAAATGAAGGAACAAGTACTCTAGAGATATTTCCGGATATCCCTCAAGACGGGTATGACATGAAGCTCAAAGGAATGAACAAGTTTGTAGAGGAAGAAATGATGAAGCAAACCATTGCAAAAATTAAACTATGCAGCAAGTGTAAGACATACAAGCCTCCCAGGTCTCACCACTGTGGAACATGTAAAAGATGTTATCTCAAGTATGATCACCATTGTGCACTACTAAACACTTGTATTGGGTTCCATAACTATAAGTTCTTTTATCAGTTCATGATTCTAAACCTGGTTTCTGTTATTTTTTTCATTGTGACCATTTTTATTTATATGACGCTAGGGATCCCAAAGACCAAGGGTCATTGGGTGAACTACATAGTGTCGATGTCATTGATGGGAATCGAGTTTGTCTTTAATTTGTCCCTTCTGATATTCCACACATGGCTTATAGGAATGAATGAAACAACAATAGAACACTATGCCCTCAATGATTACGTCACTGGAGATCACTCTCTGAGCCATATATTTCAAGAAGGCCCAATGACAACATTAACAGATTCTATAGACCGAAGAACTCTGAATCCTTACAATCTTGGATGGAAGCAAAATTGGAAACAAGTTTTTGGAACAGACCCTTTGGATTGGGTGACACCTAGCTATTCTACAGTAGGAAATGGAATATCATTCCCCAAAAACTACGACGAGTATGATATAATCTAGAAACAGTAATAAATCTTCAGGTTTTCAAAGGGGAGTTTTCTATTTTTTGGCTCTTCCTTACTTCTGTTTAAAATGTCTTGAAGTATCTTCCTACTATATTTGCATACGCCTTGGTTGTGTAGAAAACATCAACAAAAACAACAAACCGATCTTTCCGTTTGAAAAAGCAGCTGGTAGGATGTATCCACACTACACTTCCCCCCTTCAGGTGTCGATAGCTTCCATCCTTCATTCTTTCACAAAGATTGTGCTGATATGCAAAACTAAAGACTTTTTCTATCATTTCAATATCTCCGTCTTTTTTCCTGTTAAGAGCAGAGAAAATCCTTTTTGCAATCTCCATATATTTTATACCGATCTCGTGTTTTATGCAGTATTGTTTTTTATCCTCGGACTCCAGATATCCCTCAAAAAGAGATATAAGAAACTCAATGTCTGTCTTTTGGCTCTTACTTTTATATTTTAGGAAGCTACAGTTATCCTGACTCACCAGAGACACTAGGATCGAAGCTAGGTATCCAACTCCTTTGTCTAAGGACTGTTGATAGAAGTGGGAGAGATGGATGTCAAATGGATGCCTAAGCACAACCTTTCCATAGCTTGTTATCTTGAGTTGAAGATCTTCAAGGCTCATTTTTTTCGAGTCTGCATTGCACTCCTGGTGCATTGAAATTGCATCCAACCTTCTATCACTGCTTTGCTTTCTTGTGTCAATAATGTTGATACATCCCTTTTCCATGAGGAAATCTAGAGTAGCAATGGCATTTGTACGGGTTGGATAGTCCAAAAACTCAAATTTAAGTGGATTTCTTCTATGTTTCAGAAGCTGTAGAAAGGCTTGGGACAAGTCGGACCTACAGATTTCGGGACTCTTTTGTGGAGATAGTTCATTGTAGATATCCTCTGTGTACAGCCGGTAGCATGTCCCTGGTCCTGTTCTATTGCATCTTCCTAGTCGTTGGTCTGCAGATTCTTTAGATATGGCCTGGATCCCTAGGTAATTCATTTGATCATATATCTTTACCTTATGAAGTCCAGAGTCTATAACATATCCGATTCCGGGTATGGTCAAGGAAGTCTCACATATATTGGTTGAGAGAATAACTTTCCTTAATTTACAAGGCTCATAGATTTTGCTTTGATCCTTATCGGTTAGTGCCGAAAATACCTTGTAAACCTTTACCACCGGAAGTTTTCTTAATAAGACATAGAGGTCATTGATATCCTCCTCTCCAGGCAGAAATACCAGAATATCTCTGTTCTTGCTTTCAAACCCATCCCAAGTGGATTCCTTTGAAAGTGCTATTTTCTTGATTATGCAATAGGACTCCACTATATAATCACTTGTACATTCTGGAAGATATTCTATCCTTACAGGATAAGAATCTCCAGGAATCTCCAGTACACCGGCCCCAAAGTACCGGGATATTTTTTCTGTGTCTACTGTCGCACTCATCAAGATCACCTTTCCCCTGATATCCCTAATGTTTCTTCTAAGCAGCCCAAGGATAATGTCTGTTCTAATGGATCTTTCGTGTACCTCGTCTATAATAATATAGTCAAACCTCCCTTCATCCATGTCGTTCAGAAAGCTCCCGTCTGTGTACACAATTGTTTTAGAGTCTTTTCCAATGCTTTTGTTGAATCTCATCTTGTATCCAACTCTGCCAATTACGCTGGAGAGTGTCTTGTAAAGCGACATGACTGCTATTCTACGTGGTTCCACAATTGCTATTCTAGAGGAAGGGAAGAAAGACGATAGCAAGTATGGAATATATGTTGACTTACCACACCCGGTCGGGCCCTTGATTACACACACTTTAAACTTTCCTACTGTGTCTAGTATTTTGTCTTTATGGACTTCTATCGGTAATCTATAGAGGTAAGGAGACATCTCTTAGGGTTTACAGAATAGACAAATTGATATAGAGGGTTTGAAGCAGATTTTATATAATGAACAATTTCCCAAGGACAAGAGAAGTCTTGAACTCCAGAATCACATCTTCATGGATATTTGCATATCTTCTCATAAATATGTATTTTGTATTTTACGATGAGTTCTTTCAGCTTGATCTTCTCAAGCTCACTCCTGATTTTCTCCGTGATATCCGGTGCATCGGTAGGAAAGTTGGTATACTGCTGTAGGAAATCTCTCATAATCTCCCCGTAGTTGATTTCAGGACTTTCTAGAGACCAATCAAAGTCAACTATCTTAAGTCTGCAGTCTTCGGAAACACACAAACTTTCCAATGAGAAGGAAGTAAATCCCAATCCCACCTTTTTCATTTCATTGAATATGTCAGCCAGTTGGGCCATAAAATACAAAGCAATATTAGACCTGATACTTGTAGGAACATCCAAACAACTTTTTAGGGATCCAAAGTAATAGAAATCATAGAGTAAAAACATCCTTGAGCCTAGCTTCTTTACATTAAATGGAGGAACATAGTTTGAGTCTAACTTTTGAATTAAATCTATAGTTGTTTTCGATACTTCATGGAGTAAAAGATCTCCTCTGTTCATTAGATCTTTGGATACCTCATTGGATATACATATCATCCTATATCTCTTTTCATCTATCACCTCTTTTATATAATAAATAAGATCATCAATTATTATTTCTTGTCCGGAGGCCAGAATATTCTCAGTGACTTCTGCGGAGTTATTTTCCCTTTTACGTCCATCTTGGTTGTGAATTCTGCAACTACCACGAGAAAGTATCCTGGTTTTGTTATTCAAAGAATGCTCCTCCCGGGATGGGACGTCCGTTTCTACTCTATGCGATACTCGGGGACATGAAAGGGCCGTCTTCTTACTCCATATTCTACTCCTATATTCTTCAAATGATATCTCTTCTCCATCAAGGATAAACAACTCTCTATTGTAAAATAGAGTCTCCCGGTAGGAGTTCCAAACCTTCCCCAGAGCAACAAATCCCTTTGGATTTATCAATGCACTAGTCTCGTGGTCAGAGAACACCGTGGTTGATAAAGGGATCTTCTCTATCTCGTCCTTCAGAACTTTCTTGTCATATGCATTGCATGCTATCCCCATATCAAGAATTGCTCTGGATATTCCGTAATGGCCATTTTTCATAAAGAGCCTTGACAACTCCACATATATCCAATGATAATACTGGGATACCTTTTTGTATTTCATCAAGAAGAGCACCCCAGGCTCCTTTGTTTTGTAATAATATCTTTGCCAAAGAGATATATACGACGGATTGTTCCTGAAATAAGGAATGTCTATGTGGCTAAGTAGAAAAGCCTCTATTTCGTCTTCGCATATGTCTCCAAAGGCTACCATAGACCCTTCCACAAGGGCTTTTAAGACGCACAGATATATTCTATTTTCTTCTGGACACTACCATGAAAGGCCTTGGTTGTATCCTCTAGGCCATGGATATCCTTCAAAAAATAAGAATAAAAGATTCCCATGGCCATTTCATGCTCCAATGAGCTGAGAAAAGTCTCAGTACTCTGCGATAACTGCTTTATTGGAATGGAAAGTCTTGTGTATGTAAAGTGTTCGGAGTGCGGAATAGATTTATGCTTGTTGTGCTTTGTAAATCAGATAGAGACATCTTTGCACAGCAAATGCCATGAATATAGGATAGTCTCGGGGATGAACACCAAGATCCATGGCAGAGAGTGGACCCTGATGGAAGAGATTTTGTTTGTAGAGGGACTTGGGGTATGTGGAATAGGAAATTGGCCAGAGATTTCCAAATATGTTGGTGGGAAAAAGGATGTTGAGAGCCATTTCTACAAGATTTTTGGCTTCCAAAGAAACACATGTAAACCACTTCGTATGAGTAAAAGCGTTAGTAATCCGTATCGTGGATTAATCGGTTCATACATGCCCTTCCGAGAAGACTTTGACGTCGAGTATATGAATGATCACGAAGCCCTCATAAAAGACGTTAACTTCGAGGAAGGAGAAGGAGAATTGAAAGGGAGATTAGTAGAAGCAGTGCTCGACTCGTACATAAGGATAATTATGTTTCGAAACAGGAGAAAGCATATTACACTGGATAGAAACTTAGTGGATATGGAAAGTCTAAAAACCAAGAATGAAAAGTCCGGGATTGGAGATACAATTAAGTGGATTACCCCGTACTTGACAAAGCAGGACTTCAATGTTTTTTTTCGTGGGTTGTATATTGAAAAGAAGCTTTATGACTTATTAAAAGGATATTCTAGGAAGGAGAATAGCACCTATGAAGAAGAAATTGGGTATATAAAGAATTTCTGCAGTGAACGGGAAAGAAAGTTATGTGAAGCCTATGGCTTGTCCATAAATGTATACCTTGAATTAAGAAAGGAAGTAATTTCCTGCCTTATCAAGAAAAAGGAATTTGTAAAGGAGGACTTCGATAGGCTTTTCGGGTTTTTAAAGGAAACAGACGAATTGTACAGCTTTTTTCTGGAGAATGGATGGATTCGGAAAGAGGAGGAGAAGGATTAAACATACATATCTTGTTTACTGAAAATCTGGTGCCTTGTTCTTAGTTTCTGTGAAAAATAAGGCCATTAGCCCTGCAAAGAGAATAGTGCAAAACGTATAGAAAGAGAACACAAATCTTCCGTACCTTAAATGAAATGGATAAAGAGCAGCCAAAACACCATAAGCTGATAACCAGTTCAAAGAAACACCAAGGAGACAGGCTGGATTCGTATACTCGGGCGGAAAGATTTCCGCTGTTATAAACCATGGGATGGGGCCGAGACCGATGTTGTATCCCAATATAAACAGAAGCGTTGCAAAAGCAGGATATATATTGAAGGTAAGCATTGCTGTTGCAGTACCAGAAATTAGGGAGCTAGCGATGATTAAAGGCTTCCTCCCAATGAAGTCAACATATCGTGCAAAAAGCCCTGTTACAAGAACCGAAAACGAGGAGATGGCAACAGTCATTACTTCTGGAGAATACATGTCTACAGGAAAAAGATCTTTTAGGAAAAGAGTTATATAATCCACCCCGCAAAGATGCTGGGAGATGTGAACCAGCACTGCAAGAAAGATGGACTTTCTTGCTCTGGGATTTTTAAATAGACTGGGAAAGGATACCTCCGAAGAAGCCTCTTGATGGGAGGGATCGATTATTCCCAGTAAGCTTAGAAAATTCAATGCTACCAATAACAAAGCTATAAACAATGGAATCCTCCAGGTGGAGTCGGAATTAAGGGAAGAAAGGGTATTACCGATGGTTATTCCAATACATATTCCAAGGGGATGAAAGGATAACAGAAAACCTCGGGACTCTTTTGATGATACCAGTGAGGTGTATATAGGTACTATTGCACATGTTATTCCTGAGCCAAGTCCTATGATCAATCTTCCGGAAAAGATAGATTTGAAATTTTGATCAAGGAGAAAGATGATATATCCTGTAACATGGAAAATGTTGTTAAGTAACAAAGCTTTTTTCATGTTTGGCCTAATAGCATTTACCAAGACATTTGAGATCAGACACCCAAGGAATATATTGCTTGAGGTGATTCCCCAGAGATTATTCACCTCTGTCTTGTTCATGGTTTCTTCCCATCTTTTTGAAACATGTGGATACATACATCCTATTACTGTAAGAGACATTCCAAACAGTAAAGATGATGCAGAGGACATCAGTGCGGAATAGAAAACCGACTTTTGCACTGGCGAAGATTTTTCCACATCCATTTAAAAGTTGGATCTGTTTGTCTATTTGCCTTTTAAAATAGTTTTTTATTATTGATTTTATTAATTTGATCTGATTGATTTTACGTGCTGTCTTTAGTTAATTTTTGGAGAACATATAGAAATTCGTTTTTTATGCTGTGGAGAAAAGGGCCAAGCAAAAAAGGAAAAACTTATCTTTTCTTGATGAGGATGACGTGATTGTGTTCATTAATTCGAAGTCTTCGGAAGACTTTCTGAAAGAGTTAGAAAAAGGTTATAAGAGATTGAAGATTACAAAGAAGATTTTCTCAAACATACTTAAAGTTACCTGGAGATATGTGATAAGAACTCTTCCTAAATCTGTTAACCCCACAGGACAAATATATTCCGCAACGGACGACATAAGCCTAAAACGTCTGGAAAATCAAAATATCAAAAGGATCCTGAAATTGCTAGTTTGCATATTAAAAAATCTAGATAGAGAAATTGCCGAGGAGACTCTTACACAGAGAATTATCTTGTCTCTAGTGGAAATGTTAAAGTCTGATGACATGGAAGAAAGGGCTCTTATCTCAGAATTTTTGATTAAGATATCAGGTTTCTCTAAGTGCTTGGAAGCGGTTTTCCTTGGATTATGCAACGAGTTTATAAACTTTATAGAAAACAGCAGGACTCACGTTGGAATGGAAGAAGCTTTGAAGATTGTGGGGGAACTTTCCAGGAGAAAAGCAATTGCAAATGAAGACATGGCCGTGTTTCATCATCAGATAATTTTAAGGATGGCCGGAACAAGATTCTGGGGAGAAAGTAAAGAAATACCTGGAGTGGTTAGAGCGATCTGTAGAAACTATCCCAGGATGGCATCTCTGACCATAAAACATCTCATAAAGATATTTGGAGGGGCGTGTTCCATCACCAAATCCACGATTTTATACATTGTAAAAGAGATTCTTAAGACTATAAGCGATGAAACGTATCGGAACCTGGAGGATGATTTTTGCAAATTAACAGCTATTTCCCTTGGATCCTATCACCATTTGGTAGTTGAGGGAGCTGCAGAAATGCTTTTAGAGAATCATCGCATTTTATCCAGACATCGAAGAGCCTCGATTCCAAAAATCTTTGGGCCTATCTACAGGACATCCAAAAGGTTTTGGAGGATGGAAGGAATAAACAAAACATTAAGAAGCCTTTATGCCATTCTTGAAATAGACCATAGATTATTTGAAGAATGCTTGAAGTCATACAATATGAGAAGATGGAAAAACAAATGGATGGAAGACTAGCGAAACGTCTATTTTTCTCCAAAAAGTGTTCCGACAGGGACTCGAACCCTGGGCCTTCGCGTTATTAGCACGACGCTCTAACCGACTGAGCTACCAGAACTGCAATCTGTTCGAGAAGGAAATCTATTCTGTAAAATGAATCATCTGCTGCCCTTATGAATGGAGAGATTCCCGAGCCAGAAAACATAAGCCTGACCTCTAGGGAATTCCTAGACGAACTTAGAGGCAGGTATAAAAAGGAAGTCGCAAGAGAACACAACCGAACCATCTTCGGTGAAAATCCTCAGAAATACAGAAAAATGGGACTTAACGAGTATCTAGAAAAAGACAATGAAACCCAAGAAGAAATTGTTATTCCCAAAATGAATGGAAATGAACTGGCCAGCCTAGCCCAGGAGGCAAATGTCTCTATAAAAGTAGATAAACTTAACAGGGACCCGGGGATAATAGTGCTTTTGGTCGAGGGAACACTTACCGCCATAAAATCCTTTAAGATAAGGATGGAGCAAATCCACAATAAGCTTCCTGGAGACATCTATGTTGATGGAGAAGCTAAAGTTTTGGACATTCCTTCTGGCCGAGAAGACTTGGTAATAGGGAAAAATGGAGTGAATGTATACAAGCTTCAGAAAGATTTTAAAGTTATTGCAAGAGTGATTGATGGAGCGAACAGTGGGCTGAAGGCTCTTTTAATCTCGGGAAATGATAAGGATCGGGTGCAAGAAGCATGTAACTATGTCATAGATTTGATTTACAGAGATTTCAATTGAACATTTTATTTTAAATAGCTAAAGAAACCCATAAGAACAAGAAGGTGAAAACTATATAAACCCAAGTGGAGTTGAATGTCTGTTAGCAAAATCTCCATTTGTTTCCGCATTCGCAAGTGACAAAGGTGGTCATGGGCTCATCCCCAGACCTCGTCTGCAACTGTCTATAGGAGCACTTTCTCTCCCCGCACTTGCTGCACTTGAACATGTCGGTTTCTGCCTTCTGGGTAGGAATCTGGCATTCATAGAGACTGTCCTCTATCATCTTAACTTCCTCATTCTTCAGATTTTCGCTCTTCATTTCTTCCGACGTCATGTCTACATACCTTGAAGGAGAAATATCTCCATCATAAACTCTTCTGCAAAGAACCGGATTGTTCTTATCCTTTAAGTTCAAGCATTTGCTTCTTACAAGCTTTGCAATGTCCGACGGGCTTCGCCCAAATATTTCAACAGTTATCTGCTTTGCAAGCAGAGCTGCAGATCTATTGCAGCAATCTGAAATATTTGTTTTAAAAGCATCGAAGAACATTTTAATAGACCTATCCTTTTGTGAATCCCCTGTTGCCACTTCGTCGAGGGCTGAAGAAGAGTCTATATCGGCTTCCTGCACGATGAATCCTTCTTCATTTTTTCTCTGTTTGCTATTACCTTCTTCCTTCATCTGGGATGCAATTTCTGCATACTTGCTCTCTATAAGGGTCTGAACTTTCTTGGAGTCGGAAAGGCTGATAAGTTCCTTGAGTTTCGAAGCGCTTATGTTTTGGGAACCAGATAGAGCTGAATCGAGGGCCTTTAGATCTTTACACTTTATAAGCCTTTTGATTTCCTCTAGATTAGTTATTTGGTCCATAAGGGTTGGATTAAACCGGTTTTTTATATTTTGAGTCGTTACTGTCTTGTGTGTTTACCAAGTGATGGACAGTTTAATGTTCAATTTACATACAGCTCTTGAGAGCAATTTTACTCTTGAACTTGTTTCTAACTCTTGATACCAGAAGGATGATTAAAAAAGAAGTTGCAAAGGAAAGAATTTCCATCCAGTAAAGAGAGACTGATACAAGAAGAGGAAACTTATATCTTCTAAGCTTAATGTTCTCCCTAACAGAAACAGAGAGCCTCATAAAGAGATTGGCAAGGAAGAATCTTTCAAGGTTATCCAGGTTGCTGGATCCGGAAAACACCTTCAGTGCCGCCCTAAGACCTTTGAGTTGGATTGTACCCCACAGCTGGCATTTTTCACAGTTTATGTTCTTCAAAAGGTCGATCATTTTGTCAACTCTTTGTATTGTTTTCTCCAAATCCAAAGTCTGCCTAACCCAATTTGTAGAGCCCTGAGCTCTTATGGTTTGGACTACATCCAAGAGATCTTTATCCATTTCCGGGCAGTCCATATCTATGCCTCCGACACAATTCCTTAGAAGAAGATAGGTCAGATAGAAGTTTAGACGATGTTTGTCCTGGAACTTTTTATGGAAGAGAGCGGGATTTGGAAAATAGACTGTAAAGAACTTCTTGTGGAAAGAAGACAGGTGAGTGAATATCGAAAATTGAAGCCCGCTTACCAAGGTTGGAAGCAAGGAGTCTTCCCCAGAGATTTCCCATATTTTCCTCCATGTTTCTGCAGATCCGTCATTTGTCTTGTAACCTGTATATGCCTCCTTAACTTCCAGAAGGTTTATGTACTCTTCGTTAAAGATGGAACTTTTCTTTATGAGGCAGGAAAGTAGGGTGCATTTTGATGGAGAAGAAAACTCACCAAGATCTTTGGTTTTGACAAGAGAGTACGAGTCTTTCGAAACAAGCTTTTCAAGAGTCCTGTATGTTGTGTTGTTAACCCTGGAGATGGATAGATCGATTTGGTCTGGGTTTAATGCAGCGATAGTAATCAGAAGTGTTCCCAATGTCCATAACATTATTTTCATGAGGACGAGTATCAAAGCTTTTATAAAGTAATTGTTTTAATTTATTATACAAGAAAGGAATAGTTGGAAATTTGGATATAATGACAAACAAAGGCAATTGCGTAGATGTTTAAGAATAGATGAAACGATAGAGGGGACATGGCAAGCCTGGCTAGCTCAACAGGATAGAGCGATAGACTCTTAATCTATAGGTTGTGGGTTCGAGTCCCACGCTGGGTACTTTTTTCCTCTCCATCAATTATAGAAATAATGGGACAAGAGGAAGCGGCCCTCAATTCCCGCCTCAGTGTTGAGAGAAGAAATCAAGTTTATAAGAAACGACATTTATTCTCCCAATAGGCTTTTTTCGTCAGTTATCCAGCATCTTATTCTTTCTTTGTTGTAGTATCTTCCATACATGTTCATAAATATACTCTCCCCATCAGCTTCCGAACTACAAATAACATATATTCCATTCTGCTTTCTTATCACCTCGGTTACACAACCAAACATACAGCACTCATCTCTTATTTCGTCTACATCTAAAGAAGGGTTAAACATAACAACGGTCCCCCTTTGGAAGGTATCGTAGTCATCAGCCAATTCAATAAGCCTAACCTTCATTCTTTTGTGCACCAAAGGAAAATTGTCCATGGATAAAGATTTCTCGGGAAACGATTCAAACTTCAAAGCAAATCCTTCCTTGAGTACTTGGAATCCAATTACATTTCCAAAGACGGAGAATATATCTATTATGTCCTTCAGCCTTATTCTTGGATGTATATTTGATATTGCGATTCCTTTATTTTTGCCGTGCATAGGGATAACGGCAATTGTTTCTGGAGGCAAAGTATTTTCGTAACTTAAATGATATCTTTCTAGAAGGAACACAAAGCCGAGATGGTTTCGTGGATTATACATGAGAGCCAGCATCCCATAAAGAGTGCAGCCAAATTGAAGCAAGCAAATCCTATACTGAGGACCCCAATATTTCTATTGATGATGAAATTAAGAATTTCTTTTCCAAATCCAATGTAAAATAGAGCCACGGCCATAAAGGTGGATACAAACAGTACTAAGGCTTTGTTTCTAAAGTATTTTGGAACACCAAGACCTACAACAAAAAGGCATGTGGACGTAATCTTCAAGACCTCCATCGGAAGGGGGTCGTTTTGTTGGATGAGTCAAGCGGGGAACCCAAATATTTTTCGTTCAAACAATCCATGGAAGAAGACGAAAGTTTGTTTGATAAGATAAACGAGGCCGAAATGGAAGCAGATATTAAACTGGCAATGAACAACCATAAGATACCTGAAATAAAGCCGATAGAAGAGTTTATTCTATCCTATAATGGAATATTTCAAAATCTCGAAGAGCTCAAAAAGGATTAGAATTGGATACAAAGGCAGAGCAGGGAAGTTTTTTTGTAAACTAAGAGCACTATGGTATTTTACTTCTTTGAGACTTTTCTGGCAGGGCCTAGTTCCTTTATAATCTCAAAACAAGTGTTGGATATGCTACCAACATAAAGAGTAAATCTATTTCTATCTTCTGGAGTTTTGAACTTGAACAGATAATCTACACTTTCCTTCAGGGACAAGTGTTTGGGTTTCAACAACGACCTGACAAATGACGGGTAGTGCACTGGGACGACGAAGCATACGTGATGGGTCGATCCTTTGTACATTCCAGTGTTATCTGAAAATAGAAGCATGAAGAATTGCTTTCCAAATGCACATCTTATTGGATTAGAAGTCTTCGTTGTAAATTCGAAATCGAAGGAATGTCCTATAAAAATCATAAAAAATTTTACCCTCAGGGAATGTCAGAGATAAAGCTATTTGAAAAGTATAGCTACGATGAGGTCAAGGTAGAGAATTTGTCTCTAAAGCCTTATATAAACTTGTCTCGCCACGGAATAGTTCCACATGCAACTACAACTATCACAAAGGGGACGATGGGGAAGGCAAGAATTCCCATTGCAGAGAGATTTGTATGCTCTCTTATGAGACATGGAAGAAACAGCGGGAAGAAGAGACTTGCAATCAATATATTTGAGGATGCTTGTTTCATAATTCATTCCATGACAAAGAAAAACCCCCTTCAGGTTCTGGTGGATGCCATAATCAACGCCGGACCCCGAGAGGACACAGCAAGAATTGGCAGAGCAGGGTCTATGAGAAGGACATCCGTAGATGTTTCTCCCCTGAAGCGAATAAGCATAGCAATATCTAATATCTCTGCTGGAATTAGAAGTGCATCGTTCAGAAACAGAATAACACTGGCAGAAGCAATTGCCAATGAACTAATTGCGGCCTCTACAGGTTCACAGAACTCCTATGCAGTCAACAAAAAGAAGGAGATCGAAAGAATAGCCCAATCCAATCGTTAAAGCATTTTATTTATTTTATGGCCTAGAAGCCTTACAAAGCTTTGTTATTTACTTTCTATAAATAATAGGGTTTCAGGTTAGTTTTATCAATATACCTTTGTTTTATCCAAAACAACCCTAACATGACAATGTCAAGCAAAATCCTCACGCAAAAACTAGAAGATCTACAGCCCGTGGTCACAGCAGGATGTGTCATTCAGTCGAGCTATGAATTAGTGGAAAACGGAATAGATGCAACGCTGTCAGATCTCATTCTTCCTGGATTTGTGAACTTCTTTGGCCCGGGATTATGTGCAAACATAGTCTATAAGCAGGCAGAACTGTCAAAGGAGTCGCTCATATCGTATTTTGTCGGGATGATTATCTTTTCAATACTCTCCCAGACAAGATTTCTGTGGATATCAAGTGCCATATTCCCTGTGATGGGTAAGGGCTTTATGCTCATTTCTCTTAAAAATAACAACAAACCTTTCCATTTGATTGTGGGATGGTTGATGGCTTTGGAGATGTCCGGAGTTCTCGTGCAGAAGCTGCTTTTTAACAAGAAAATGAAGGTTACAGGAGACAAGGTGGGGGAAATATTCATCTTGATTTTGGGCTTGGGCTTAGGGAGGCTGTATCGTCTTCCAGACTACACCATGATGGTGGTGGTTTTTCTCATTGCCCTTGGGCCTTTTGTCCAGTATATACTTTCTCTGCCTCCCTTTTCTCAGAAGAAGCAGAAGAAGGAGAGAGCCAAATATCCAAGAATCAAACTTCCAAAGCGAAGGGCGGCTCAAAAAGCCCAAGACACACTCAAAACGGGCAAGATGAAATAAAGGTCTTTAATATCCTAATCGAGAATTACGAATCCTATATCCTTGGCGTATTCTCTGAAACATCGCCTACACATCATTAGCTTTCTTATTATGCCACGGAACGTGTAACAGGACACACAACTTCTCGATCCTTTCCCAAAAGGCTTTCTGTGCGAGTGAGGTCCGCTCTGTTCGTTCTTCTTCACAGGTATGTCGAAAAGAACTTCAAAGGTCATCAGGGGTAAATTTTTTCCCCGATTTGTCTCTAGATCCAGAGGTTATAGATCCAAGGAGAAAAGAACTGTACCATCGCAGTTGCTGATTTGTTTTAAAGATCCGATTAAATTGATGATACATCAGTAAACAAAATGAGCTTGTTCCCCAGAAGAGAGATGGAAATCATGAACCCAGACGGTGTAGTTAAATACCTAGGGATCCTTTTTATAGTATTGCTCATAACCTATTCCTATCGAGAGATGAGGAAGTGGGTAAAGAGAAATATAAAAAGTGGTGGCTTGGTAGAGGGGAAATAAATAAAGAGGGCTTGGTTAGTAATAAAAGTTGCAAAGACGATATCCTTAAATGATGGTTCAAGACCAAAAGAAAAGAAACGATAAGCCCTTGGGCTTCCTTGGAATGGTAAAAAAAGGAAATAAAACGCTCCTTAGCGCAGCATTAGGACTGTTTCTAGGAATTGTAAAGTCACAACTAGACCTAGCAGGAGAAATATTCAAAGCTGATCTGAGCATGAAGAGCGGAGATCTTAAAAAGGCAGAATCCATATACAAAGAGATTTCACAGTACTTTGGGAACAGCGGTGTTTTCCGAGAAAAGTATGCAGAATTTCTTATGTCCAGGGGAGAGTATGATGAAATAATAAAAAGATTTGGAGAGGACCAAGAAATGAAAGGAAAGACCACAAGAGCCAGCGAATGTTTGTCCATATTGCTTAGTAGCAACGTCCGTCTTATCTCCACATTAGTGAAAGAAAGCCCATATTCGGGGCCTGTTTTGAGGGCATACATTCAAGTATGCCTAATAGATGAGAAACTAGAAGAAGCAGCTAAGTTCATCAAAAAGTCAAGAGTTATGTTTCCAAGCGAACCAGAGTTTATCCATCAGGAGATGCAACTATATTTCTTAACGGGAATGTTTTCGGCGGGTATCAAGGAGTTAGAAAGCTTGGGATATAAAGGAATAGCTTCTTCGTTTAAGAGCATCTTGGACTCCTATGAAAGAGTGAAGAAGAGTAATTTAAGTAGTAAAGATAAGTATAGAAAGCTAGATGTTCTGGCACGAAGTATTTCACTCATAGAGAGTGATAGCAACTTTTTTCCAAGTATCTTTTCTACGTTGAAGCTGAATGTAATCTTGGAGTTATGCAAAAATGGGATCGAAAGCGGAGAGAAAGGGCTTACAAACCGAGCGCAGTATCTTTACTCGAAGAGAAAGAGCGAGGATGCAATGTATTTGTACATTATGGCACTAGTTTTTGATGGAAAAATAAGCGAAGCCGAGGAAAAGCTTCAGGAATTTAAGTTTCGAAACACAAAGCTCAAGAACCACATTTGGAATCAGATAGAGACGGCAAAAGCGGAAAAGGAGAGGGAAAGGAAAGCGAAGGAAGAAAGAAGATATAAAAAACGAAGATACATGGATGGCAGCCAAAGGATGTCCAGAAACAAAGGAGATTTCCTAGGATATTATAAAATACTTGGATTCAAAGAAAACCAAAAGCCTTCAGAAAAAGAGATAAAAAAGGCATATCGAAAGATGGTTGTTGCAAATAAGAAGAGGAAAAAAACTGAGGGAGAAGAAAAAGAATGGGAAGAGAATTTTAAGAAACTCAATAAAGCCTTCGGGGTGCTTACAGATAAAAAGAAGCGAGAGATGTACGACGGGGGAATAGATCCAGACAATCCACAGCAGACAGGAGGGTTCGGGGAAGATCCATTCCAGGAAATCTTCCGAGGATTTGGAGACTTTGCAGGTTTTGGCTTTCCCCAAGAAAGAAGAGGGAGAAGAACCACAACTACATACTTTTATTTCTGATGGTTCCTAATAAATTCTAATTTTTTGTGATTAGGTAATGGGTAAAGACCTCGAATCATAATTCAGAGGAAGGAATCGCCTTGTTCCATCTCGTACCGTGCCTGGATTTGGGTTCGGGACATCTGTTTATGGGATATGAGATGGAATGGATAACAAACAACACTAAAGATTCTTATTTTATTTTTTGGGATAGTGAGAAGAATTAGTAAGCGGAAGTAATTACCTGTGACTGACAAGAGATATTCCTTATCTGACCAACAGTGGTTTCAGGAACTTATCAGAATCGATATTTTTATTAATGATTGAATCCTTATAAAGGTAAAAGGGATGATGACATTATAAGTTCAGATTGGAAGTTTCCTTTTGATGGCAAGGATGTTGCTAATAAAGTTTCTTGCTCTGCTAAATGTGTTACGTGGTTCGGAAAGTGGGCCGTCAACAGACATAGAGAGAAAAAGAAATCCAGTGAAGAGTTTCTTATGCGAGGGTAACTATCGCAAATTAATATTTTATCCATTCGTGTTTCGTAATGGCTTAGTTATAGCATCTCCTTCAACAAGGTACGACGAAATAAAGGAAACAGAAAAAGAATATGTAGAAGATGTTATTATGGGATTTTGTTCATTGATATTCGATTGTATGGGACCTGTAGCTATTTCTCCTTATAAAAAATGGGTTTACAGCGAGATAGCTAAAGAAGTTTTGATTGAAAGCGATAAGACCCGATATTTTAATTCGATTGATATTTATAAGAAGAAAAAAGAGAAATCCAAAGGAGTTACCCTAGGATTCATATTAAAGAAAATAACATGGGAGAACATCCATTTACTTAATGAATTTGGAAATCGTCTTATCGATAAAGTAGAAACAGAAACGAAAAAATTAAATAAGGATCCTTCTTCTTCGGAAGAAGAAAAAGAAAAGGAAAAGAAAAAATTAGAGATAGTCAAGAAGTATGCCAAACTTATTCTCACTAAAGAGCAACAGAATTTAATGATTTCGGCATTTAATATAGTACATGATGCATGTGTGTATCTTTGGGAAAAAAAAGAGAATAGAGAACATTTCATTCTGAAGATGCGCTTAAACAGATTATACTCTGACAAAATAGAATTTAGTTTAGGGGATGGTCCCATGAAAAAACGTGAAGGGAGTGATATTGTGTTACTTGGCTATTTAAGTCATGATTCTCTGATATATGTATACAACAAATATGGAATAGAAGTAGCAGCAGAACTAGTTAAAGAGGTATTCTTGGAACATAAAGATGATTCGGAATTTTGTGCTGATAGAATCATAGAAAGAGAGGAAAAGAGAAGAAGAATAGAAGAAATAGAAAGGAAAGCAGAATCTGAAAGGTATTCCGAGGAGCTTATAAGAGAAGAGGAAGAGGAAAAGAGAAGAAGTAGGGGAAAAGAGAGTGGTTTTGGATTAGTTTTGGTCTCCTCTGAGAGAGATTTGTGTTCGACGGTGGGGATGGAGGATTTTTTGGGATTTGATGTGGCTGTGGCCAGGGGTTTGTTGATGAGGGATCTGAGAGATTTTTGATGGGGGGTAGCACCAGGTTGATTCTGCCTGACGTGGTTGCTATTCTCTGGTACTAAGCCATGCATGTTGATGAACCTTGTGGGGGATTGACGGACGGCTCAGTGATAGTACGATGATTTGGTTGGCGGGAGAGCTGTAACTGCGGGAAACTGCAGGTAGGGGGCTAGGAGTGTTTTTGACACGAGCCAAGTAAGTTGTAGGCCTATCAGCTGGTAGTTAGGGTAATGGCCTAACTAGGCGGAGACGGGAGACGGGGGATCGGGGTTTGATTCCGGAGAGGGAGCCTGAGAGATGGCTACTACGTCCAAGGATGGCAGCAGGCGCGAAACTTGCCTAATCCTTTGGGGAGGCGGTTATGAGAAGTGAGTTTTTTTCGAGTGTAAAGGAGTCGAGATTGATTGGAGGGCAAGTCGGGTGCCAGCAGCCGCGGTAATACCTGCTCCAATAGTGTCTATGGTGAATGCTGCAGTTAAAAAGTCCGTAGTCTTTTGTATGTCTTTGTTTGGGGGATTATGTCCTGATGTGGATGTAAGAGGTTTGGCAGAGGACGAGGGGCACCGGATAGTTGGGCGAGGGGTGAAATACGAAGACCCTGACTGGACGGACAGAAGCGAAGGCTGTGCTCTTGGACTTATGTGACGATGAAGGACGAAGGCTAGAGGATCGAAATCGATTAGATACCGTTTTAGTTCTAGCAGTAAACGATGCCGACTGGACGGGACTATATAGTGTTGTGCATGAGAAATCTTGAGTATGTGGGTTCTGGGGATAGTATGCTCGCAAGAGTGAAACTTGAAGAGATTGACGGAAGGACACCACAAGGAGTGGAGTGTGCGGCTTAATTTGACTCAACGCGGGGCAACTTACCGGTTCTGAAGCGGGCAGGAGAACGAGGACGGGATGCGCGCGGCGGTGGTGCATGGCCGTTTGAAATGGATGGCGTGAGCTTTGGATTAAGTTGCGTAAGATGTGAGACCCTTTGACAGTGCTCTTTGGGGCAAGGGAGGAATGGAACAGAACAGGTCCGTTATGCCCTGAGATGAAGCGGGCGGCACGCGCACTACGATAGATGGCGAGGGAGCCTGCTGTGAGGGATGAAGCTGTGTAATGGGCTTCTGAACGTGGAATTCCTAGTAATAACGATTGAACAAGTTGTTTTGAATGGGTCCCTGTCCTTTGTACACACCGCCCGTCGCTATCTAAGATGACGCAGTGGACGAAGATTGGAAGGTCTGAGTCCTTCGTGTTAGATAAGATATAAGTCGTAACATGGCTGCTGTTGGAGAACCAGCAGCAGGATCAGTATTTGAGAGATTGGGGGGAATTTTTTTGATTTGAGGATTCACGGGATTGATAGGCATTAGCAGCGAGGAAGGACGTGTAGGAGGACGATATGCCTTTTTGAGGATGTCTGAATGAAGCGGAAGCGCTTGGGGACCCCTTTGACTTAAGCATATCAATAAAGGGAGGAGAAGAAACCAAAAGGGATTGTCGGAGTAGCGGCGAGTGAAAGGACAGGAGCTCGAATGGTAACTGCGTTTGGCGGGTTGTTTTGAGTAGGAGGAGACTGAGCTAGGGATTGAAGTCCCTGATCTTAGAGGGGGAATGGCCTGTAAGTATCCGGACTTGAGAGAAGAGTAGGGTTGTTTGGTAGTGCAGCCTGAATTGGGTGGTGTTTTTTTTCACCGAAAGCTAAATATAAGCTAATGACCGATAGCGAAGAAGTAGAGTGATTGAAATGTGAAAAAGACAAGATGAAAAATGAAAGTGAATGCTTTGAAGGGGATGAGACCCGCCCGTCTTGAAACACGGACCAAGGAGAGGATGGCTGGATTGTTTTAGCGAGAGCTAGTGGATGCAGTGATCCGACCCGAAAGATGGTGAACTATGCCTGTGTTGATTGAAGGGATGCGAAAGTGTTCTGGAGGATCTAAGCCGTTCTGACGTGCAACTCGATGGCATGAGATGGGCATAGGGGCGAAAGACCAAACGAACCATCTGGTAGCTGGTTCCCTCTGAAATGTCTCTCAGGACAGCGGCGACTTGATGTAAGATGTTGTAAAGCACTAATGCGATAGCGTTAAACTTTGAAGATGTCTTGTAAGGGGGTAGCCAGTGGGCATATTGTGGTAAGCATGATGTGCGAGAAGGGATGAACCTTTTTTAGGATAAGGAGCCGTATGCAAGGGAAGAGAATCTGGCGGTTTGATTTTGACAGTTGGACGGTGGCCATGGAGGTTGGCATCCGCTAAGAAACGTGTTGCAACGTACCTACCGAATTGGGCGCTGGAGAAAATGGAAGGGATTGAATTGCAGGTATCCGAGGCCTTAGCGGCGGAGCTGAGTAAGAGGGCGATATCATTCTGACGAAGGTCCTGCGTGAGCGGGGGTGGAGGGGTGATATGAGCAGATCTTGGTAGTAGTAACAAGAAAGGATTTGCGCTGTGGACGAGGGTTCCCCATTTGATGGGGGTGAATCGACTGTTGAAACGGAGACTGATTGAAGATTGAGTGTATGGATGCTTTGAGGCGACTTGATGATGACGGATGGGGGATTTTTGATCCTAGGAGAGCAGAACTAGGGGAAGTAGCGGTGTGGATTGTTAAGAGACGAAGCAGCGCTGAGGAGATGACCTGTTCCGATGAAAAAGAAGCATGCATGTCGTACCTAGACCGCAACAGGTGTCCACTGTTTGACGCGGAAGCGAATTTGAGAAGGGTTGTAAGGGAAGTCGGCAAGATGGATGTGTAACTTTGGGAGAAGGATTGGCTCTAGCGTGCTAGAACTGTTTGTTGTGGGGAATCTGACTGTTTATTAAAAACATAGCCTTGCGGAAGAACGCAAGGTGAATTCTGCCCAGTGCACTTTTAGTTACGGCTTTTTGAGCTTAAGCGAGTGTAAACGGCGGGAGTAACTATGACTCTCTTAAGGTAGCCAAATGCCTCGTCATGTAATTAGTGACGCGCATGAATGGAGCAACGAGATTCCCACTGTCCCTACGACCTGTATTGTGAACCTACAGCCAAGGGAACGGGCTTGGGCTGATCAGCGGGGAAAGAAGACCCTGTTGAGCTTGACTCTAGCATGTGAGAAGTGCTGAGGGTGGTTATGAAGAGAGGTGGGGGGAGATGTGCGAGACCACTATGACTGAGCCTCAGCGGTTTATTTATGGATGTGGGGAGTTTGGCTGGGGCGGCACGACTGCTAAAGACTAACGCAGACGTCCTAAGGCGGGCTCAGCGGGGAAGGAAACCACGCGTGGAGCACAAGGGCATAAGCCTGCTTGAGACTATTCCTATTGCGGGATTGTTTGGGGGAAACCCTGGCCTAGAGATCCCATGTCCTATAAGGCTTGGGACATGGGTGACAGAAAAGTTACCACAGGGATAACTGGCTTGTAGCAGCCGAGCGATCATAGCGACGCTGCTTTTTGATTCTTCGATGTCGGCTCTTCCTATCATCGTGAAGCAGAAATTGCGAAGTGTTGGATTGTTCACCCACCAACAGGGAACGTGAGCTGGGTTTAGACCGTCGTGAGACAGGTTAGTTTTACCCTACTGTGATTGACTGGGCAGTAAATCTTGATAGTACGAGAGGAACTCTTGATTGCGACCTCTGGTGGAGCGGCAAGCCTGCTGGCTGTTGCGGAGCTACGTCGGGAGTATAATGGCTGAAGGCCTCTAAGCCTGAAGACTGACTGCGCTGTGATGTGGACGGAAGACGACCGTTATGGATGCAAGCTGTGCGAATGGAGGAGTAATCCGACATTTTGAGGCTGTGCATTTTTTCCTCGATGTGGGGAGAGGGGAAGAGGATTGAA